ATTACATAAACGAGAACTAACTTATAGATGCTACTTGCGTACCGGTAATACCGGTTACTTATGTACACTAATATTATAAAGTGACTAAGTTTGTGAGTTTGTGACGTCATAGGGGGTAATCTCTGGATCTACTAAACCGATTTAGATGAAATTTGGTAAGAAGATAGTTTTGAGACACTGGTAAGGACATAGGACAGATACTTTTTATCCTGGAAATCATCCTTTAAGGGGGTGAAAATGGGGATGACAGTTTTTATTGGTTTGTTGTTGAGTTTAAGCTAGCAAGGGATGAACCCGAGCGAAGCAAGGGTGAGTCGCTAGTATTTTACAATAGTAAAAAAGTTACACAGTCTAGCACGTTTATCTTTTTGACTACGAAGCATAAACGCTCATAAAAAAAATATCGGTTTAGTAGATCCAGAGATTACCCCCTACAACATCACAAACTCACAATATCATATTTTGGTAATGGGATACTGACACGCCGGCGTGTCCGGGGTCGTGGAGGGATTAATCTTACAGATTTCAGATATAAATAACCAGTGAAGTTTCACTTCTAACACGTTTTTAAAGAAACTTTCTTTTTTCCTAGTAACTAAAAGAATAAATTTGGCGTAATTTTATTACCATCCATTTTTTACACCCTCGGAATAATGATCAAAGATAAAAACAAATACGGCTAATGCGATTTAAAGATTTGTTTGTCAAATAAAAATTTCGTTGGTTTATATTATGATACATTTAGAGACAGTTATTTAATTAAAACTAGCGACTCACCCTCTCTTCGCTCAGGTTCGTCCCTAGGCTTGCTTTCTAATACAAACTTTCATCCCCATTTTCACCCCCTTAAGGGATGATTTTCGGGATAAAAAGTATTTTATATCCTTCCCAGGGTCTCAAACTATCTTCTTATCAAATTTCATCTAAATCGGTTCAGTAGATCCAGAGATGACCCCCTACAACGTCACAAACTTACAAACTCACAATCTCACAAACTCACAAATTTTACCTCTTTATAATAATATTATATATAAATCATGAAAAAATATTTTTTTTACGATTTCAATGTTGTTCTTACATCATTTTAATAACTACGAGTATTATACAATTCTCTAGTTAAGCAACATCTATGTAGATGAATATATGTTTTTGTGATACGATAGGTCTGGCATAATCTCAAGAGATTCAAAGACCTTTAAATATTAAAGAATAAAAAAATCTCTAGCAGTATTTTGTTTTTACATATTTAATTTGGAATAGAATATTTATACATGCTAATATATGCGTAAATTATAAATAAAAATGAATAAAAAATTGAATAAAAATGTACATTTATTTTTATTTTTAATTTGACATTATTCAAATAACTCATATATGTATCATTCATTGGAATAACTCACAAAAAATATAAAAAATAGATTAGGATATTTACATTACTGTATGTCAGCACACCGACTTATAGTAAATGAAAACTACTTTTGCTTTTTTTAAATGACACACATAAAAAAAAAAAAAAAAAAAAAACGAACTATTTACGTAGTTCCAATTATTTGCTTATTAGTATCGAAATTCTATATGATTACGATAAGAAAATAATTATAATCCTTCATGCTACCAAAGTTAATGCTAGTACACGAAAGGGACAAAATATTTTCGATGGCGAAAAAATATATTGAAGACCCTAACTTTCTAAATTCCTTTAAATTTTCCAATGCTTCTCTAAATGTCATTCCCTCTTCAGACAAATCAATTTGTGCTTGAACATTTTTTTATTATATGTATATTTTCTATCATACTATCTCTCCTTTACAATATGATATTTTAGCAAAAGTTGTTATAATCTATGGTTTACTAAAACATAATAAACCAGAGAAATAATGGGTATTTATATTGTTTATTTAATTGACAACCATTAGCTGTTGTCGGAATTAGCCACCGAGTTTTCGGTGCGGCTTATGAAGATTATCCCAATTGAGGAAGAGGTCGAGACGCCACAACGAATTCATTAAAGGAAAGATTAATTTTATGATTTCCACACAGAGCAAAAAAGTATATAATGACTTTTACAAGATTAATCCATAGTTTTACACGCATCTATTAAATAATTCGTCAAATCAATTACATCTTTATAAAATCCTGAAAAGATTGTCTGAAGTTTGTATCAACAATCACAAAATACACTTGATAGTCAATATAACTGTGACCCGACAATTTTTTTTATGTTTTCTGATAAAAACTTCCATATTTAACATCTTCTGGGAATGATTTTAAGTGTTTCCTTTTTATACCTTTGCTATAATTGCCTTCGTTAGACTTCTTTTGTAAAAGTTCATACTACTTGACTCAGCAGGCATATCGCTCGCAGAACACATGGTCGTTGAGGATGAAAAGTTTTCGAAGTGGTTGACGCGTGTTGGAAGGTGAATCATAGGCAGGCCAACTACAAGGTGGGCTGACGATTTGATCACTCGCCAGAACCCACACGATGTGGATGACACAAGACCGGAAATCATAGAAATTTTTGGGAGAGGCCTATGTCTTACGGCTAAGATGATGATGATGACCCAGCGGTTTGATCTATCACTGAATTAGTCAGTGAATGATTTTTATTAAGTAATCAAACTACCTACTGCTCGCAAAGTCACACCCGTGAAATTAATTTCATATTCACATGTTTCATAGACTACATATAGAAATTCGTCAATTTTTACATTTAACTTAAATATACCTAATATTTAAATGAAATGTAAAAATTGACGAATCAACATGTTGTAAGTCAATGTTTTTTTTATTGATTTCTAATTAAATAGTAGTAAAGAGTACATAGTTATAAATAATACTTTATCTAAAATTACTGTATGACCTTAATTGGATAAGAAAACTGTTAATTTTACTTTTCAAACTGTTAATTTTAATGTACATTTATGTAAATGGAACCAGGATACCCAGATGATTAAATTTTATGTAAGTAATTTACTCAACAAATGGTGTTTTACGAGCTCAAAATAAACTTTATAGGAAAACAGGAAAGCTTAATTATCAACAGAGAGAATAAGAATATGACTTTCTTTTAGTATAAAATTTAATTAAAAAGTTTTTAATGATTTGAAAACTTCTGTAAGGCAAAATAACTGGGTAACATACCCTGTAAATGCTATGCAGAGGTACCTAATAATTTTCCATGTATGTACGTAAATCTATACATATAATAAAATTGTAACTTAGCCGAATCTGTACATTAAATATTTTTTGGAAAATCTTATTGAAATAAATATTTTTATCGATACAGAGGCCGAATCTGTAGTTTTTAGAACTTTTGTCTGTCTGTCTGTGTGTTACCGCATCACAGAAAAACTACTGGAGAGACTTTGATGAAATTTGGTATGGTGATAGCTGGTTATCCGGGTCAACATATAGGATAGGACTTTTTACCGTGGGAAAATGTCTCATTTCTGAGAAAAAATACAAAAACTGCAATGTAAGAGTATACTAATATGTAAAACCTAGGAAATTCGTTTTAAGTCATCTGACCTCGGGCGGAGCCACGGGCAATGCTAGTACAAAATAAGTGTATTATATAATGCTAACTCCTGCGGGCAAATCCGCCCATGTACGTACTGTCGGTTAATGCATGATCGAGACGTGGGTTTAGCGAACTCGACTCTATTTTATACTAGCAGAACCCGCGGCTTCGCTCGTGCTAAAACTACAAAAAAATCTCTAAAAAGATAGTTTCATACAAACTTTCATCCCCTATCTTACCCCCTTATGGGATGAATTTGGAAAAATGCTAAAACACGTATTTATTTAATTTCATTGAAGAGCATTAATACCAAGGTTCATGAAATTCCGATCATAAATATTTTTTGGATAGTATTATAACGTGTTTTCCAGTGGGAATTAGTTCATGTCCCGCGATAAAAAGTAGCATATGTCACAGTCCAGTCCTCAACTATCTCCACACAAAAAATCACGCCAATCCATCACTCCATTTCGACGTGAAAGAAGGACAAACAAATAAAACAAACACACATTCACATTTATAATATTAGTATGGATGACAGTCGGAAAACGGCTTTAGGGTTTACGAGTATAACCGTAATTTGCCACATCTCTTTAATTTCGAAATCATTCGCAATAACAATAGATATTTCTTGATAAACCTTGCATTTGGCAGCATTTCCGTTAAAATCAAAGGCGAAAAAGCCCATACAGTAGACACTGTATGGGTTTTTATACTGTGCTATTTCTATGATAGTTTATAGATTGGCATTTTCCAGGTTGCCGATTATATTTTAAGACCACTTTGCCCGCAATAATTACCAATACCTAACACTTCGTTTCGTCCATTGCTAGAAAAGAATTAGAATTACAAACTTTTTCTCAACGTTGGGTATATAATATGTTCCTAAATGCCTTTAAACACCATCAGGTATATAATTATTTAAACCCATTTGGTGTTATGCCTAAATATCAAAATCGGTTTTGCGACTCTGATATCTTACGCTCTAAGGTCTGTTATTTGACGCCTATTAGTTGATCTAAATCAAAGGAATAAGTTAAAGGGATACGAAAGGCGTGCAAACATTTTCTGGGATAGCAGCGGCCAATGTTCACAACTCAGTATGTTTTCTTCCGAGAAGCCTGTACTTCTATGTAATTCCAGCACAAAGTTTATCGAGTTCAGAATAACTTTTTGAATTGATCTCGGAAATATTATGCGCTGTAAAAAAAATTAATGTTCAATCATTTAGGCCCGTGATATCAAAGGCACATGAGATATAGATGACAGATATAGGCCAATGTGAATTACGAGTACATCTAAGGTATTTACTATTTACTTTTCAAACCCGAATTGATTTTACTCGTAGATATCGATAATCGCTATCGAAAATATGAGCGTAAAGAAGTAGGTTGAGCAACATTTTAATATAACAAATATTTCTTATCTTTAAAGCCTATTTCCTATCAATAAATATAATTTTCCTTTAGTTTCGAGCATGGAGGACGTCTGGGTAGAGCTACAAGCCCCGCGTTTCGTAGTGCACGGACATACGGCGACGCTAAAATGTGATCACAATGTTGACCCTGAAACTCTATACAAGGTATGTACTCGTATATATATACTAATATTATACATGTGAAAGTGTGTTTGTTTGTTTGTCTTTCTTTCACGTTGAAACAGAGTGACTGACGGCTTGGCGTGAACTTTTGTGAGGAGATAATTAGAGTGCTGGAGAGTGACATAGGCTACTTTATACTGCGTGAGATTATCTCATTCCCACGGGAATACACGTTAAGACATGAGCAAAAAAATTATTATCAGAATTACTTGAAACTTGGTATTAATGCTCTTCAACAAAATTAAATAAATACATGTTTTAGAATTTTCGAAATTCATCCCATAAGGGGGTAAAATAGGGGATGCAAGTTTGTATGGAACCTACCTTTTTACTCTTTTTTTGTAGTTTTAACGCGAGCGAAGCCGCGGGTTCTGCTAGTATTCCAAAAATACCTCGGTGGTCTAGTGGCTAGCATGTACATTGTACGGGTGGTAGGTGGGGACGCTAATAATTCTTATAAAAACATAGAGATCATGTTTTATTTACATAAATAGTAAAGTTAAAAAAGATATATGTCCGGCTGAGTTTCTTTCGGCAGTTCTACTAAGGACTGAAAGCATTTTTCGATTGACTGAAGAATTTGAATTTCGATGTTTTTGCACAACTTCATGCACATTGCTTATTGTTTTAGTTTTTAATATGATTCTAGCATTTTTCTTGTAAATAATCTAATCATATCTTGGATTTTTTTAAATATGTAGGTACTTCTAATTATTATCATATTAATTCAAAATTTTAAAAATAATTTAATTAAACTTGATAACAATACAGTAATTTATCATTAATACAAATCCAAGAGAGTAGAACTCTACAATGAATAATAGAAAAACCTTCGAGTCGGGCTTATTTCATACAATTCGACGAGTCCTATAAACATTACAGCAGTCAAAAATGTGTTTTTTTAAAGCTTTAATTATTATTAGCAAAGCCCGCGGCTCCATCCGCGTTCAGATGACCAAAAAAATTCTTAGATTTTACATATTAGTATACACTTACATTGCAGTTTTTCTCAGAAATGAGATATTTTCCCGCGTTAAAAAGTATCCTATATGTTGACCCGGATAACCAGCTATAACTATACTCATCAAAAACCCTCCAGTGGTTTTTCTGTGATGCAGTAACAAACAGACAGACAGACAAAAATTCTAAAAACTATAGATTCGGCCTCTGTATCGATAATAATGTTTATTTCGATAAAATTTTCCATATATTTAATGTACATATTCGGCTTAGTTACAATTTTATTATATGTATAGATTTCATGCTTATTGTTAAATTAAATTGATTTACTCTATTATAGGTAGTGTTTTTCAAGAATGGTCAACGAATAATGCAGTACGTGCAAGGTCGAGATCCGCCCTTCGAATTATTTAATTTTACTGGAGCTTACATAAATGTAAGTATAAAGTTTACAGTAACAAATAATAAGAAGAATATATTGCAGATGACAAGTTTGTCAAGTAGTTCCAATTCTTCTCAGTTTACGCCTATTTTTTTTATAAAACCAACAAAGAAGCAAAAGTTTTGGCAGTGTACCTTCGCCTATTTTTTGTACACCTACAATGAGGATATTTTATCTAACTCAGACAAAAGAACATCATCGGGCATATCAGTAGATATCATTATATACATGCAATATTTTAAATAAATCTTCTCCAATTTTTTCACGGTTTTATTTTCATTTTTGATTCCCGACGTTTCGAATGCTTTAAGTCAATCAATCAATCAAAATATTTACGGGAGAGACTGAAGTTTTAGACGTCTCAAAGGTCATTATATAGTTGTTACAACTTACACAGTCCATCACGTCGGGAACTAAAGATCAAAATAAATCCGCGAAAAAAAAGATAGTTTTATTTAAAATGTCAAATATTCGCGAAAATCTAAGAAAATAAAACATTTAATATCAAAATTATTATATTTTTTGAAAATGTAATATGAAACTTTAGTAATTTTGTAATAAAATTAAGAAATGTCTTAATGAAGAATAAAAAATAAATTTCTGATAAAATACAACAATTTATTAAATTACGAAGTGGAGCTACGCTTTTATAATTTTTATACAAATTCTCGGTAAGTTCTAATCCCCCACATGAGTGTCAACGAAATGATTGCGTCCGCCCGTGCATATTATTACGTAAAATCACATGTTTATTACTGATTAAGATGATGATGAGATCAAATGAGTTTATTTGAAAGAATTTATTGTTAATTTTTATTTAGTTATTTATCTATATTAAAAATAAGTAAATGCATATAAACTTTATGGTAATTGTGATACCATCTTATTTTAAAATTAAATTGTAAAAAAAAACATTTTTCAAAACAAGCTTTCAACAAATGGTTTCAACACAAGTTTAGCCTATTGAAGTTAGTTACCAGTAAGGTTTCATAAAGCACCTTACAGTGAATTTCCTATCCCACCGCCATAAACGAATTAACCACTCGTTCATGCCCACCGCTAATTTTTTAATAGTTGCATTTATATGAACACCAGTTTAGATTTATCTATGAATGTAATGTTAGCAAAAACAAGATATAGAGGAATTATTAAATACTGTCGTAGAATAAGCTTGATATATAAACATTCATACAAATTATTTAGTTTTGAATAAAAGCTTTTACTAAAATACTGTAATTGAAGAGTAGGTTATTGAATAGCACATTTTATTGGATATTATTAGCAAAATAATTAATGAATGTTTAAAATTTTTAATAAAATTCAAATAATATGGATTTAAATTTTATTCAATAGTAATTTAAGCGTATCTAAATATACATATGTATTAAATTATATATATATATATATATATATATATATATATATATATATATATATATGTTCAGCTTTATATTTGAGGGAAGCCAGGTTAGGATACTAGTATTATAGAATTTTCTTTAAAAAAAAAGAAATAACTTTAAAGAATTTTACTATTTTTAGCTGAATCTACTTTTCATACAACGAATCGTATACGAGTATCTACAGTACGAAGACTAACAGCATTTACGTGCTTGATATCTAAAGTATAAATCTTATTCCTGTTTCCATTAATATTGTACTACTAGCGTTCTAGACCAAACGCTCTTGTATTCGAAGTAATATGTAATAATGTACTCTATAAAAGCGATTTGCTTTTATTTTATTGACTTTATTGTAATATATACAAGTCACGATTTTGTTTTGTTACGTAGATAAAAATAATTAATATGACAATCTTTGCTAAATTAATAAATACTGAAATTCACTCATATATATCCGTTCAGTTGTTACAGTATAAGGAAGGTAAAAGCATACTAACTCTTTCATTCTTACTCATAAACAATCGCATTTATACCTAATATTAAATGTGACAAGCATATGTTTACTTAGTTAGCATTTTTATATATAGATCACATTTTCCAAACTTCATTTCATATTGAAGCACTAATTAAACTCATATCATAAAATGAAACCTAAGTACTTAAATCTTTCTCGAGCGACACGCAACGAGTGACAACAGATGTACAAAAATAGTAGACCCGCATATATTTCTTACTGTATCCAAAAAATCTTCACGAAAATTCAATAAATAAATTTCAAAAAAAATATTCAATATAAGTACAATTTTGATCACGACATACATATTTAAACTAAATAATATTTAAATGTGAAGCCCTCCTTTTGTATAAGAATAAAGGCATTTACACGGAAAAAATAGACATTAATTAATTCATTATTTCATGATTTTTAAATGAAATTAAAAACGAAAAAACGGATATTATTAATTTGGACAATACAGTCTAAATGAATTCCAGCCATTTACGACGAAATAAAGAAAGACCTAGAAATGTAGATAATAGCTGTAATTTAGATAAAATCTTGATAAAACACAAGGCAAAAATTATAGTATAAATAATCTACAAAACAAATACGTACCAAATTATGTGTAATACAATCAATAATCATAATAGAAATGTAATACAACCTAACCTTTGATATTCAAACAAGTTGCCTTTGATAATCCATATCCATACTAATATTATAAATGTAAAGTGTGTTTGTTTGTTTGTCCTTCTTTCACGTCGAAACGGAGTGACGGATTGGCATGATTTTTTGTGTGGAATTAATTAGAGAGCTGGAGAGTGACATAGGCTATTTTTTACCGCGGGAGATTATCTCATTTCCAAGGTAAAACACGTTATAATACTATCCAAAAAAATATTTATGATCAGAATTACTTGAAACTTGGTATAAATGCTCTTCAATACAATTAAATAGGTGTTTCAGCATTATTCGAAATTCATCCCATAAGGGGGTAAAATAGGGAATGAAAGTTTTTATGGAACTTACTTTTTAGAGATTTTTTGAAGTTTTATCGCGAGCGAAGCCGCGGGTTCTGCTAGTCTATACATATAATAAAATTGTAACTAAGCCAAATGAATCTGTACATTAAGTATTTTTTGGAAAATCTTATTGAAATAAAAATTATTATCGATAGACTGAATCTATAGTTTTTAGATTTTTTGTCTGTCTGTCTGTCTGTTTGTTGCCGCATCACAGAAAAACCACTGGAGGGATTTTGATGAAAGGTATGGTTATAGCTGGTTATCCAGGTCAACATATAGGATACTTTTTACCGCGGGAAAATGTCTCATTTCTGAGAAAAAATACAAAAACTGCAATGTAAGTGTATGTATGTACTAATATGTCAATCCCAAAAAATTTGTTTTTGGTCACCTGAACGCGGGCAGAGTCGCGGGCAATGCTAGTTCAAAATAAAACCGTATCTATTTCGCTGCAATTTTGTGTTATATGCAATCGGCCAAATATTTTCGCAACAAATTTCAATTCTACTCGTACGTCAAATATCGATGCAGCGCAAATTCCTTTTGATGTTAGCTAGAAATTCAACAACGATCGGATCACGTGTGTTGAATGAATGTAATTTTGTTTACATTTACATAAAATACTTGAAGTACCTATACTTAATATGCAGGCGCAAAAATGTATTTCAAAGATATTAAATGTTGTAAAAGGGGCTTATTTATTTATGTTATGTATTACATCAAATCTTCTCTTATTTTGTATTTCTTATATAATTTATCTTAGTTTTAGGATATAATTTCAAATAAAAGTACAGAATATATTCCAATTAACAATTCTTATACATATAAACAATCTTACATAACTCAAGCTATTTCTGTATTAATTATTTAGATTTTAGTCAATTTCTATTACAATTAGTACAAATATTTAACTGTTAAAAGGATAAGACATCAAATAAACATTAGCATTTATATTATTAATTAATAAAGTCAAAACGTGTTTCCGCTTCCGACGTAGGTGAAAAAAATGTGGCTGAATAAATGACGGGCAAAACTTGTAAGGAGTACATATGTATTTACATATATTATTAAAACTTTTAGAATATTTCAAAATGCGAAGCTTTACAATTAAGCCTTGTCGTGTGAAATCATACAGCTGGTTAAAATACAAATTAAACTTATAATGGGTATTTATAAGCTACAACGATACTAAAGTAGATTACTTAATTGACGACGATTATGTTACAATTAATTAAAATTTAACTAACGATAGCTCAAAGTCGAAGAAAAGCTTAAATAGAGCTAAGCTCTATTTTGCCTGTCCACAATACAAATTGTTTGAAATTATAAGTAAATAAATACATTATTTGTTAACATCTATTACTAAACACTATGTACCACAGATCACATAATACTATACGTACTACTAACCTGTTGCCTATGAAACCGGCTAAATAGGTTATTATGTTTTGCTTACTCAGTGATACCCCGACGTATATAATATTCCATAATGAGGATAATGAACACATAACTAATAACTGCCTCGGTGGTGTAATGGCTAGCATGTACGGCTGCACACCCGGAGGTCCTATTTTCGAATCCTGGGCCGGGCCAAGTTGTTGAATCTTTCTGTGTAGTAAAGTATAGATTTACATAGTAGGTATATATAGTAGTAGTAATAATAATCGAGTGTTAATTTTTTTCCTTTATTGTAAACTAGCGACTCACCCTCGCTGCGTTCGGGTTTGTCCCTAGCTTGATTCCCCGTAGAAACTTTCATCCCCATATACACCCCCTTAAGGGATGATTTCTGGGATAAAAAGTATTTTATATTCTTCCCAAGTTATCAAACTATCTTCTTACCAAATTTCATCTAAATCGGTTCAGTAGATCCAGAGATTACCCTCTACAACGTCACAAACTCACAATTCACAAATTCACAAACTCACAAATTTTACCTATTTATAAATTAGTATAGATAGTATAGATAAATTCTTTGTTACTATTTTAGTAAACTATTAAAAGCATATGTTTGGAAAACTACTATTACATATTATATTCTTATTCCAGCTTATACAAATGGATTCAACATCAATAACATTGGATAGAATGGATTTCCCTGCATCCGGCACTTATGCGTGCGAAATCGCGCTTGAAATACCTCTATATTCAAAGGCTTCGAAATTACAAGAAGTAAACGTTATAGGTAAATAAAGCCATTACTATTAATAGTTCGGATAACTTATCATATTTTTAATGAAATAAATAGCGCTTTCTTGTATTATCTTTTAAACACGTTTCATAAAATAAAAAAGTCTTAATGCAGTGTTATCGCGGGTTTTACTATTCACTTGAACGGACTTGTATGTTATTAAGCGAGGTAATGGGCTATTAACTATCTTCTTCTTCTTCTTCTCCCTGCCCATTTCCCAAATCACTTGGGGTCGGCGCAGTACATCTTCAGTGTACTGCTGATAGGATTTGGCAAAAGTTTTACGACCGGCCGCCTGCCTGACGTCAACCCTCCTTGGGAATGCTATTGTCTTTCTTTGTCTGAATGGTGTTAAATATTATGCACTTTCGATTTTGTTGTGTTTTAAAACATTTTTTATACTATTAATTCAATTATTAATGTTATTTTTGGGTATATTTTAAAATAAATTTCGATTACACAATAAATTTTGTATTGACGTTGTCAAATTTTTTCTTCTAATTTTTTTTTTTTCAACTATGTTATCATTATAAAATGTGTATTTGTATTAGAAGTGTACATTGATGAATTTTTCGTATCCCTTTCTTTCACTCAGCAGCCGAGCAGCGAGGTTTTTTGTATAGAGATTGCAAGTTAGAGAGGGGCATTGGCTAGTTTTTATTACCATTAAATAATTTATGTGATATATTATTACATTATTATAATGAGAATCTGAATATATTCTATTATTAATATTATAAATGCAAAAGTATGGATGGATGTTTGTTACTCAACGGCTGAAGATATCTGGATGAAATTTATGTTAAATTTAAGTTTTAAAATATTAAAAAAATGGCACATATACAATCTAAATCAGATTATAGTCTGGTATTCCAGACTATAATCTGTGCTATTGCACATAGGTTTTTGCAATTTTCATCCCGAAAAAATGTACAGTCCCCGTGGGATAGATTTGTTTTCGCTAATATTTTAAAATAAATGCTATGAATGCGCTCAATACTTGCGAAAAATTCAAACTATTGATATATCTTTGCAAATAAATTATTATAATAAATTGGTATTATATGGCTTATTTACTAGCCCAAGAATAAAAATCTCTGGAGCTTGCGAGCTAACATATTTACGAGTTCAACGTGACATTGGTATAGTGACATTAGTTAAGTTAAGAAAGTTAAATTAAAAAAAATAACCCACGAACAACAAGACAAACTTCTTGTATTATATATGAAAAGGCATAACATTAAATAAATAAATATTAAAAGTGTCCACGTCTTAAGAAGTCTAAGCTTAAAAGAATTAATGTTATTTTTCTTACCAAATATCGTGCTTTATTAACCATAACAGTAACTTTCAGTTCGGCAAAAACACCGTCCAAAAATAAAAGTGAAGCATAAAAACAAGAAATTCTTATCCCAGGATAATCTAGAAGCGAGTTGTCAAAGTGCACCGGCGTACCCCGCGCCTCACCTTACATGGCTTATTAACTATGAAAAGGTTAGAAGTTTTTTTTTTTTTATTATAGTTATTTTTAATTATTTATGCATTCATATTTAATCTAAGTCAATATTTAGTTTTTTGAATTTATTCACCATCTCAGGAGTCAAGGTACACATGTAATTTTTCTGTATCCGTTATATTATAAATGCGAAAGTTTAGATGGATGAATGTTTGCTACTCAGTCACGTCAATATGGCAGAACGGAACTAGATGAAATTTGGCACAGGATAGATTATATTCTGGAATAGCAATAGCATATAGTCTCTTTATCCCTTTATTCTTTTACTTGGCCATCGCACATGATAATAGAACTTGCAAATAACAAAATTTACCTAATATTAGCGTTCTGAGTGCATTATTTATGTTAGTATATGCATAAATTTAACCCGCTAGTGCTATGTTCAGTTGATCTCAGCTCAAACACGTCCACAGCTGGACATAGGCCTCCCCAAAAATTTCCACGACAACCAGTCTTGTGCCATCCGTATCCAGTGGGCTCCAGCGACTTTGACCAAGTCGTCCGTCCACCTTGGTCATGGTATGTTTAATTAGGACTATTTAAAGTACTAGACTCTTATGTGATTATGTTTCCGTGCGATGGCCAAGCCATTCTATTAATTAAAGAAATAAATATATCTAATATTAATACGGTCACTATAAAATGTTGTAACTTAACTAATTCGGTAACGATTTATGACAAAGTTGTCGGATAGATGCTTCCATAGATAGGTAATGAATAAATTAACCGACTTGGTTTTACATTATATCTCATAGCTTTTTGCGGTAGAAAAAAATACGTTGCGAGACTTGCAATTTTTTTACAGTATGTTTTTGATGGGATTTATATTTATTTAAAACGTACTTAGGAACGCACCCGAGCGAAGCTAGGGTAAATCGCTAGTATGATATAACACACTTACATGGTATGGGTAAATTCTTAAAATAAATAAAAATAATTAATTTCTATATAGGTAAATGTATTGGTAAATTTGTAACAAATTGAAATCAACAATAAACTTAACTTGAACTTAAACAACTCCGTTTACTTTATAATTAATCGATTACCAACAGTCTATGTTTTAAATAAATCTAAGAAAATATTAGTCTATGTTTTCTTTAAGGCTTCTAACATTGACTTTATAATAAGATTAAGTTTTTACATTGAATACGATTTTTGCACTGTAATCTACAGGCAAGGCTTTTATAGTTTTTTTTTCACTATAGACACATATCTCATGAAAACCACAGAAGGAACAAATTTTGATTTTTTTAGGTTAAGGTACCTACTTACTAACATATTAAAATAAATAATTTTATTTCCTTTCTTTAAATAGCTTGTTTAAGTAATATAAAGCGGATGTTACATTTATGACTTAACATTAGAATACCATTAGAAATATAGAACTAGTAAAAAATAAATACGGCTAACACTTATTAAATATTTACATATTATACGCACAAAACAATTTCAATTTTCAAGCAAACATTTTATTAGATTGTGGTTAGAAAATAATAATATTTTTATTTATTTTTCAATATAAATAAATATATTCGATTTATTTATTAAAATGTTTCAACAAAAAATTCAGCCTACGAAAAATGAATCTGAAAAGCTACAATTAAAACCAACCTTTTTAATATTAATACCAAGGCTCTTACTAACTAATTTCACTGGTTTACAAAATTTTAACTTTGTCTTGCCACACGGACTTTTTTGATATTTTTAAATTTAATATGTAGTTGTCATGAAAAACAAACAGTAAAAAAATCTGTTGGCCAAGAAGTTTATTCTCTGAGTAATCCAAAATATTTCAAAAAAAAGTGACCTCCGAAACCAAAATATAAATAGTTTTATTATGTGAAGGTACGATTTAAGATTTTCTTGCAAATTTAGCTCTTGGTTGGTTCTTTCTTATTGTCCAGCAGTAATGTGCCAACATCCTTATGCTCCATTTATCTTGGTAACGCTTTTCCACTTTTGAAATGTCCTGATGGAACTGTTCTCCGTACTCATCCCTCACAGCCTCCAAATTCTCTGAAAACAAAACAAGAGCGAGTCTAAAATTGAATCTTGAGTGACATGTTGCAACACAATCCTTGATTAGCCAACAATAGCTCGATAACCAATTTTTATAGGTGCCACTCTTATAGTTACCCAACAAAATCATAACATACTTAAAAGATTTTACATGCGGGCTTTCTAAATCATTAAATTTTTCTTTGATCTTATATTAAATTCCTGATTCGAAGTCCTACAAAAATACTCTCTTTTATCTGTAAATCACTTATTTTGAGGATTTTTTCTTCGAACTCATCAACATATTGGCTTGAAGTGGAGGTATGTGAATTTTCAATTTCAACAGAAGAAGATAACAACTGGTAAAGGCATTTTTTTTACTATGAGGGACTGGTCTTATAGCTGGTCTATTTTTTCTTAAAATTTATTATGTCAGTGAGACAAAAATAGCAGTCCGAAACGCGATCTCTTGGTGCAGTCCAAATCATGAGTATACTAAACAACATATGACGAGATCTTTTCATCCAATCGGCTAAGTTCTTCACACACAAAATGCAATAAATGTGAGGGGCCCGTGATTTGTCTTAATGGACCACAGAGAAACCAAAATACCGGCGATAACTCCAAGACAAGTTTTGTGAAATTCCGTCTTTGTTTTTTTTTAATTCAGTTCAGCTCAAACGTAATAAAAGTGAATTCAGGATCGTTACTATATTTTTTACATGTTAATGTTAATGCAGCTACTTAATCACATAAAAACTAATTAAGTCACAGACAAATAGTTATGAGACTATTTCATCACGAAGGTTCTTCGCTTTTATTTCCGTAGTACTAGTTATGAATATTATCTTATCACAAGAAATCTGAGGCTAATTCGAACGAAAGAATTGCAGTGTACTAGGAAATTTAAATGCATATATGTTTGTATGTATATATTTATGTGTGTATGTATGTATTTATGTATGTATATATGTATATATGTATGTATATAAGTATGTATTTATACAAGTACACCGCCTAACATTTTTATATACTGATTCCTCTACCCTAAGGCCGTTGCCTGGAAGAGATCGCTTCTAGCGATAAGGCCGCCTGCTGTGCATATTTTTATTGTTATGTATTTCACTTCTTTATTTATTTTCTTGTGTGGTGTGCAATAAAGTGTTCATTATTATTATAGTTCCCTAAAACAGTATTAGCTATCAAAGTTCGTGTGGCATGACTTATGTTGACCAGTGTTTTTAGTCGGCTTGTTTATTTGCTGTTGTCATAAAAAATATATTTTATTGTATACTAGCTAATGCCAATGACTTCTGATACGTATATATTTTATCCAAAATAAAATGATTACAATTAAATAAGGTCTATTATAGTGTAACTGCGCTTTGTTTCTCTACCACAGCTGTTTCACTGTGAAATCGATCGTGCGTTAATAATTTACTGTCGTCCGTTTAATTATTTCGGCCTATTGTATTTCCATTTCATATCCTTAAATTTTAATTATCTTCCTACTGCCTGTGTATTTTTGTACGTTGCTCTTGTTTTTTATGCTACTCGATATAGCTAGCTAGACTAGTACCTAGTCATGACAGCAGATCATGAAGACTCAGATTCGAGACCTGGGTCGAGGTCAATTTTTTATCTAGATAATTCTCTGTTATGGCCCAGGATCAGGAAGTTAGGGGTTTTACACCATGCGTCCGCGAGCACGTAAAGCTGACCGTCCTCTCCATATTTTTTTTCAGTCATGTTTGTTTACCGCCGTATCGAAGATAAATAAATAAAAATAAAAAATGCATTTGGTTACAGGTGGACGAAAGGTTAACCATTCCACATGGGACAGTACTTTCTAACCGCCACCATCACGGAATGCCACTTTCACACACAAACTCTTCCTTAATACTCCCCCTCAATGATCTGCAGTTGTTATCGAACGAAGCTATCGTCATTACCTGCCTGAGTACCATACCGAGTTATGCTTACCTTGATGAAGGGTTCGCAGATATACAAAATCATACAATTACTGGTAAGTTAATATCTATTGCCCACGAGATACTAAACATGGCCGTACTCATGCCTCCTGTGGCATCCTTTTAAATAATTTCGAGAAACTACACTAAAAATACTAAAACTATACTCAATTATATAATATAACAATAAAATAGGTAATTATCCACTGACAATTATTAAAACCTTTCTAGTACTTTAGAAATAATAAAAAATATAAAACTTTTTTTATAAGGATTAAAAATCTCGTTAAAATCAGTTTAGCAGATCCGAAGTGAAAACTTTCTTCAAATACTTGTTTGGGTACAAAAAAAACATAGGTGCTTACTACAAATTCTTCATTTTGTTAAGACTGGCCGCAATAATAATTCTTATCTATACCAATATTATGAAGTGGCAGTGTTTGTTTGTTTTTTTGTTTGTTTTACATTTGCTATATACATTATATATATACAACGTGTCCCAAAATTAAACGATAAGCGGGCACCAGAAGATGGACCTGCTCATGAATACTCGATTATCCCCTAAAATTTTGAAAGATTTTTACTTTCAGTCCACTTTCAATCATCGTAGTGTAAAAAATAAGTATGATGATGGCAAGTTTTTTTAAAAATTGACGCAACTAACCAAGATTCTAAAATGGTATAATATACTAGGAAAACTAGCCACAAAAAAATGCGTACTATTTCTAAACACAAACTATATATTTTCATAATTGTATTGTCATATAATATATAGTCTATCTATTCCATACTAACCGTTATAGCGAGGATGAGTCGCTAGTCATATCAATAATAATAAGAAACACTAGCGACTCACCCTCTCTTCGCTCGGGTTCGTCCCTAGATTGATTCCCCATACAAACTTTCATTCCCATTTTCACCCCCTTAAGGTATGTATCCTAAGTCCTTCCCCGGGTCTCAAACTATCTTCTTACCAAATTTTATCTAAATCGGTTCCGTAGATCCAGAGATTACCCCCTACAACGTCACAAGCTCACAAACTCACAAACTTTACCTCTTTATAATATTAGTATAGATTAAATAGGAGTAGAGAGTTAAATAATAATAAATAATTAATCAAATCAACAGTTATTTGAAATATTATATGTGTTTTCGTTCATTATATGCAAATTTTCAAATGAATACTATAATTATTAAATGTACCTTTAAATTATATATCTTAATTTGTATCACAATGTCCTCTGTAACATTGAGAGTCGTGCTTATAAAAAAGATACATACCTAGATTTTAATAAAACAAAATTAAGAAGAGCTTTTGGCTTTGTGTGGTTGTAAGCTCATTGAAAACGATGTACCGTTACAATGATTAGATTTCTATAGCGATTGGGTTCTCTTTGAGGTTACCTTTAAATACAACGTTCACTATTTACTATTAAATCTAAACTAAAAGCTAAGTACACTTAAAAGGAGATTTCGGTAAAGGTAGTAATTGTATTATTTTAAAATGAACTGCTCTACGATGTTTCTTTCATACACTATACAGAATACTAATAAAGATTTTCGTAACACAGAACCGAAAAAAATAAAACTGAATGAATAAAAAAATGAAGTTATTTGGTAATTAAAGCTTCTATTAACATGAAAGTTAATTATAGTGGTTATAAAAGAATGAAATGAGGTACTTTACCTAAGGCTCTCAATTTTTAATGTGAACGGTTCTTTTTACCCGACATTATAGAGCACATACTTTAAAAACTTGTATATATTAAGTACAATGTACATACTAACAACTTACCTACCATTGTTTTGCCTGTTGCGTCCCTAGTTATCTAACATCATATACGAGTATGGTACTCAATGTCTATCTATGTACTAAATTTCATCCAAATCTGTCCAGCTGTTTCAGTATAAAAGAGTAACAGACATACACACACATAGCGCACATACGAAAGCTTATGCTTTTGTAAGTTTTTGGTAGTTCGATATTTGTAATATATTTATTCGATATTTATTAACGATGCTATACTAATATTACTCTTTATTTTCAGTCAACGTGGTTCGTATGGAACCGACGCCTACTCAATTACCAGTTAAGATAGTAAGTCCAAACACGAGTCGATCTAGTCATATATTTAGGTATAATTCATTTATTGTAATAATTATTGCAATTATAAATTTAAATGTATAAATGTATCATTCTTTGAATATATAAAACCCTAAAGTGTTATTGCTTTGAATGTTCTACATATAAACTAATAATTAATTAACATAATAAATTAATAACAACATAATTATTATATGTAATAAAATATCTCCTTACAAGACCTTTATAAATTTAATTACCTTATAATTTCAGTTGAGAATTATTCGAGACAAGGTTAAAATTATTCAATATACAATTAACTTTCACTAACAAAACAAAATAATATGTATGATAATGAAACTAAGCAACAGGTACCTTATGATCTGAGGATATCATTCGCATATTTATTAAAATTTCTATATATCTCTTTTTCTACAGTCGATATCGGTATAGAAATTTAAATAAATAACCTAACAAACAGAGTAAACAACACAACTAATTTAAAGAAAAAAATAAAAACCGGTCAAGTGCGAGTCGGACTCGCGCATGAAGGGTTCCGTACCATTAGGATCTATAAAAACCGCAAAAAAAGTCACGTTTGTTGTATGGAAGCCCCCTTAAATATTTCTTTAATTCAGTTTTTTTTGTATTTGTTGTTATAGAGGCAACAGAAATACATCATCTGTGAAAATTTCAACTGTCTAACTATCACAGTTCATGAGATACAGCCTATTGACAGACGGACGGATAACGGAGTCTTAGTAATAGGGTCCCGTTTTACCCTTTTGGTACGGAACCCTAATAGACTACTCTAAAATACTCTTTTGTGAATGCAGAGCCTAAACAGAGGATATTAATTTATTAAATTTCCCAAAAATATACTTTTGGCAATCTAAAATTTTAACGTATTTATTGAGTCATTTCAATAATACCTGCAAATCGTCAGACAAATTTAGCAATTTTAAACAATTCCCAGACGTAAATAAAGATACGAGTTCAAGTTATATAAATTAGGCTTTATTCATCTTTAGAAAAATACATACATGTATTAGAGACTATTATAAAATACATATCACAGTTGTTTCTAGTAACATATATTTAGTACTAGCGACCGTTATTTAATACTATTTCAACTGTCTAACTATCACGGTTCATGAGATACAGCCTGGTGACGCACGGACAGACAAACGGACGGATAGCGGAGTCTTAGTAATAGGGTCCCGTTTTACCCTTTGGGTACGACACCCTAATAAAATACTCTGTTGTTCATGCAGAACCCGAACCATATTCGAAACGCGCGTTTTCTCGATAACCAATCACAGCGCGAGGACCTGGATCCCCCATCAGCTGCTGGCATACCTCGATAAGCTATCGTTCTTGCACGCTACACAAAAGACTTTTTTGTAGTACTCATTTGTAAACTTTATTTACGTCTGGGAACTGTTTAAAACCTGTAAATATTAATACGTGATCAAAATTTCAGATTGCCAAAAGTATATTTTTCGGAATTTTAATAAAATATCTTTGGCGTGGTCTGGTAATACTTTATAACCAACAAAAACGTCTGGGGATATTTTTTTTTTGAATTATACATATAAAAACTAAATTAAAATATTAAACACAAATCATGTTGCCAAAAATATGGTCTTTTTTGGATATTTTTTTGCAAATGTTATATACGGCGCGTACGCACTAAAGATTTTAATATAATTAAATATACATATTAAGTTAAAATAAAAAGAACAATATTATGTTATGAAACGTAAATATTTGTAATGTAAATATACTAAAGAGCTTCTAAGACCTATATTATTATGAAGTTCAAGGGTATAGTGTTAAGACCTACATCTCATCTACGTCATATGTGAGTTATAAAAATTATTATTTTGTCAATAATTTTTTTTTTTTAAAAAGTGTTTAAAGAGTAAGTAAGTATACACAACTCGTATGTAAAAAAAAAAAAATATAAACATTAATTTGTTCAGGTCTTAATACTTATATCGTAAAGACTATAACTACCGAAGAATGTAAACACTAGTCTTAAAATTTTTGTACTCCTAACGTTTCATCCCGTAAAATGCAAAGCTTCTTCGAATCCTTTGTATATTCACTTTTGTACGCAAATATGAAACTGAATAGGACATTTGAATTGTTATAAACCATGCAACACTTGCATTTAACTAAAATTTTGCATTCACCTTAGATATAATATGTCAATTTTTTTAGTTTTTATTGTATGTGGGACTCACCGGCTAGAAATGCTGGTACTACCAACTAAAACCCAACGAAATCTCCTTCGTCTTAATTGAACGCCGCATGATCGCTTATGCACTCAACCGCAACGCCCCGACGGTCTGCCGAAGCAGACCACAACAACCTTGAGGTTGCTCCAACAGTCCACTCTGCTATCAGAGAAGTACCAGGAGCAACCCGCATGGCACACCACCCACCGAGGTGGGCCTCCTCCCAGTGCGTTTCTTGGTTTCGCGCCCGGCTGCGTCTCAGGGCGCTAATGTGTTCCTCCATAAATGCAGTAGGTATACAGGTGGTATGTCCTATACCAAATTTTTATTCGTAAAAATATTCACAAGAAACTAGTTTCCATTCATGCTGTTATTTATTCCTTTTCGAAATAAATAATGAAAACAAATCAATTCTAATTCAAAGTAGAATTTTACTTTGATATTTATTTTAAATTGTAAAGTATTCAATGAAACCTTTCAACGTTAAAATAGATTCGAAGATGTTACGAAAACATTTTAAGTAGTTTCAATATTCCGTTATAAAATTTGTAAACTCTCAACATTATTTTTGTTTATATCACTCCAACTTGACAATAAAAATAGTAAATATCGCCAAATAAAAGCCTATTCTACAAGACGCTTTATTATTTTTCTTATATAATGAAAATTTATGCGTGTTTCACTATAGATATAGGCCCCATTGGACTAGTACTATATTATACATTCTTATCGATCGTGTCGAATTGTCTTCGCACCGAAATAGAACACTGTAAATTATTATAAATTAAAAATTTAAAAAACCCCATACGCAAATTAATTGTCATTGAACGATTACACTGGCACGCGTGAAGCACTTAATCGAATAATCATACGCCAAAATGCCTTAGGTACATCATTTTGGAAAAGAGCTGATACTCTTACACTGCTGGACCGACATTAACCAAACATAGCTAAGAACCACCGCAAGGAAACTGGCTTTCAAATGGAAAAACCGCATCGAAATCGGTCCATCCGTTTGAGAGCTACGATGCCACACACAGATAGACATCGACCTCAAACTTATAATACCCCTCTTTTCGCATCGGGGGTTAAAAATAGAGTGTACTAAGTACTTGTGTTTGGGACATACAGCATAATTGTGCACTATAATATGTCTAATACATTTGGCTAGTCTTAGTGAGATTGGCCGTCGTAACCGAAATCGGTTAAGAGGACATTATAATCTAAATGTCGGTATTTTTATTGATTAATATCTTAAGACATTTTCAGCTTGGAAACGAATAATGTAAATAAGTGACTAAGTAAGGATTTGACTAAACATATCATGTTAGGGAGTGAGTTGTCAATAAAACTATACATTAAATATATAAATGTTGCATCATTTGGCTTTTTATTAATGGTCTCTATCCATGAAGTAAATAAATAATAGGTATTTTTTAATTATTCTTATGTAACTGAACACTTTAAAAGTATTGGAGCTTACACTTTTATACACTTTAAGAGTTTCATAATATAATATATAGTTTTCATATTTGCATATTTTATTCGTTCCGATCTGCTTCAGATGAAATGTGGCATTACATAGAAATGTAGGTATTTTTGTAGGTGCCTCTATCAATATGTCTCGAAGTAAGTGGATAAACGACTTCAAAACGATGAGTTTTCTTTCCATACCACACTAATGTTTGTTGGTTTGTTGAACATGTAAATACATCTTAATTCATAAATTTACAAACATTATTTTTATAAAACAAGACACTTATAAAAAGTAGATTATGTTTTTGTGATATGTAAAAATAAGATTCATTTTAATATCTTTCAATTTTCCATTCATCATTATGTCAAATTTATGTTCTAAAAATATTCAAATTTTAAAGCAGTTAAGTTATTTAACACTCATTTACTTAATATCTTGTAATAACCATATAAAAAATACTGAAACAAATGTAAAGTTAAAAATATCCTAAGCAGGTGAAAGTTCTTGTTGTAATGAGAAGCTTTCGCCGAAATTTGCTCCAAATATTGGTTATTTTTAAAATCGGAAACCAAAAATCATAATAAATCCGCGGAAAAATACAAAGTGATAGTTTTATTTAAAATGTAAAATATTCGCGTAAATCTAAGAAAGTATTATTTTTTTGATGTTTCAAAAATATTTCGAAACATGTTAGGAAATGGAATGTGATATACCTATTATTAATTTCATACGAACTTCCTATATCCTGACTGGTATTTGACTATCATAGTATCGCCAATATATCGTGTTTGAACTAAATCAATTATTCTTGATCAAAAAAAGGTATAAAAAAATACAGTAAATTTTAAGATAACAGTATTTCTTTATTGCTACCCTTATTTTGTAAATATTAAAAAATCAATTTGAGTTAAAATAATAAAACAAAAATGATATATTTCATATAAAATATTCTTCAGTTAGTCAAATTTTGATTTTTGGTTTTAAAAATCCACATTGAATTAATACTTATTGTCCTTGAAAAGAATAACTAACATGTTTTGCTGTTTTGTATTTTAATAAGTTTCACAAAAAAAAATTTATTAACTATTCAAGACATATATGTATGATATAGATATACCTATTGGGTACGTGAGTACTTATTACCGTTGATATAGGTACTTGAAGTACATAGTCATTAAAAATGTAAATTAAATTTAAATAACTTATCAATCGTTCAAATGCTGTTTTAAAAAATAACAACAGGTTTTTTACAAAAATATGTTATTTGATAAATAAAAGTGGACAAGTGCGAATCTGTCTCGCGCACCAAGATTTCATACCATCAAAATTTAAATATGTAAAAATATATTTACACATTATTTTTGAAACACAAGATATATTAATTTTATCGAGTGAAAACAAGTTTATATTTCACAGTATTATTAAAGCTTCGGTGGTCTAATAGCTAGCATTTACGGTTATAAATCTTCGAGTCCAAGGTTCGAGTCCCGAGCCAGCCAAGTTTAGTTATTGAGCATTTCTATCAGGAAATTTTCTGTAGAACCTCGGAGTTGGGAATTTGACAGTGTGACATCCCCGTGCCTCGGAGAGCAAGTACAGCCGTGAGCCGTCGGTCTGCGCCTGATCTCTCACCGCTCGTGTCAAACTATCGTCGCACCTGAGTACGAGAGTAACAGCAATAGATATTGATAAATACTGTAAAAAGAAAGTCACTTTTGAAACCCCTATATTAACAAAACGTGTATCCTAAAACATCATATTATATTTCTAAAACTACTCAATTTCACACACATACTTTTAAAAATATATAAAAATTAGTAGTAGTCTCCGAGTAAAATGGCTGTGGTATACAGACTAGACTCACATGATATGATTATAAAGCTTTCGTTTTTGCCTTTTCTCAACGGATTCCTGATCGAATGTGATGTCACCCACTATGCTAATATAATTATTTATATTCGACGTGAATTACAGAATACAACTGAGTACTTGCTAGTATAGTATAGATATTGGTACATGCACATAATATCGTTGACTCAAATATTTAGTATAACAATACCTATAGTATCTCAATGTTTTGCTTGGGATAAAATAATGTTTCTAATACTTATGGCAATGGTGGTGATGGCAGGAGCTAATAGACACGGTGATCCAGCTGCAGAACAATTAGAAGTATTTCGAAAGAAACATCCGGTATGTCCCCTAAAATAATATAACTTTGACTAAATAAGTGAGAGAATGAGTGAGGAATAAAAAAGTTATTCTTTAATTAGTTATTTCGAATAAATATCCAAAAATAAATTCAATCAACTTTACTTAAAACATCACTTCGTAGTATCAGCCAGTCATTTCCCTTAAAAAGCTGCAATGTTAATAAACGTAATCTCTTTTTTAGGTTCCTGTCGGTATAGTGACTACGAGAGCAGGCAGACCAATTCCATACTCTGAAGCATCTGGCACGTTAGACTTGAGATTATTTTACAATGATTATCTGATGGAATCCTTGACTTCCTTGAACCGAGAACGAATTCCCGTGCGTGTAGTTCACACAAAAGCTGGAGGAGCTTTTGGATACTTCGAAGTAACTAATGACATATCTAGCATTACTAAAGCTTGTCTATTCAGTAAAGTTGGGAAGAGAACACCTGTCGCAGCGAGATTCTCGCCTCTCGTCGCCGATAAAGGAGGCAGTGATTTGTCTCGTGATGTGCGAGGTTTTGCCTTAAAATTTTACACGGAGGAAGGAAATTATGATTTAGTGGGATTAAATCAACCTGTTTTTGGTGTTAAAGATCCACGACTTTTTACTACGCTTGTCCATTCTCAAAAAGGAAATCCAGCTACTAATATTAACAACGCAAACGCATTTTGGGATTTTCTAACTTTACAACCAGAAACCTTCAACTTATATTTACGCTTATTCACTGATACAGGAATTCCAAACGGCTACCGTCATATGCCCGGATTCGGTATTCATACATTTCAAGTAGAAAATAGTGTAGGTGATATTTACTTTATAAGATATCATCTTATACCAGACGCAGGTCTTAAGAATTTTACTGCTCATGAAGCAAGAGAAGTCGGAGCAGATGACCCTGATTACAATACAAGAGATCTATATAACTCTATTGAAAATGGTATTTTTCCTACTTGGACGGTTTATTTACAGATTCTAACAATGGAACAGTTGGAGGAGGCTGGTCCGAGTCGTATTTGTGATGTTACCAGAACTCTTCCTATAAGTAAATATCCATTAACTAAAGTAGGAATATTAGTTTTAAATAGAAACCCGCTAAATTATTTCGCCGAAATAGAACAATTGGGCTTCATGCCTAGTAATTTAATCCCAGGAATAACAGGAGCACCAGATAACCTCTATCAAGCACGAATCTTGGCTTACCGAGATGCTCTCAATTATCGCTTAGGCGTTAATTTCAATAAAATTAAAGTAAATTGCCCTTTGAGCCACACTTTTATTTACGACAGAGATGGCATACCATACGTTGAAAATAACGAGAATGATATTCCCAATTATTATCCGAACTCCTTTAATGGTCCAATACCATATAATGACAAGAACAATAAAGATAAACCTGTCATTTCAATAATAGAAACTGAACCAAACAACTTTGATCAAATGACAGATTATTATGTGAACGAATTAACAAGCGAGCAAAGAAACAGATTAATTGAAAACCTAATAATTGCTATAAAATCAATATCATGGTTTATTCAAGAAAGGGCGCAAAAAATTTTTACTGACATACATCCAGACCTCGGCGAAAGAATTTCACGTGGCCTTGTAAGGTTAAGTTATAAATTAAATTGGATGACTAGACATACTATTAGTTGAAGTCCCCATATTTCTGGATTTTAATATACATTATATTTGCTTTGATTTTCACGATACTTTTTTTACGTATTTTTTGTTACAAAGCAAGAGTTCTGGGATCGGAAATAAAATCTATTTAAAAATTTATTGCTTTTATATAAACTTATTAGTCACTAAGTCATTATTTTCCTACCTTTAGTTTCACATTCACTTCACTTTTGACAAAATTGTACAGTGAGCTTTTATTTGGTTGGAAAATATTATTGCAATGTTAATTCCCTTTTGGATTCTTATTTAAAATCTGTGCATAAAAAAAATAACAAAACGAAATGTACATAAAATATTTGTAGAGTAAATGGTAAATTTTAGCCAAGCGTAGGGTAAATAGTAAATTTCAGGCGGACATAGAGTTTAAGTAGGCAAATTTCAGGCAAAGGTAAGCATAGAGTGAATGATAAATTTCAGACAAGCATAGAGTAAATGGTAATTTTTTGGCAAGCGTAGAGTAAATGTTAAATTTCAGGTAAACGTAAAGTAAATGGTAAATTTCAGGTAATGGTAGAGTAAATAGGTAAATTTCAGGCAGAAAAATGGTAAAAATAAAACGATAATATTTTGTGTATAATAATTTATTGCGTACTTTAAACCTAGATGTATAAATCGCTCGTCTCCGAAACGCTTTACCTTAACACTAATTAAAAAATTGGCATAAAATAAAAATATATTTCAATTTCTCTATATAGTTGAGGCACAATAATGTTTATGATACACGCTTACACTAGCTTAAGTAATTGTTTTTCGTTTACATTTGTAAGTCAGGAATTACCGCACATTGAAGATTTACTTAAATACGGAGCAATTTGTCATATCGCCACTTCATTTCATTTAAATATACAACTCGTATATACAATATATTCATATTAATGTACTTATATATCTGATTTGTCTGCAATATGCGGCAACTCTTACTGTTGACTTGGATTTACTCTAAGTTAGACCTAAATCTATTCCCGGCCATTTTATTAGATATTAAAATTTAAAGTATGAGCATTTATTATTTATTATCGAGTATAACTTTAAGCATTCCTATTATACAAATAGTTTATAGGTATTTTCTCGAACTGCCATTCGGTTCGAAAATAACTGAAAATCTGGACGAAATTTAATGAAACTTACATTAACCTTTTATATTTGGTTAAACAGTAAAACTTACAAATGGCCACGTCATATTTTAGACAGATCGGTTCAAACAATTATAATAGACTCTGTAATACACTCTCGTACTTTTCAAATACGAGAACGTTAATAAGTGAAACATGGCAAGAGTCAAAAACGTGATATGAATTATAATTATAATGTATAAAAATGTCAACAAACCTACCATATGTGGTTGAGAAGAGTATTTCACACTTACTTTGCATTAAGCTATTATCACACAATAAGGCTATTTGTAGAGAACAGAAGATGTCATAAAAAGGGTCGACACTTGCCAAGTCGTTGTAGTGTTCGCTAGGAGGTTTTGTATGGGATGTATGGGTTGTATGGGTGTGCGTATAAATGTCTGGGTCAGTCAGAGTCGCTACCAGACTCAGAAAGGCAAAGGTCGTCGTTGAGCACATCGCTGGGTAACCCCGCGTTGGACACACCTACAAAGAAACGAATTATATAATAATAATTGTGTAAAATGTCAAATGATGTAAACAAACTGTTTTAAAAATATTCTAGGAAAATAAAAGTGTGCTCGTAAATGAAATTTGTGTATTTTACTGATATTGAAAAATTCAGCATTCAGAATTTTCAGCAATGAGAATCGTAGTGCATGATGGCCCTTTTACTTTTTATGAATTGTTTATATCATGGTTAACCTGATGAGATTACTCAATTTCTTTATTAAAACTAAGGGTGAACTTTGCAATAGTTGACATATTTTATTTATTAAATATACCACTTAGAAATTTTGCGGATCAACGACATCTATTATCAATTCAAGTAAACAATAATAGCCCGAATAGAAGAGATGCTACATTTGTGTAGTATTACGTAATTTGTAATAAAAATAAACAGGGACATCTATGCATACGCGGTTCATACTTATTACTTATACATAGTTGATTTTTAATCATCACTCAATCGTAAGATTGTGAAAATTTTATGTAACCATTAACAACAAATCTATACACTTAACGCCATCTACCGACGTTTATTTGAACTCATATCTCATAGTCAGGGGTCGGAAACTCGTTTTAGTCATTGACCCCAAGCTGAAAGGCATTTTTCGGTATATGCTTTTATAGATTAAAACCCTTAAAACGGTTTTAGAGGAATTTAGATTCCATGATAGAAATTAACCGTTTAAAATGAGTTTTTGTGCTTTAACATTTGGCGAGTCTTTGCTAATGATCAATTGCTTAGTAAAAACATGTAGGTTTGTTACTTAGGAATGAATTAACTGGTTTATTTTGGTATCTAAACCTTTCCTAAAGTCTAACCTTTCTCTAAAAAATTTACTAAGCCATTCGTTTTTATTCAGCGGTTAATTCATCGCTCATTCACCATTACATTACCGAAATTAACCGTTTTTTAACTGGTTACGAGCCCTGCTCATTCTGCCGTCATTAAACAAAGAAGGCCGTAATTAACAATTTGGTCAAAAATTACGTATATGCAAATTCGAAATCAACAAAAAAATGCATCTAGATAGCGTACTAGATAGCGTAAAAAACCTCTAAATCTTATGAATTCAGAGATACTCTCGATACTTTTTTGTTTGACATTAGCGAAGTTACGGGAGGAATAAAATGTTTATTTTTGTATCCAAATATAAAAGTTACATAACATAACCATCTTATACAATTATCGAAACCAATTATACGATCTGGCAGCCCCGGACGGTTGTCTACCGAGTGTATACCGAACTCGAGGCGCGTAGGTGTAAGTTGTAACTCGTTTTCCGACCGTTTGAATGAAGATGAAAAACTGTATATAACATTACCGTGACTTCGACGAAGTCACAGCCTTCTTTCTTATGACGGCAGCATTGTTTTGCGTATACAAGTAGCACATACCGTTGGAGAGCGCGGGCATGGCGGGCATGGCGGGCATGGCGGGGAGCGCGGGGAGGGCGGGCGGCGCGGGCGCGTCGTCGTCGCTGTCGCTGCCGCTCGCGCTGTCGCTATCGCTGTCGCTCGACGAGCTGGACGAGCTGTCGTCTTGTCGCGACACCTAGTCAAAATATACTAATTGTTAGTGTATGTATTGAGTATTCAGCCCTTTTTAACTTCCCACTGCTGGGCACGGGTCTAACTATGTATATCTCTTCATTGTGAACTGTAACGGTCACCGCAGTCTCGCATTAAAGGCTTAAGCAATACGTTGTGTTTGCTTCCATATCCAAATAACTACGCTCAGATTCGACACTTTCAATACGAGGAGGATCAGGCCATAGTCCACCATGGTGGCCAAGTACGGGCGGACTGAACATGTCTTTGGAGAACTTGTTAGGTTCTCTCAGACACGCAGGTTTCCTCACGATGTTTTCCTTTATCGTAAGATAATTGGCAATCATGTTGGAAATGATTAGCACATGAAAATATCAAAGCTGCGAGACCCGAGATTTGAACACGCTTCACTCGGTTTCCCAAGCGAGCGCGTTACCATTGGGCTAATACTGCCTAGTAGTTACTGTACTCTTGTGTATTTAAGTGAAGTTTATCATGTTGTTATCACTTTTGTTAAATGTTTGAGTAGAGTTACCAAGGTGTTATCACCTTTTTAAACGTTTAAGTGGAGTTATCAAGTCGTTATCACTTTTGTTAGACGTCTAACGAGAGTAGTTAAAGGTAGGTGTAGTTAAAGGAGTAGTAAAAAGTAGGAGAGTTTAAATTTACTACATGGCTTACTCAATAATGCGCGTGTTCCTACGCGTGTACATACATATATGTGTTATGCGTCTACATATTTGTGCCTATGTGTGCGTGTGTACACCTGCTGTTTGTATACCTGAGTATATGTATGTATTAGGGGTGTGCGAATAATTCGAACTTACGAATTATTCGTTCCGAATCGAAACTCGAATCGAATAATTCGAAAATTCGAAAATTCGAATGATTCGATTCGAATATTAATATTCGATTCGATACGAACGATATTCGCACACCCCTAGTATGTATATGCGAGTATGTGAGCGTGTGCGTTAGCAACACTCACGGCGGCGGGCGGCTGCGGGGTCGGCAGGGGCGGCGGCGGCGCGAGGCGCGGCGCGTGCGCGGGCAGTGCGGGGGGCGCGGGAGGGGAGCGCGGGGGCGCCTCGTCGAACCCTATGCCTATCATCGGGAGAGACGCGAGCGTGCTGTTGCCTCCACCGGACCATCTGAGAAACGAAATATTAATATTACTAGTGGCTTACTTTTACCTTAAAGAGGAGATTTTATTCGACTTATTTCAGAAGTATTAGGATCGGTTTATTTTTGCAAAATATCTATAACCTAGCGATTCATCCTCCATTCGTTCGGGTTCGTCTCTACCTTGCTTCCCGGTACAAACTTTCATCCCCATTTTCACCCCCTTGATTTCCGGGATAAAAAGTATCCTATGTCCTTCCCAGGGTCTCAAACTATCTTCTTACTAAATTTCATCTAAACCCGTTCAGTAGATCCAAAGATTACCAACTTTACCTCTTTATAATATTAGTATAGATAGCCTTTAATCTTAAAAAACGATTTATTGACTTACATCCTTAAAATATTTCAATATGTATGTATGAATAATGAACCATTCTGACAAAAACACTATCTTTGTACAAAAAATTATCAACATAAAGTATATTGATGTAATTTTTTGCCAGGTGAAAAGGCGATAAAATTAACTATGAAATAATCTTTAAAAATCGCCAACATATTTTATATAATTACGTATACCTAACTTTCTACCAAAAACTATTATTATTATTACATAAATGACACCAATATCAAAATTGTTGTTCTAAGAAAATAAAGCCTGATTTAGGAGAGTACTACCAAGCAAGATTAGCAAAGCCCCTACACAATAACAAAATCTGAATGTTCTCCATATATTCTTTTTTGATATGAAATTAATGAACTTCATCCATTTTTTTTTGGTCCCGTACATAGCAAACTAAGAAAAAAAGAAAGCTCTTTAATTGCAATATTATTAGAGGTCCTTATTTCTCAATTACCTTGAGACCCCAACCTTTTAAGTCCAGTCCTACAAATACCTAAGTATCGTATACTTACGGTGCCTGAGGAGGCGATGTTTTGACTCTAGTGGGAGATCTGACCATGTTTTGTGATTTAGGTACACTGTTGTTGAATCGGTTTTGCGTATTCGTTTGTACACCACTGGGACCTGTAAAGAAAATGTAAATATTATCAAAATTCATACAATTATAGTTGTATTATTAATACAAAAATTGTGCTAAGTTTCATCGTTACTGCGAGAGGTTTGTATGTCTCCAACTGCATAATACAATGTTCCTTAAGTTGTATATTTTATAATAAAAAGATTGAATAAAATTATTATTATAAAAAAAAACAATTTTGCTCATATGTTATAAACGGGTTATCCGATTTTCATAATACCATCCCATATTATTTCTATACCCTAAACCTATCCTACGAGACTAAAATTATCGAAATATCTCTACAAACAAATATCCTAACAACATTCAAAATTCTCTTCAAATTTACTTTAGTAAATCTTAGAATAAAATAAACATAATGAGATTGAGATGTCAGATGTTACACATCATATTATGCGACTACTGTAAGGCTCGCTCGTTTTTTTTTATTATAATAATTATTATTTATAAAAATCCTTTATAATGTGTATAATAAATACTCACCTGTGTTATTAGCAGTACGTCTGTTCGTCGCCACCCGAGTTCGGGAACTTGAACGTTGAGTGGTGTTTGTGAAGTCCGTTGTGACAGGCGTTAGTGGACGTGGTTTTTGACTTGTTTCTTGTCTAAAATTGTAAAAAAAATATGTTTCAATAAACAGATAAAAATTGATTATCTATACATGCAATAAAACTGTAACTAAGCCGAATCTGTACATTAAATATTTTTTGAGAAATCTTATTGAAATAGACATTATTATTTATTATCGATACAGAGGCCGAATTAATACTTTTTAGAATTTTTGTCTGTCTGTCTGTTATCACATCACGGAAAAACCACTGGAGGGATTTTGATGAAATTTGGTATGGTGATAGCTGGTTATCTGGGTCAACATATAGGATACTTTTTATTGCGGGAAAATATCACATTTCTGAGAAATCTATACTAAAAGTTAAAACGTAAGTATCTCATTCTCATTAAGACGGGAGAGGTTATGTGGGTTTTAGTGGGTAGTATTGGTTTCTGTAGCCAGTTAGCCCCACATAACGTATGTAAAGACGTGGTTTGCGTCAATAGTAAATATATTTCCCAACGTTAAAAAAAGGGCAGATTATGATGTAACTTGATGAAATAAAGGCATATTGCAGATGGCAAAATTTTACATAACCGTAAAATTTTAAACTATAATTTAAAAATTTATAATATTTGTGTAATAGCACAAATGAACGATATAATAAACGTACCTTGTCTTTTTAACTTGTATATTGCTAGAAAGTTTTTCCAATGTAATCTCCCCGGTAACTCTATCTATGATTAAAACACATTCTTTTGTATACGGCCGCTGACTCCCCTTAAATACAGTCTGAGGAACTCCTGCTCCATCTAACAAATCAAATATAAATATAAAAATATATTATTCTTTTTTGTTATATTTTACACTTATAGTTAAATCTTCAAAAAACAAATAGTTTTTTTTGTATCAGTAAATATAAATTGAATATATTATTTGATATTTTTCCTCTATTGTTTGTGTAAAAATGTACAATAATCACTATTATTTGTAGAGAAATAATCTTTTTTTGTATGTTATTTAAATTGTTGCTGTAACTATTTTTTTTTTGTTTATGAATTTTCATATTATGATACTATTACCAGAGTCGCAGGTATATTTCACAGATGAGTATTAAAAACATTGCCAAGGAATTCCACAGGGAATGTCCAAACGATAAGCAACACAGATAAATAATTACAAAAGATCTGGTACTTTTTTTACCTAAATGTGGCACAGTTACAGTCACTTGATTATTAGTCCCAACATCAACAGTCGCCATTTTGTTAACATCCACTGAAGCTGGTTTAAAGTCATCTGAAAAACAATTATAATATTAATATGACCCTTTTTGTTTCTTTAACTTTATCAGTACCTTTATTTATTTATGCTAAGTATACTTCTAAGGATATTTTACATTTGTCTATATGTACTTATATTATTAAGAATCGATACTTTAAATGCCTCGGTGCTGTAGTGGCTAGCATGTACGTCTACACACTCGGAGGTCCTATGTTCGAGTCCCGGGTCGGGCCAAGTTTAGTTATTGAGTCTTTCCGTATAGTAAGTCTCAGTAACAGCCCAGAGCTGGGAAGTTGGCGGTGTTTCACCCCCGTGCCTCGGAGAGCACGTAAAGCCTTGCGCCTTAACTCTCACTGGTCGTGTCGAGCAGTCGTCCCACCGGAGTATGAGAGTGACAGGAATAGAGAGTGTACTTGTGTCAGCGCGTACACTTGTGCACTATAATATCTCCTGCGCAGTTGGCTAGACTCAATGAGATTGGCCGCCGTAGCCGGAATCGGCCAGGAGAACATCATCATTATAAAGAGGAACGATTTGATTTTTTGCTTGTTTGTTTGTTTGTTTGTACTGGGACGAACCCGAACGAAGCGAGGTTGAGTCGCTAGTATTAATATAAAAGCAGTTTTCATTTTATCACTCAATTCTCAGATGTTTCACAAAGCTCATTTCATCATAGCAAAGATATTATAGAGACCTTGTAATAACTTACATATGCAAGCTAATGTAAATTAAATGGATCGAGATCCCGCTGCAAGATTGCTACGTTCATAGCGTTTTTAATCGAAATCATTTTTTTATATACAATAATAAAAGGGACAATAAGTTTTGACCGGAGTGCCTATTGAAATATGCCCGCTAGTATGTTTATTAACTAAATAATAGTCGACTTTTTGGAACAAAAACGATGCATTTACTATTGCAAAGAATTATAGTCCACTTCACAGAACTATACATAGAGATCTTGAAAAATGATAGCTGCCGTTGCGCATTTGGCCGCAAGCTCTTCGCAGCCAGGTGTAAGCGGGTCATATTTTGGGACGTTTATACGTTCATCGCGTACATACTCGATCATCGACATCGATATATATATGTATATATATATATCAAATTAAAGCTAATTTTTTTCTGTACCTGATAAACTACGTCTGCCTATGTAAAAGTGGCCGCAAAAGTGGTTGCGAGTCATTAAAAATGTTTTTGTTACATTTATACGTTCATGGCGTATATTGATCATGTATATATCAAATTAAAGCTATTTTTTTTCTGTGCATGATAAAATACCTGTCACCTATGTAAAAGTGGCCATAATGGAAAGAAAAGAATATAATATTATATATGATTTGTCAGACAATAACGGTTACCATATTAATCAGACAATAACACGGATACCACGCAAAGGAGGGTAATATGTCTATCAGTCTATGTATGTATGTATGTATGTATGTATGTATGTATGTTCCTATATGGCGTCTAGAGACCAAACGCGTAGACCGATTTTGATAATTCATACGTCGTTACATTCGTCTTGATAACGCGAGTATCATAGGCTAAATAAAAATTGTAAAAAATTAAAATAGCTAGTTTCAGGCGCCAATTTGTGTATCTTTAAAAAAAACTTTCAAACTAATTGAGTGGGGTATCACGGATCACCATAAAGGTGTTTAACACCTCCAGGTAAATTTCTAAGAGATTAATTAAATTTCTAATAAATCTATTGTTAACTGTAACGAGGCGTGTTCGCGGTCGTGGAGGGATTAAGAGGCGATCACAAAAATATATATAACTTATATGTTTAAAAGTAATTTAGTAAAAAATTGCTAAATATAACTTCAATTGTCTGATTGGCAAAAATTTAAATATATTATAAAAAATATTATAAATAGGTAAAGTTTGTGAGTTGTGAGTTTGTGACATTGTAGGAATGGAATAAAAAAATAGGAAAATGGTGGGTGAAAGTTTGTATGGGAAACCTAGGGGCGAACTCGAAGCGAAGCGAGAGTGAATCTCTAGTATATTATAAAAATAAAAAACTCTTCTTCTTCTCCCTGCCCATTTCCCAATCACTTGGGGTCGGCGCAGTACAACTTCTGTACTGCTGAAAGGATTTGGCAAAAGCTTTACGACCCGCCGCTTGCCTGACGTCAACCCTCCTTGGGAATGCTATTGTCTATAATGGAAAAAAACTCGATTGCACAAAAACTAACTAAAAAGATGAAAACAAGTTGACAAAGGAATAAAGTATCATGCAGTCACAGACATACCAGTCTTTTTAATTAGCTTTTATACAGTAAGTTTTTTTATTTTAATAATATATTTTTTTATAATATTATTACTTTTAGGTGCAACAGTTGCGTAGGATTTACTCCATTTTTTATTTAAATAACAAAATTAAAAGCAGCTCAAGTGACTTAAATTCAAATTATTAAGCAACATTTCTACTTACAATTGGCCTATTACATTAAGAATTGAATACAATTCAAGTAAAACGACAAATCTGGGTCACTATATACTGCATCATAAGATATGTAAATCTTAATACTTACATAAGAAAATAAAGAATTGTAAAAAATAAATATATAAATATTAATTGCAGATAAGTAGCAACATTAGATTTCAGAATGACCATTGTGATGATGCAGTTATTATATATATATATATAATATATATATATATATATATATATATATATATATATATATTGAAACTAAAAATAATTCTGCATTTATTACTTGTGAATGTAACATGACTACTCAAATGTTTAGGAAGAAAACAAATAAATTGAATACAGTGTCTCAAAAATTAATGTATAGATTTTTTAATACTTACATTTGATTGTGTGGTATTGTGATGATTTATTATTAGTAAAGCTTGATCCTAATTTCAGCTCCCTCACATCATAGTTCAAAGTATGCTTATCAGCCATCTTAATTTTTATCTGCCATATGTTTGTGCCTGCATAAAAATAATTTCATTAACTATAAAATAACATGTAATGAAGGAATAGAAATTTTAATCAGATAATATTTTAGACATAAAGATATAAGAGATATAAAGATAATACTAATATTGTAATTTACATTATTGTATAGACAAATTAAGAATGTATTTAATCAAATTTTCCAATATTAAACTATTGTATTTAAAAATATAGGCACTAGGATTTATTTTTTCGTTTCAAACAATTTTGAAAAACTAGAGATTTAAACAAAAACTTTCACGTTAGTTCTTTTTCTGCTATTTTATCTGCATTATTCAAAAACTTAAAAAAGTTTATATTTATGTTGTTTTCCTCATGATTAGTGTTATGCATACGTATTACATTCACTTTAACTACAGCTGACAAACTAAAGATTTATTTTTGTCTTATTCAAGACAGGTCTTTAATTTAAATCCTATTAGTATACCATCTTCTTGAATCCTACTTCTTCTATGAAAATGTATTATTATAATTAAATTTAAAGGGTTAAATTGCTATTTTAAAGACAAAATATGGCAAACTTTTACAATAATTCATCGTACTTTACCTTTGATTGTTTTTCCCAACGGTGACACGACTCTGATATTTATGAAATAAAATACATATTCATGTATCCTTTACAAAATGTTGCATTACGAATAGGATTATTTAAATCAGAAAAGACTGAAATAGTCCAAAAATTAAACATTGACTATTCTTTCGACCTAGTTCTCATGACGGACACGACGGTTGACGGCTGATCGGATGACTATGACATCTGCTTCTTAGTTCTTAATTCATTCTGAAAATTTCCAGTGCGTTTATAATATAAAAAAAAACGAATGTATTTATATATAATCTACACATAATATAATTGTAACTAAACCGAATCTGTACTACTACTGTAATTCAGTAAATACGACCATCCTTGTTTAATTGTCTATCTAATATCTTACTCTAAATTATTACTTTTTGCGCTTCGTTTAAAATTTATCCTACACTACCGCAGCGCCACCATTATTGGACGCGTTTTGATGGATATTTTATCATACACAGTGACTTCTCCTTACCTCTATGCTCCATTATCAGTACCTACCTACTCTAAAATAGAGCCTCTAATGGGGAATTTTGCCCTTTTTCTCTCGCCAGATGTCGCGATCTTTATAGCCTAATTACTATAAAGGGGATGGAATTTTTCATTTTTTTTTTTAATTTAATTAAAATAGCAAATTGTGCAGTGCCAGGATTTAAAGAAAATGGACATCATTTACAAAGTTTCATACAAACTTTCTTCTCCCATTTTACCCCCTTATGGGTTTGAATTTCGAAAAATGCTAAAACACGGATTTATTTAATTGCATTGAAGAGCATTAATAACAAGTTTCAAGTAATTCTGGTCATTAAAATATAAACTTTTTATAAAAATATAACCCAAATAAACTTTATTATTGCCTTTTACCCCTTTAAGGGATGAATATCGAAAAAAAATCAAATTAATATATTTATTATTTTTCACTTTAAAGCTTATTACCACTTTCTATGTATCACATTAAGAATGACATGACTTGCGTTTCATACAATATTTAATCCCCTATTTTATCCAGTTAGAGGATAAATTTCAAAAAATCCTTTCTTATCAAATGCCTACGTCATTATATACGGAATACATCATCTAAATTTTACGTTTCTAAGACCAGCGGCGGTGTAGAACCATGAGTTAGTCAGAACCACCACAGGATGTACCTCTCCTTCTCAATTTTTCCTTCAGGCTTCAGCTGGTCTGTCTTTCAGGTACAATACATTGCACAGGTAAGATACGAACACAATAAAAGCAAAAACCAGATACAAAAGAGATATCATAATAAATTGCTTAACCTCAGACTAAATGTAAATAGGTCATACGTGTGTCGTCCGTGTGGCAGTCTCTCCCGTGACCATGATTGCTTTAAAGCATTCGAAACGTCGGTAACCAAAAATCAAAATAAAAAAAATAAATTCGCGAAAAAAACCGAAAAGATAGTTTTATTTAAAATGTCAAATATTCGCGTAAATCTAAAAAAAGTATTATGAATTACAAAAACTTAAGTATTATGAATTAAAAAACTATTTTTGGCTTCAATCAACAATACTACTAAATATCGGGTCGGCGCGGCGTAAGAAATCCGTCTCGGTAAATATAACCTCACTTGCAAAGTGAGCGTATATTTCGATTAGTTCTTTTGAAACACTGCAAGCGTAAACATGTTCACAATGCCGCAATATGTATTTAAAAGTTGCAAAAATAATCCGCGAAGAAGAATTTTTTTAAAAGAAGTGTCTTATTTTCGGTAAATACATGTAGATTATGTCAATATTAATTACATTCAATTATATAAAAATGAAATTTTGAATAATTTTACATCCGCTAAGAACGTTGGCCCAGGTCGGCCAATGCACGCGCAAATTGAAAGAAGCAAACAGAAACAAAACATAACGATTTAGTTCACAAAGCAACAAATGAGGTTGATTTTACAATAAAGATTATAAAACTTACGAAATGATCGTAAGTGTATGATGATAGTTTGGAGATTTGTGACTTTATTACAGGGTGCTATGGTGTTGGTTAGGTTGTAAATAAAACTATTATAAGACTGTCTTGGTTCTGAAATATATTTGGATTCCTATGGGAAGTATACACGATAATGCTGCCGGGGACAAATTAAACGCACGTACTTTGTTGACCGTTTATTTCACAACTGGCAGTACAAATTAATTACATCTACAATATAATACATATAAATAAATCTACCCTCATACATCACAGGTTCGTTAGAATACAAACGTAGCTGTATAAGCATATATTGACGCGGACAGAGTTTAGCTTTGATTTTTTATATGACAACTTATCTAATAGTATAATTCTTGATCGAAGATTTTCGGGTATTCTGCTCATGGTTGGCGCCGCGCCGGCGGGATAAACCGGGTATTTTGAGAGTTATTGGTCGGGTAAATCAAAGACTGCAGCCCTGTCAACGGCTTGCAACTTTATTTGTCAAATGTCAAGTGTTAACTGTTAAGTGTTAACCATAGAGTATATTATTATTGCTACATATATAAATTAGTGATGTGCCAACTCGAAAAAAATATAACTCGAGTTAACTCGAGTTGAAATTGACGTAACTCGAGTTACTTAACTCGAATTAACTGGATGAAAAATGAAGCGAATGATTTGTTTTGTTTGTATCAATTTAATGACTCGGCTTCGCAACAATATTAAAAAAATGGTACAGATTCTAAATAAATATTTATTGGGACAATTATAATTATTTTTATTTTTTATATTTATTTATTTATATTATTACTAGCAGAACCCGCGGCTTCGCTCGCGCTAATACTCCAAAAAAACACTAAAAAGGTAGGTTTCATACAAAATTTCATCATTCGCTATTTTACCCCCTTACGGGATAAATTTCGAAGAATGATAAAACATATATTTTATTGTATTAAAGAGCGTTAATATCAAGTTTCAAGTAATTCTGACCATAAATATTTTTTTGGGTTGTATTATAACGTGTTTCACCGTGGAAATGAGATAACCACCCGCGGTAAAAAGTAGTCTATACCACTCTCCAACTATGAACTATCTTCACCCAAGAAATTACCCCAGTCCGTTACTCCGTTTCAACGTGAAAGAAGGACAAACAAACATACTTTCACATTTATAATATTAGTATGGATATTATAACGCTGTCAGTCGGCTGAAACGCTATGACGGGAGTACGGACGACAGCGATTAAGTTAAATACTGTGGCATCTTATTCGGTTGTAATAGGAGCGATTTTGCAACATAAATGTATAGTCTGAAGTGCTGACGACTGTACAAAACGTGAATACAACGAACGAATCGCCGCGCTTGCGTAAGCTCAATCACGTACTCGCTTGATTCGTTCATTTACCACGCAAATCCAATTCGATTCAGAGAGAATTCAACTCGAGTTAATTCGAGTTAAGCCCAACTCGAGTTAACTCGAGTTAGTAACTCGAGTTGACACATCTTTAAGTTTAAGTATAAAGTGTTAACTCATTTGTCATCCATAGATCGGAATATGGAAATCTGAATTCTGAATCAATAATCATTCTTCATCGTATGTAATAGTGATGTGCCAACTCGGAAAAAATATAACTCAAGTTAACTCGAGTTGAAATTCACGTAACTCGAGTTGAACACTCTAAAAAGGTAGGTTTCATGCAAAATTTCATCCGCTATTTTACCTCCTTACTGGATAAATTTCGAAGAATGCTAAAACATATATATTTATTTAATTGTATTGAAGAGCGTTAATACCAAGTTTCAAGTAATTCTGATCATAATTTTTTTTTGTTTTGTATTATAACGTGTTTCCCCGTGAAAATGAGATAATATTCCGCGGTAAAAAGTAGTCTATACCACTCTCCAGCCCTCCAACTATGAACTATCTTCACCCAAGAAATTACCCCAGTCCGTTACTCCGTTTTGACGTGAAAGAAGTACAAACAAACATACTTTCATATTTATAATACTAGTATGGATATTATAACGCTGTCATGCGGTTGAAACGCTATGACGGGAGTACGGACGACAGCGATTAAGTTAAATACTGTGGCATCTTATTCGGTTGTAATAGGAGCGATTTTGCAACATAAATGTATAGTCTGAAGTGCTGACGACTGTACAAAACGTGAATACAACGAACGAATCGCCGCGCTTGCGTAAGCTCAATCACGTACTCGCTTGATTCGTTCATTTACCACGCAAATCCAATTCGATTCAGAGAGAATTCAACTCGAGTTAATTCGAGTTAAGCCCAACTCGAGTTAACTCGAGTTAGTAACTCGAGTTGACACATCTTTAAGTTTAAGTATAAAGTGTTAACTCATTTGTCATCCATAGATCGGAATATGGAAATCTGAATTCTGAATCAATAATCATTCTTCATCGTATGTAATAGTGATGTGCCAACTCGGAAAAAATATAACTCAAGTTAACTCGAGTTGAAATTCACGTAACTCGAGTTGAACACTCTAAAAAGGTAGGTTTCATGCAAAATTTCATCCGCTATTTTACCTCCTTACTGGATAAATTTCGAAGAATGCTAAAACATATATATTTATTTAATTGTATTGAAGAGCGTTAATACCAAGTTTCAAGTAATTCTGATCATAATTTTTTTTTGTTTTGTATTATAACGTGTTTCCCCGTGAAAATGAGATAATATTCCCAGTAAAAAGTAGTCTATACCACTCTCCAGCCCTCCAACTATGAACTATCTTCACCCAAGAAATTACCCCAGTCCGTTACTCCGTTTTGACGTGAAAGAAGTACAAACAAACATACTTTCATATTTATAATACTAGTATGGATATTATAACGCTGTCATGCGGTTGAAACGCTATGACGGGAGTACGGACGACAGCGATTAAGTTAAATACTGTGGCATCTTATTCGGTTGTAATAGGAGCAATTTTGCAACATAAATGTATAGTCTGAAGTGCTGACGACTGTACAAAACGTGAATACAACGAACGAATCACCGCGTATGCGTAAACTCAATCACGTACTCGCTTGATTCGTTCATTTACCACGCAAATCCAATTCGATTCAGAGAGAATTCAACTCGAGTTAGTTCGAGTTAAGCCCAACTCGAGTTAACTCGAGTTAACTCGAGTTAGTAACTCGAGTTGACACATCTTTAAGTTTAAGTATAAAGTGTTAACTCATTTGTCATCCATAGATCGGAATATGGAAATCTGAAATCTGAATCAATAATCATTCTTCATCGTATGTAATAGTGATGTGCCAACTCGGAAAAAATATAACTCAAGTTAACTCGAGTTGAAATTCACGTAACTCGAATTGAACTCGAGTTACGTAACTCGAGTTAACTGGATGAAAAATGAAGTGAATGATTTGTTTTGTTTGTACCAATTTAATGACTCGGCTTCGCAACAATATTAAAAAAATGGTACAGATTCTAAATAAATATTTATTGGGCCAATTATAATTATTTATATTTATTTATATTATTACTAGCAGAACCCGCAGCTTTGCTCGCGCTTAAACTCCAAAAAAACACTCTAAAAAGGTAGGTTTCATGCAAAATTTCATCCGCTATTTTACCTCCTTACTGGATAAATTTCGAAGAATGCTAAAACATATATATTTATTTAATTGTATTGAAGAGCGTTAATACCAAGTTTCAAGTAATTCTGATCATAATTTTTTTTTTGTTTTGTATTATAACGTGTTTCCCCGTGGAAATGAGATAATATTCCGCGGTAAAAAGTAGTCTATACCACTCTCCAGCCCTCCAACTATGAACTATCTTCACCCAAGAAATTACCCCAGTCCGTTACTCTGTTTTGACGTGAAAGAAGTACAAACAAACATACTTTCATATTTATAATACTAGTATGGATATTATAACGCTGTCATGCGGTTGAAACGCTATGACGAGAGTACGGACGACAGCGATTAAGTTACTGTGACATCTTATTCGGTTGTAATAGGAGCGATTTTGAAACATAAATGTATAGTCTGAAGTGCTGACGACTGTACAAAACATGAACACAACGAACGAATCGCCGCTTTTGCGTAAGGCCAATCGCGTACTCGCTTGATTCGTTCATTTACCACGCAAATCCAATTCGAGTCAGAGAGAATTCAACTCGAGTTAATTCGAGTTAAGCCCAACTCGAGTTAACTCGAGTTAGTAGCTCGAGTTGACACATCTTTAGTATGTAACCCTTGTTCAGAATTTCGGATGGTTTTCTAATTTCTTTCAACTTATTACCAAGAACAACAAGATTTTCAAGTTTCATCCTTTCGCCTTCCGGTAAATAGCGCAGAACTATTACTATTGGTTTATTTACAAACGCTAAGCGCTTGCATTTCCAACTTTCTAATTTTAAATAATAAATTAATATCTATACGTTTCCGTAGAAACCAGATTTTTTAAATCAACAATATGAAAAAAAAGTCGATAACACTGGAAGTTGATCCAACAATAATGGAAAAACATATGAGAATTGTTAAGGTACACTTTACTAAAATAATATAAATACATATATTGACAACAAATGTACAATTATATTTACGATTGTTTAAATATTTTTAGGAAAACCCTGTGGAAGAGGAATTTAATAAATTATTAGCAGATGCAGTTCCTTCGAAGGTTGTAAAACCGAGGCCAGGTAGTATTTATAAATTATATGTTATGTTAATTTCAAAAAGTGTGTAAATATTTTGCATAATTTTAAATAATCTTTTGTTTTAGGTTTTTGTGTAAAGACATTTACGAAACCAGATAAAAATAAAGTTTTTGTCAATGTCTGCCTTACGGAGGCTATTCCATGTCCAAGAGATATTAGTAATGAGGAGTTAATGCAAATCTTAAATTCTGAAGACCCATCTAGTTATAGAGTACCTATGAGTATTGGTGAAGGTAGAACAGAACTAGATAAGTCAGGATCTCCAGCAACAGTTTATGATGTTGCTATAAACCCTGAGTTTTTCTCGAAAATAGAAAAAGATGTTCTTTTCCAAACATTTTTCCTAACAGTAGTATTTGAAGGTCTCCAAGATAAGTACCAATTTGAACTAGATATGCAAAAGTCCACAATTCTTCAACATAGAAAGTCTATTGGTACCTTACAATCACATAGAATTCAAATCAGGGATGTGAAAAAGTGTGAAGAAAAAACTAAACCTTTAATAGAAGAAATACAGAAACCAATACTCAAAAATACAGATATTCTTGCATCTAAGAAGAAAGAATTCATTTACCGATTAAGACGAGAACCACCAACTGGGGAGATTGAATATTTATTAGCAGAATTTATGATACCAGCATCAGTATGTATTTAAATTTTATCAGATAACTATATATAAAGAATATTATGTACTTGTATTCATTTTCTTATAAATGAATCTCTAAAACATTTTTTCATATGGATTGAATTAGATTAATATATATATTGTTCCTATTTAATAACATGGTGCTGAACTTTTTTTTTATAACGATAGTTGACATCTTAATATTACCTTATCAACAATCTTACGCATGATCAACCAATACAAACTATTACCTTGAAGAAATTGAACCTCCGACACAAAGATGGTGCATGTTGATATGTCATTTTCTTTATTTAAATCTTATCAAATATTCAAAAGAGACACATTAAAGTATGAAAAACGCTCACACTCGGTAAATTTGTACATCTATCAATAATTTATTCATGAGAAGTAACTTGGTTCTTCGTTTTTGCTAGCTTTTTATCTTTAATTTATTGAATATTTTATGAAAATATGCTTATTGATATTATAAAATATTTTGCAGGTTGAATTAAAAGACTTGAACTTGGAAGTAGGTGAAGACAGACTGGTTTTGGATTCTAAAGGTCTTTTTGAATGTGTTGATTTTTTCCTGCCATGTAGTATTGATCAAGATATTGTTGATGCTCAATTAAATAGAAATAAAGATGTAAGTTTACATTTACATTATAATAATTTAAACTTTCTTCCTTGAAAATTATATGGTTCTACTATACATATTTCATGTTGTAATTTCTAATATGACAACAAGTTTTAATTTTTAGATGACAATTTAGATGTCTGATTATACAGTAAATAGCCAATATTTTGTTGCTTTATATTAATATTTTAATCTAGACTAATAAGAAATATGGGATATTTTTTATACAGTAGCTAATATTATATAATTGTAAAAAAAATCAGCTTTAAAAAACTAAAATTTAGTAATACTTAAGGCGATTAGTGTCCCCAATGGCCTTGAGTGTTTGGGCGGGTCTTAGCGCGCTGCACCCGCGCACCCCGCAAGAAAGCATCAAACAATCTACGATCAAAGAATACGCCACATAGGCGCGTGGCATAGTTCATTGTTTATTTAGTTTATCTGCCTACAAGCGATACTATCCGAAAAGAGTCAAAGAGATGCAATGCTAGAATTATCGTACTATATAATATAATTAATTATAATCCTACTAATAGTATAAAATACGTGAATGATTGTAAGTTTGTTTGTTAATCACGCGTAAAATAAACGGCTAAGCCGATTTTCAAGAAATTTGCCAAATATAATAATAAATATTGTAGGTAGTTTCTCTATTATGCGGTAACAGACAGACATATTAATGTACAGATTCGACTCAGTTAAAACTTTATCATATGTATAGATTATTGAAACTGCAAAATATTCACCCATAACCTATTAGGGCTTCCATGCACATATACATACATACATACATACACTTATATATATATATATATATATATATATATATATATATATATATATATACTATAGTACTGGGCCACCGAGCTTCGCTCGGAGTTTTTGGTTGAAAAGTACAATTTTCTTTAAAAAAAAACTTGAATACAAAAAAAAAACAAAAATAAATTGTGATTGTTGATCTTGCACCTTGGCCGCTTGAACACGATGCTTATACCCGAGCGTGCAAATTACCGACCATATTTTGGAATTATGCAAAAGAAAACTGCACGAAAACTCGAAAATACGCGTTTTCCCAGACATAATACTAATCTAGATCGATTTATCGCCCCCGAAACCCCTTGTATCCTAAATTTCATGAAAATCATTGGAGCCGTTTCCGAGATTCAGATTATATATATATATATATATATATATATATATATATACACACACAAGAATTGCTCGTTTAAATATATTAGATAGATATATATTATATATTCACGCATTTCGCCGAAACTGAGTAATCGGATCGTGATCATTTTTTTATTAATTTCAACTTACAAAGCCGAAATGTGTATATAAAGGTTGCAAAAATAATGCGTGAAGAAGAATTTTTTCGGACCGAGTGTCTTATTTTCGTTGAGTACATGTAGATTAAGTCAATATTTTTGTTAGATTTAACTTACGAAATAATATAAAAATGAATTTTGAACAATTTTAAATCCGCTAAGAACGTTTGGCGAAATTCAAAGAAGCAATCAGAAACAAAATGTAACGATTTAGCTAAGCAACAACGGGAAAAATAGCTTTATTTTTTTAATAAAGATTGATTTTACAATGAATATTATAAAACTTACGAAATGAACGTAAGTGTATGATGATAATTTGAAGATTTGTGACTTTGTTACAAGGTGCTATGGTGTTGATTAGGTTGAAAATAAAACTACGGTAATGTTACATACAGTAGGCATTCCATCTTCATACAAACGGTCGGAAATCGAGTTATACCTACACGCCTCGAGTTCGGTATATACTCGGTAGACGACCGTCCGGGGCTGCCAGATCGTATAATTGGATACGATAATTGTATAAGGTGGTTGTTATGTTATGTAACTTTTATAATAGGATATAAAAATAAACATTTTATTCCTCCCGTAACTTCGCTAATGTCAAACAAAAAAGTATCGAGACATCGTATGTTTTAAACATAAAAATTAATTAAATTAAAAATAGTATAATAAATAAGTATTTCTAATTAAACTTTTTATGCGAATGCGAATTTTTTATACCCTTAAATTTAACAATAAAGCATTTTGTACGTCTCAGTCGAGGCGCAAATATTTTTCAATCTCAAATTTATAAGGGTTATATACCACCCTTATAAATTTGAGATTTTCAATTAAATCTACTAATAATATTTTTTAAAGAAAAAATATAATATTTGCAATCACAAAACTAGAAAAAAACTCAGTAGATAGATGAAATTAAAATACTGGCCGGCGGGCAGCCCTGTCGCGTGGTTACGTACCGTAGGTAATTATTTCAAGGACAGGGCTGAGTTGCAATATTATGTATGCATAACATTACTGTGATAAAACCATTATAAGACTTTGTCTTGATTATGTATGTAACACGTTATCTAGTAGTATTGTTGATCGCAGACAAAAACCTTAAAATAAAAAAATATAATATATATTTCACAGACAAATTCAATTAAAGCTTTTATTTGCTTTTTGCTTTCAGATGCTGTATGTGAAGATGCCTATTATACACTGAACAGATATTATATAATATTCTGTTCTTAAATTCTGGATCTCGACGACAGTGCTGCCAATGGGGCCATACTATAAGAAAGTCTTAAATAACATTTAATGATGGGACTCAAAGTCCACTTAAAAAACAATGTAGAATGTAATTTGTGCTACAGTCAATGTTTAAAATATATTATTAAAACAAAAATATATATTATTTTTATATTATTTTATTTGTGAAATGACAACAAAATAAATCGTTCAACATTTGTGATGTCAACAGATAATTTAGTACATTCAGATCAGTTGAATATATTTTACAATTTTAGAGATTCTATACAAATTATAAACATTAATCCAAATGGAATTATTTTTAAAAGATTCAACAATAAATTATTAGATTCATTAATATTACATACTATAAAGGAATTGATAAGAATATTGACTAATGTTATCACAAAAACCTGTATAATATAAATGCAGAACAATTAATAATATTAATAAGTTATTTTGAATATAATAGGTTAAAAATAAAAATATAATATACCTAAATTAACTATTGCATTATATGTGCAGATAAAGAATGAAGAGACGTGGTACGGTTTCTATAGGCGACGATATTTTAATTACAAAAAAAATTGGCCGTCACGGAACGCCCGACACATCTATGTTTATATTAGAACTAGCAGAACCCGCTGCTTCGCCTGCGTTCAAAGTACAAAGAAACAAACTCTTATTTCCCTTCCCTTTATAATAACGAATGAGTCTGCCTGATTTGTTGATATTTATGATTACTGCTTCGATCCCTTGGGTAGTTGCATGATGATATATAGTCTTATAGGCTATAGTCTTGCTCAATGACGGGCTATCTAATGCAAAAAGATTTTTGTGTGTTTGTTTGTCCTTTTTTTTCACGTCGAAATGTATTGACGAATTGGCGTGATTTTTTGTGTGGAGATAGTTGAAGTGCTGGAGAGTTACATAGGTTACTTTTTACCGTGGGATTCGGATTGCGAGTGATTATCTCATTCCCACGGGAAACACTTTTTTTTAATATTTTTTTCAATCATTGTGCAATTTTTATATTACGTAATTATCTTTTTATTGTTGTAGGTTGCTCCTGTAGATCGATGAATTTTTATTTCCACGTTATAGCTGCTAAATTTCAAAATTACCGCTCAAACTCACTCGTGTCTTCCTCACAATACGTGACACTGGCAGAATGTATTGCGTCTGATAACGCGACTATAAGCTACTAAAGAAAAAAAAAGGAGACGAACACTAACTTTTCCAATGCCAAAAAGCATATTGAGCGCAAACACATTGAAAACTGCATCAATCGCACTTTAATTACAATTGACAATACCGTAGCACATTGACAATTGCGATTGATCGTCTCGGGTCCGCTTATTACATAAAAAATATATAAAACAATAATCCACTCGCCTCATTTTTTAATGTTCTATTTAGATATAGTTTCACTATTTAAGTCACTGCGGTACTTTATTAATAAGTAATAATTGTTATTTTAGACATTATTTGTGATGATATCAAACGACGATATCCAATACTATAAAAACTAAAATAGGCGACGCCATTTATAATCATATTCGTTATCTGCACGGATTTTTAGATATATTATATTTTGTAGTTTTATTATATGTTTACCATAATTTTAGCATGTTTATATAAAGTAAAACTTGTTCATTACCTAATTAATACATTGTTGCAATTGAATATAACAGTAAAATCTGAATGGAATAAAAAATACCAGTATTCAAATTGATAAGTTTTTTGATGATTCATATTTTTTTAACGTAACTTAAAAATAAATTAGTAAGGTTTTTATTTATTCTTTCAAATATACATAAACTAGCTTAATAATAAATACCAATAAAATTACAAATATCTAAAATTCATACAAATGATAGGTTATTCATTTTACTTAAAGTAAAAGTAAATATTATAAAAATAAAACCATTTACAAATGTATTGTTGTTATATATTAAATATTAATATAAATGCAAATATTAAGAGGAATGGCAACTAATACTTTAAGCAATAGAGGACATTTTCAATTTGTACGTATAAAGCTAAAGTATGAGATATATGTATATGAGATTATTACAAAAAAAAAGTAAATCCTACAAAAATATACGCAGATAAAATGGCCGCCTGCGGCTCCAAAATATTATATTAATGTTCGTGGGTAGAAAAAATGTATGGGTAAGTTAGTTTAGGTAAAATGTATACGGACATACAACTATTTTTGTGTGTGAGACACAGTCGATCAACTAAATAGCTATATTTACTTTGAATTTAAGTATAAATTGCTTGAAGTTTTTCCCATCAAAAACATAAATGTGAAAATGGGAGCCAAGTTCAATATTACGAATAAGCCTGGTTGTCAACTTCACCGACAAAAAAAAAGAGATCTAAATAGGTGATAACTTCTGTAGTCCTGTAATCCTGATTTTTTTTCATAAGAACATACAACATTTTAAAATAAATTTAAAACACGATTTCTTGTTCAGAAAAATCTGCTACAAAAGTGTTTGCTATTTAAAAATAGAACTTCTTAAATTTGAACAGTCGAATTATTTACACAGAGTAGATAACTTAGGATGAATTGATTTGACTTGGCTAGTTTTTCCAATGAAACAAGTTTTAAGAAGAGTGAGATATGTTGACCTTACAATAAAAAAACAGTAACCTGTGTATAGCATATATAAAAATTGTATGGGCCTCTGTTTTCATGTTTAAGATCTTTTTGTAAATATTGCCTGAAATAAATGATTAAATTAAAAATAAAGAAGATATAAGTAAATAGCCGAATATACGATAACTTATATGTAAAACTAGCCAAGTCAAATCTTGAACTTCAATGTATCCTAACTTATCTACTCTGTGTAAATAATTCGACTGTTCAAATTTAAGAAGTTCTATTTTTAAATAGCAAACACTTTTGTAGCAGAAAAAAGAAAAACAAAAAATTGTGTTTTAAATTTATTTTAAAATGTTGTATGTTGTTATGAAATTTTTTTAACAATATCTACAGAACTTGGCACCCATTTAGATCTCAATTCTTGTGTCGGTAAAGTTGACAACCACGCATATTCTTAAAATTGAACTTGGCTCCCATTTTCACATTTATGTTATTAATGAGATATCATGGCTTTTTGTAAAGAAACTATGTATTAATATTCATAATTCCAAAGTGACATGTAACAATCTTTTTTTTTCATAATTTTGCGACTATTCCTTAGTGAATAAGGCGGAATAGGGAAATGTTATTTAATCATCATGGAACCCTTTCTTCTGAGAAAGAAAAAGTTATTGATATGATTGCTATTGCTATTATATTTCAAAAATCACTAGGTGTTAGGCTAGTGGTATTATGTTTTAGAAGGTGCAAGGCGTCAATATAATTTTTTTTTTCAAATTTAAAAAATTTACTGTTTTCGGTTTTTTCCCTTGTATGTATACGATTACCCATCTAGACACCAAATTTCAACTTTCTAGGTCATCTGGAAGTGGGTTAGGCTTTACTATTATATGTCAGTCAGTGATAAAATGCCGATTTTTAGACGTTAATATCTCAATAAACGTGTGAGCTGTATTTATGAAATGGGGGATGCTAGTTAACCTAAGGGGATTTAATAAATGAACCAAAATTCATGAGTTTATGTTAAATAGATTTTGACTTATTACGAGGTGAAAAGTGGCTAAAAATGGTTCGTGTAAAATATACACACGGTGCTGCATCGCCAGTTCCTTTGGCTTGAACTTGGCTGGACACGCTACCGCGTGTCTCGATAATTTCAATAAAAAGAAACACTATTTCAAGACAAAGTTTTAAAAATGTTAAAAACACTTGTACTACAAAAAACTAATACAAATCATAAAGTATGACATCAACATCTAATTCTTATAAGACATTTGATTGAGGCTATTAACGAAATTCACAACTCATCTCTAAATCGTATATGGCTTTTGATACCCATGCTCTCTATATCCAATAGTATATTTTCATCATAACCCCGTAAATGTGGTTTTATATCTTTTATTAATTCCATATAACCTTTAGGTTGGATGGGAACGACTCGACTCACAGTGTTCTGTTTGTTCCTATTAAGATATAATCTGATCGAAGGGTAGCTGTTTATATACTCATGTTGGCACAAGGTCCTCTCTGTCATGCAGTTCACTTTTCCGAAATGCATACTATTGCTTAACATCTGAAACAACAACATTATATTAAATATCTATATAAACAGACAAATAAAATTGAAGTGTCTGTTTGTAATGTCAAAATGGCAGCTTTTTGCTAAATGCATATGAAATTATATACGGTACGAAACACAATTTTTAAAAGTTTTGTCTGTCTGTTTGTTCCGGCTAATCTTCAAAACGGCTGGACTGTTTGAAAGGTACTTTGACTGGTACATAGCCTAATGTTGTAAAGAGTAACTTAGGCTACTTTTAGTTTGGAAAAAGAATTAGGGTTTCGCTCAAAAAAAAAACGTACCTAGGGACGCACTCGAGAGGAGCGAGGGTGAGCCGCTAGTGTATAATAAAAAGAATGTACATGTCGGCGCGAAGCTCAAAATTCTTTAAGATTCCTGACATAGATCTAACCAAACAACCTCACCATTCAAAAATCGAAAAGAGAATGACATTACACAAAACTTCTTAAACAACTCAACTAGGATGCCCAATGCCCTTGATCAATAGCAAGATAATTTTACCACTTAGATAAAAAATAACCTATTTCACACTATAATCTATCTCTGTGTTAAATTTCATCCAGATCCATTCAGTCGTTTTGACATAAAAGAGTAACAAACATCCAAACATCTATCCATCCTCACAAACTTTCAAACTTATAATATTAATAAGAAGTCTGTGTGCTTCATAAAAAAGATATCTATAAGAGAAAAAAAAAAAAACTAGAATGAATGCTACGTGTGACAAATTTTGGCATCTCACAAGTTTTTTTTTTTCTTATCAGGCACACAGTCTACTTTCAGTATATGTAAAGAAAAGATCAAATGGTATGATATATTTTTTTTTGTTATTTGGGGGTCGAAATGAAGCGTTCTCGATACCGTTCTTTTAAACAAAACACGTACATTAGCAACGATAGCGAAATCCGGATACATCTCGTAGCATCGGTAGCACCTGGGCGAGTGGAAGTAGATGAGCCAAGGCTTTTTGTTTCTGAAAAGAGAAATTATTATATCTTTTTTGATTTGACTGTAGGTATGTCTTAGCTTGGTAAAATTTAAATAAGCGTGAAAATGGTACAATTATTTCTTTAAAAGTTTTAAAATTAAAAAAAAAACGGAAAATAAACTTGGGACTGTTCACGGCAACAATTTTACATTTAACTTTATTTGAAGTGAAGATTCTTTAGAATCGTTCTGATTTGAAACTTGATTAAATGGAAATGCAACACTAAAAAGAGACAAACACATAAATATATAGGATTAAGCCGGCAAGAGAATGAGTTAAAATACAATGCCATGTTGCCATTGTAACCGTTAGGTATTATTGTCTGACAAATTTAATATTACGGAAAGAATTTCCGTATAAGACATTCTATAAATATATGATTGTAATATGCCTAATATGCCTTATTTAATTATATTTGAGATAGAATTACAAATACACAGAAAGTGAAAAATAATAAAATCAATTACTGAATAATATGTAATGTATATTTATTATTTATGTCAAATAAAATGTAAAATAACTTTTAAACTTGTGAAAAATATAAAAAAATAAACCTTATAATTATTCTACTCCTGATATCCTCTATATTCATCTCATTCTCTCGTATTTTACTTTTCTGAAGTTCTACGTGTGTGAATTACACTCATACACACATTTTTTTATTTTATTGAGTAAAACGAGTTAAATTGCTTTACCTGCTAGGATTTAATTCTTCGGCTATGACAGTTTTGGTAAAGCTTTGCCAGTTTACTTTCATTATCGAATTGTCGATATGTTCCAACGCCCATTCCAATATGTACGGGGCTTCTGATAGATGTTCCAGGCTAACTCTATGAAAAACAATAAAAAAGCAATTTCATACATAACGGCAAAACAGTTGCAAAAGTGATTGTATTAAAATTATAGACCGATATTAAAAAGGAGGATTTAAGAAAAAAAATTACGTTTAAGTATATTTGTTTAATTTGGAATTTGATTTCAAGAACTTATTGTGCTTGCTTATAAATATGACATATCGTTCCAAAATGTATGCTTATAAAATAAAAAAATAAAACTTTTAAATTTATGTAAAATATTGTAAGATTTGGAATTATTCATTAACAATAAAATGATTTTTTTCCTTCAATTAAAACTCCAGCATAGTCTGACTGAGGCATTATTAATTGTAATTGGTCAACTTTGCACTGTCAGGAAAACTATTAAAGGCTTTAAGATGAAAACAGGTATCGTTAGGGATCTGCTGCGAAATAGATAGTATTATAGATAATTTGAATTAAAAATCGTTTTTCGTACAAACATTTAAGCTTTTATTTTTGGAAGATATTTCTTCATAAAATTAATAGATCTCTTTTGTATTAGTACACATAAAATTGCTTTATTTGATTTTTAAATTAGTATAATATAGTACATGCGTCGTACATAATACAAATAAATAAAAAACACCTCAAAAATTATTGGCAAATTAGTATAAACAAAAATAATGTATAGTGCAGAATGTAGTGTATGTAGAACGACTGCCGTTCTCTCTGCTTACCCCGTAAGTATAAAGTTATGTGTGTGCGTGTGTGTACGTACGTGTAGTGTCGCTGCGCGGCGGCGGGGTAGAGGCGCGCGGCAGCGGCGCGCACGTTGGCGCACAGCCCGGCGCCGCGCGCGCACTCCAGCACACCCACGCGCACGCTCGCCAGCGGCCGGAGCTGATCATATTCACACAGGTCACACGGGAAATATAGAAAGACAAGCGACTCACCCTCGCTTCGCTCGGGTTCGTCCCTAGGTACATTTTAATTTTTTTGAGCGAAACCCTAATTCTTTTACTGAAATAAAAGTAGCCTAAGTTACTCCTTATAACATCAACTACCTGTCAGTGAAAGTCCCGGCTAAATCGGCCCAGACGTTTCGGTGATTAGCCAAAACAAACAGACAGACAGACAAAAATTTTAAAAATTGTGTTTTTCTTATAAATACCGTATATAATATGCATTTAGTAAAAAGCTGTTATTTTGTCATTACAAACAGACACTTTCAATTTTATTTATATGTATAGATACATATATAAGTGTGTCTCACTCGTTTGGCGACGCGCCGCCACTCGTGCAGCAGGTCGCGGCACACGCGGCCGCACGCCGCCGGCAGGTACGCCACCACCCACGTGTGCGTGCGCGACGAGTGCTGGATCTCCAGCACTTGGGCCTCTGTTAGTTCCATGTCTGTGTATGAAAAGAATAAATAAAAAACGACTTCCAGACAATAAAAGATACCTGGATATCTACAAAATAACTAAAATAGGGATTTTATTTATGATTAGATATCTAATCAGATATTTTCGAAGTCGGTGCGAACCGGTGCAAAGAAAAGTATTATTTCGATATGTATATAAATGTATACTTGTCATATTTACCTATTAGATAGATTATATAGACTAGATGTTATTTTAAACTATTGTCGGCTGGCATCGACTTCGAAAATAAAGTTTAGCGTAGCGTAATCCTTCAAACCGTCTTCGACAAATCGGTGCACGTAATATAAAAAGAGATACATTCAGATGAACATACATACAACCTCCTTTTTCGAAGTTTTTGGATTTCGTTTTTGGAAGTCGGTTAAAAATCAGTTACTAGTACTTAATGTAAGTGAATACAATTGAAACCAGTTTCTGTTTCAGTTAAGGCTAAAAATGAAATTTCATTTGGTGACATTCATAAGTTTTAAGTTGTAAATTTTTACTTTCGTTCAAAGAGTTTTTTATTAACATTGAGACGTGTTTCAAGTGTCACATCGCACTGCGTATATTTCGACCGGGAATAAAGTTTGACGCAATCTATACAATTTTTTTTAATCATGTATCTTTAGTAGTACTTTAATAGCTCGACGATTGTAAAACTAAGTGAAGCTGATTCGATTCTTGGATTTTGCGCTGATATTCCCAGATGAATCATTGTAAACATGATTACCACTCGTTTCTTGGTGACAAAAAAAACGTCGTGAGGAACCTGTCTCCATGTCTTCAAAAATCCAATAAGTTTTCTAAAACATGTGACGTCTGCCAACCCGCACTTGACCAGCGTGATGTTCTACAGTCACTCAAAAATACTAATTTTCATGACGAGAAAATTGAAGCGCTGTAGTGACATCTCGTGGCAAGTTACATTTAAACCTTCAACCCTTAATCCGTTTTCCGAGTGTCATATAACAGTAAATATGGCAGTCTGGAGCTTATCGTACCCACGTCTTTCCCGAAGATCGTTAGACGACTGTATCATATATGTATATCATCATATATGTATATCTAGATCTGTATCTACTAATGTGATATCAATCAGATACACATGCCCGATTTCACCAACAACCCATAAGCTACCACCTACGTATGGGATCCCTAGCTTAAAAGTCCCCTAAACTAGCCCCTAAATTAAATTTCGTTTTACGATCGTCTTTAGGCCCATATTTCGAGCATCTAAATTTAGGGGGCCTTTTAACATTTAGGTGACCCCTAACTGTCGGTGAAACAGAAACTGTCCCCTAACCATGCTTAGGGGATCCCTTAAACTTAGGTGACGTTGGTGAAATCGGGCAACAGAATTGGAATATCTACGCGCAGGCCAGGCCCCAAGATCACTCCCGAAAAACTCCCAGGACTACTGGGACGCCCTGGGGTGCAAAGAATAACATACTAAATAGCTCAAGCACAATAACAACAAAACACAAAATTGCTTAAGTGCGGTAAAAGCCGCGCAAGAAGAAGATATCACTCACCAGCATTTTCTCTTATAAGATCAATAAACTCCACAATCTCCGCCTTGTCAGCATCCCCACCGTACATATGTCTCTTTGTGCCATTCTGCAGCAGTATGACGGGCTCGTTCTGAGCCACGAGGCGACACGACGAGTCCGTGTTTAACGTACATATCATTATACCGAACTGAAAATATTATAAATCTATACTTAATATTATAAACAGGTAAAGTTTGTGAGTTTGTGACGTTGTAGGGGGTAATCTCTGGATCTACTGCACCGATTTAGATGAAATTTGGTAAGAAGATAGTTTGAGACCCAGGGAAGGTAATAGGATTTTTATCCCGGAAATCATCCCTTAAGGGGGTAAAAATAGGGATGAAAGTTTGTATTGGGAAGGAAGCTAGGGACGAACCCTAGCGAAACGAGGGTGAGTCACTAGTATGTAAGAAAGTTTATTGGAACAGTTCCTTATCGCTATACTCGTCACACAAGTGAATAAGAGCTAGACGGAAAAAATGTAATATTTCGACCCTCACGACGCTATTTATTATTTACTAGGAAATCCAATCCAAAAACCCATTCTCCTCTCGGGTTCGTCCCTACTTACGTTTTAACGTTTAGAATAGATTTCTCAGAGACGAGAGATTTTCCTGCAGTAAAAAATATCCTATATGTTGATCCGGATAATCAGCTTTCATCATACCAACTATCGTCAAAATTCCTTCAGTGGTTTTTTTGTGATGCGGTCACAGACAAACAGACAAAAATTCTAAAAATAATATCTCTCTAACTCTATCAATAATAATGACTATTTCAATAAGATTTTCTAAAAACTATTTAATGTACAGTTTCGACTTAGTTAGAATTTTATTATTCATATGTATAGATAGACTAAGGCCTTTAGTAAAAAAAAATATTTGTCTTACATTGATATCAGCATCGAGCATTTCCAAGCAAGCCTGTGTGAAGGGCTCTGCGTAGTGGTCCCACGTCACTTGATAGGGCACCACAAGGAGCACCCATGGCGACATATCTAAAAATATTAAATTTAATTAAGTCATACCAAAATAAAGAACAACAGAATAAAATCAAATTTAAAATATTTTATTCAGTAATTATAATTTTTACTGAACGTTATGACTACTTCCAGTACGGAAAGAAGAAGCCTTAGATCTGAGAAGAACTGGCGAAAGAAACTCAGTTGTATATATATCTAATATAATATAAAATTATTATATCTAATATATTATAGAATTATTTATTTATGTATATCTTTTTTCGTAAGTTAAATTATAAATTACAATAATTGTACAAAAAACTGTTGATTCAACTTTTACTATATGTAATAAATATTTTAGATATTTAGCATATTATCAATTTAAAAAAAAATATGAACAATACGTCATAATGTTAATACATACATAACATGTCTTATAATATTAAATGAGCAATTCTTGTATATTTCATTACGTGTTTCTCGGAAACAGTTTTAATGGTTTGCATCAGATTTTTTAATTAATTAATTTTTTAGTAACTACTATATATTATCCACACTAATCTAGTGAGTGTTATGTTCTGCTAATCTTGTATTTATTGTATTCTAATATGTACTTTTGGAGTTCTTTAATAAATAAACAAATTAAAAAAAATAAAAATCGACTTCCAGGCACTTAAAAGTAAAAAATAACTAAACGGGGGTTTTCATTTAGAATAGATACCTAATCAGATATTTTCAAAGTCGGTGTGCTTTGATTTGTATCGGCTGTATTCTAAATGAAAACCCCCGTCAAAGTCGATTTATATATATTTTTATTTTTCCATTTGTAGACTTAATAAGCAGGTAATTTGTAAGAAGAAACTGTTTTAATAACATATTCCATTAAATACATTTAATGGAACCGATTTCGATAAAATTTAAATGGGGCCACCTAGGAAGTGTACCCTTTAAAACAAAAAAAAAGAATTTTCCAAATCGGTTCAGGCGTCTTCGAGTAATCCGTGAACCCGTTTTTATTTATAAAAAAAAGAGTGCGTGTATGAATGTGTACACGAGCAAGAAGTAAAACTTCTGTAGATTATCGGTACTCTTTAAGATATTTAATTAATGTTTTAAATAATTAGGATAGGTGAGACACTAAAAATAACGCATATTAGGCATATTACAATCGTATATTTATAGAGTATCATTTAAGGAAAGAACATAATATACTAATATATAATATACTATATCATTTGTCGGACAATAACAACGGTTGACATGGCAAAAAATGTACGTATATTTTTTCGTAATTCATTTACCAGCTTACCCCCCAAGTCAAGCGTACGTAAAGAAGTTTTACTTCAAAAAAAGATTCCGACGAATCTAGAATCTACTCCTTTTTGAAAGTCGGTTGACAATAAACAAACCTCCATCATAAATGTTCTGGAAGTCCGTAGGCGAGAGCGTGTGCAGCGGCAGAGCGCGCGCCGCCGCGCGCAACGCGGCTTCCGTGGGCGCGGCGTACAGGCGCTGGTACGCGCCGCCCGCCTTCAGCAGCGCCCAGCACGGCGCCTCCCATACTTGTAGCGACTCACACAGCGACGGGAGAGTGTCACAGTTTATTATACCTATGCACAAATAGCCACAATAAATAATTATAATGGTCCATGAATCCATGATGTGGTCATAATGACCGAAAATATTTACGCGCGCAGCGTACTTATGTATTTTATACCTGTCGACGCCAGATTTCCTATCGTCGACCTTATTGCCTTTAGCATAAGGCGCTTTATTATATTTATTATATCGAGCCATACACTCAACCCATGAACTTACTCAAATACAACTTCGACACTCACTACGTCAATCATACATCATCTAATAGTCTAACACAACCGTCATTTTAATTCTACTTCTTGCACAGGACACTTGCACTACACAAAGAAAAAGAACCATTGTAATTCTGTTAAGACAGACCAAATATAAATCTTTGAGAAGATATCCAAATCTTTCATTTGTTCACCGCGAACAATACCTATGCACAAATAGCCATGAAATAACAATAATGGTGGTCAGGCTAACGGGCGACGACAGCGGTAATCCAATGTGTGGTCATAATGATCGAAAATATTTCTAACTCACACAATTCACATTCTTGATTTAAGTAAAGTAATTTAAATCACTCACCGAAATTTATGTCAGGCAAACCAATTCTCATTTGATATAGAAGCAGTTTATCGTCGCCTTCCTTCGAGAAGTACAACACCCACGGCGTGGCATCGTCGCCATTACGCAAATTACTCCTTATTTCCTGTAGATATAAAATAATGTAAATATACACTAAGAAATAAAGAGTCTTCCACTATTGATTCTAAAATATAATACTTTCTTAGATTTACGCGACAGTTTGACATTACAAATAAAACTAGCTTTTCTTTCTAGTTGTTGGAAAGCATTCGAACGTCAAGTCAATCAAAAATCAAAATAAGCCGCGAAAAAATCCGAAAAAATACGTTTTATTTGAAATAGCTACCATATCTTGAGCTAAAGGGTTATTTACAGGAATAATAAAACTATAACAACCTTAAAAATATTATTCTATTTGGACCTTGAAATTTCAAACATTTCATCAACTTTAACAGCACTTTCATTGACAAATAATATAGTCCATGTTAAATTAACTTAATAAGTCAACTGTTAAAAAACACGCATCTGTTCCATTAATAAGTCAACTTCTGCTCTGTGCCGTATCTTGATGTATTTAATTGTATAAAACTATTCCTATTCTGCTGTAACTTGAACAGAGTGTAGGGAAAAGAACAAGGATAGCATATCGCTATAAATTATATTAGTAAAATACAACAAAAATCGATGATTATCCATGGAAAAGTGGCCTTGGGCGTCGCGTCGCCGCGACTCATTCTCTTCGTCGACCGTTCTACGATAAGGACGTGATTAAGTATTTTACGAATATTAAGTGATAGTTCTATTGTGTCTACATTATGAATGATGATTATATATTTGCTAAAGTTTTGGACAGAAATATCCATTTTAATTTCGATAATTTAGAAATCGGTAGCCATTTTTGTCGCCACGTGTCGGTGCAATGAATAATTCCTTTTGCTACTAATACTAAATAGACTTAGGTAACAAACTGTCTTTATCACGTATTTTATTAAGAATCGTATTATTGTTACCAATCATTTAATTTAAAAATTACTGCATAGAATTTACGTAACATTGAAATAAAAACGAGTTCTCACATTTTACTCAACCGCCACTTTGTTTCGATTGGTATGGAATGGACTTACGTGGATTTAATATATTTTTATATTTTAATATTAGTTCTAATAGTAAAATTTAGAATTTCATTGGAAATTTTTATGTTTTAGTATTTTAATCGAATTAATGATGTATGTAATATTAAGATTTCTTTGGAATCGGTTCAGGCTTTCAATCTATTTCAATTATTTTTAATTTTTAACCGACTTCATATAAAATGAGGCTGGGTAGTTCTTCAAAATGTGCAAAAATTTTATGTCGAACTTAAACATATAGAATTGTTTGGTCATGTATATTCAAAGTATTTTTGTTAATTAATACATAAATCGAACTTCATGGCGCATTAAATTTTTTTAGAAAAAAACAAATATACCTACTACTTTTAAATTTGAAATATTATGTCCAATATATTTCCTACCGTTACTGGGTTTCAACGGCAATGTTTTAGAAAAATATTTCATAACAGAAAAACTTGTCTAGAGAAGACAAATTTTATATTAGTCCTTAATAAACAAATTGTCAATAAGCAGTTTCATAATATTTTAATATTCGTCAATATCTAAACATATTTAATGTAAAAAAAAAACATTTTAAAACTTTGCAACGGTAAAAAGGTAATCACCGTAACAGAAATTATATTTTATTTTTTAACCCGGTTTTTTTAGCAAAAAAAAAAAATACATAAGAACAACTAGCTAAGGGACGATTAGCAAAACGAAAGAGATACGCAGCCTTAAAAGAGAATGAGGAACTTTATGCAATTGAAAAAGAAAAAGAAAGGTTGAGGTATTTACGAATGAAAGAAACAGGGACTTAAATACCGGTAAAATACAGTAACGTTATCTGCGCAAGTGCGAGACACTTTTCACCCTTTGGATCACCCTGATTTCAAGTTAGATTTATTAATACATTGCAAGACAAAACTGGAACAAACAATTGTTAATGTGTTAGCTTATTTTTTAATGATTCCAACGACATAAGTTACTTATATAGCTCCCGTACAAAACTTTAAAGATATCGTCATTTTAAGCGAACGCGCCGATATTTCGCGAGTTCAGACAAAAGTACATCCACAGAGGCGTTGATTCGCGCAAGATGGCCGCCACAGCTTAGTGGATATAGGGTTATTTTTGTTTTTTTTATATATATAGCCCTTTGCCATATATAAAAAAAACTAAAATAACATATTTTTGTCCTGATAAAGTTTAAAGGTTCTCCCGGGATATCTGATATGAAAGAAACTAAACCGTATTCAATTAAACTTATTACAAGAACATTTGAATTATCAATTTAATTTGAAGAGCGTCAGTGTAGTCAGTCTGTTTGAAACACACCACCGGCTCGGCAAGCTCTGCTGTGAAGAGCCGGCGACAAACTCAACAGTTGCTGTTTTAAATATCGAAGTTACATTATTTTAAATAACACTGGCAGTGATGCGGTAACAGACAGACAAAAATTCTAAAAACTATAGATTCGGCCTCAGTATCGATAATAGTGTTTATTTCAATAAGATTTTCCAAAAAATATTTAATGTCAAATTCGGCTTAGTTACAATTTTAGTATATGTATAGATAACACTTTTAATAAGAATAAAAAAATTAAGGTAAGATTGATACAAATTTTGTATCGTCATATCAGACAGACAAAAGCTAGTTCCTAAATAAAAGTAAAATAATTATACAGCTTTCAATTGTTATTTTTGACTGACACCAAAAAGCAGAAAGCAAAATACATACAAGCAAATTAATTTGGTTGTATGTATTTTTCGTATGTACCTAATGTAAAATCGCTAATACGTTATCTCAGTGCTTATTTATCGAAACTACAAATTCACCAAAAAAGCTTTATTTACTTAAATTACTTACTTAAATATCAATTCTATTATACATTTTACTTAAAAAAACCGTATCATTTAAGGAAAGAATATAATATTATATATACTTTGTCAGACAATAACAATGGTTACCACGGCAAAAAAAAATCCATGAAAGAAGTATAACTTCAAAGAAAAAAAAAGAAAACATGTAATATGTGTATATGGAAATAAAGCTTTGTTTTTAAAATAGAAGAAAAAACTCTCTACTTTAAGGTATAAGACGTCGTTTGAACAAATAAGCACTAACGCGATGAATAGTGGACCGATGTCTTCAAGGGTTATAAATGTCATAAAACTTACATTATGAGAGAAATAATCACTTTTTAATCAATGTATAAGTTAAGAAATGTATCTAATTTTTTTTTGCAAAAAATATGAGAGTAAAATTTTTACGATGCGCACGCACACCGACAGCCGAAAAGCGACATGATGAAGATAGCTGCATTCCTTTTACAAACAGATAGTTGTGACACACGGCATGAAATCTTTAGCTATTTATGTTCTGTTACGCCAAAGAAGTATAACTTACGTGCGTATATAAGTACACACACGGTTTTATTTTACATTTTTTGTCTTTACCTTCAGTTGTTCCAACCCAATTTCTTCAATCTTCGGAAGCATATCAACAATCTCACTCAGTATAGTCTTCTCATCTGAGCTAAATATTTCTTTGTATATCCGTTTATATTTGAAAACAATAACTGCATCCAAGTTTTTACTGACTCGAGGGCGAATGTTCGTGGCCATCACTACAGAAGCTAAACCATCCTGAAAGTAATGAAATAAGCATTAAGATGAAAGCTTATGAACTTTCGTCATTTTGAAATTTACAAATGACATACGGACTCTGTGAGTTATCGGAACGGAGGGTTCGGTACATAAACGTAGTTGGTTTTCTTTTGTGTTTATTTTTTGAAGGCACATTTTAAAATAAGCTGAAGAGTTTGTTTGGTTGAAAGCCCGGAACTACTGGTTGGAATAGAAACGTTCTTTTTGTGTTAGATAGTCCATTTATCGAGGAAGGCTTTAGGCTATATATCATCCCGGACAAATGTACGGCTCCCTTGGGATAGATTTGTTTTCGTATAGGGACGAACCCGAAGCGAAGCGAGGGTGAGTCGCTAGTTACTAAATAAAAGATTTATGTGAATGTGACCATTGGGTTACATAACTCGTTTAATGATTTTTTTATCATTCATATTATTTTACCAATATACTTTACTGTGCGGGCAGTCCGATACACTATTTTGTTTTGTACACACTATTACTTCTACTTTAATGGATAGAATTAAATTGCTACGATGGAGCGTTATAGCTACTTAAATAACATTAATTTAATATATGATTTTTTTACGAAGGGTTTCCGTACCATCGTACAAGACACTTTTTAAATACTTTCGCAAAAGAAACAAGAGAGGCGCTAATTTATTTTTTAACTTGCATGGCGGCCATTTTGAAATTCGTCATGTTGATTTTTTATTATTTGTTGTTATAGCGGCAATGGAAATACACACTCTGTGAAATTTTCAACTCCTGCATATTATGGTTCAAGACATTAACCTGTAGACAGACAGACGGACGGACGGAGGCTTAGCAAGAGGGCCCCGTAAGCACCCTTCGAATACGGAACCCTAAAAAGTTTTAATTTGATTTCTGTACCTACTATATACAGCAAATGTAGACAAAGTCGTACACTAAAATCAGCATACAATATATATTTCTATTATAATATACTTACAAGGTGGTAAGCTATCCGCAACAACATTTTCTCGTCCAAACTATCATCCAGAATGTAAACCATAGGGTCGTCGGTGCTTCTTAATTTCGTTATAGTCGGAACATTTACTGTATCCCGTAAGAACTTTAGCACGAATTCTTCTAATGCCTCAAAGGAATGCTCGCCTCTGTAGTATAAGAAATTTCTGTGTTTTCCCTGAAAAAAAAAATGTTTTATTAGGAACCAAAAATTATTTTAATAATAGATTTTTTTACTATTAAACGGTGTGAATGTAAGTAAATGGCGTCTGTGAAAAATGTCTGCTGTACGCGAAATGTGTTTCTCTTTTCAGTCCTTAATTTGGAATGTCCATATTATACAGATTTATTTCGCCAAAAAGTCTGTGAAAGAAGGGAATGATCATATGAATAGTGGCCTCGAAAGCCTATTGTGATTGAAGATTGAAGTTTTTTGAAGTTGTTCTTTTGGCACGTTGAAAAAAAATTATGTGAGTACAATTTTTGCGTTGCGCGCGCACACCGACAGCCAAGACGCGACATGATGAAGATAGCTGCATCCTTTTTACAACCAGAGAGTTGTGACATACGGGATGAAATCTTTAGCTATTTATGTTCTGTTTTTTTAAGTACACACACACGTTTTTTTTATTGTTTGTTTAAGAGCGCCCTTCCTCTTCTTCTTGCATCTTTGCAAGTACCCGTCCAATTTAAAAAAAATCTTTGATTTTTGCAGAGTACTAATGACTTACTCCCGCTTCGCTCGGGTGTGTCCCCAGGTATGCTTTAATTTTTTTGAGCCGAACCCTAATTCATTTTCTAAAATAAAAGTAGCCTAAGTTACTCCTTTTAACATCAGCTAGCTGCCAGCGAAAGTCCCGTCAAAATCAGTCCAGTCGTTTCGGAGATTAAAACATACAGACAGACAGACAAACTTTTAAAAAATATGTTTTCTTATAACTACCGTATATAATATCATATGCATTTAGTACAAAGCTTTTATTTCAACATTACATTATATTTATCTGTAAAGATTTATTGAAGAAAGATTTAAGACTATTTAACATTATGTTACAAACTTTACAATTAGTAGAACAGTTACAAATGTATAAACAAACTATGCAATCTGGGTCATATCATATTATCTACACCCATACATTCTAGGGTATGTTTGATCTCAAGCACAATTTAAGATTAGATCATAATTTACAAAACTATCACCCGTCTACATCCAGGCAACCATTTTTTAATTACAATGTATTATGTATATGGTTTTACAACAGGGATCCAATTTTTAAATGTGAAACTTTTTTTGGAAATCTATATGGGACCCTTACTCTTGCGATATAATTAATTCATTAAAAAAGAGAATAATAAAATTTAATAATTAGTGAAGAAATTGCATTGATATTGATATTGCATTAAAAAAAATTGCAAATCAGTTCTTATGTAAAAAAATTACGTAATTGGTCACAAAAAGATGCAAAAAGCAACTCGTAAGGATCCATAGTAATACTAACTCATTACTTTAAAATATACTCACATTGGGATAAAACAAAAGCGTAGGATAGCTGCCAATTCTCATTGTATTGAAACAAAATGAGTTATGATATTTGCAATTAACTGCACCAATTTTAATCTGAAAAAAAAAACAATAGTAAAACAAAAGAAAAATAAAGAAACTTAGAAATATAAGTTATGAATGTTTTTTTTAAATTAAATAATAGCTCACAATTCCATTATAAACTTCTGCAAGTTTTTTCCAGTCATCGGCCAAATTCTGGCATGGTGGACAAAAAGGAGAATAAAAGTTTATAAAGTATAAGCCCTCTTCTAAATATGAATCTGAAAGAAAAAATCGCATAGTAAAAAAAAGAACACTGATTTTGGCAAAAGCCATATTGGTCAGATACATGGTTAATAATGCTCAATTCACATATTATATAAGTCTTATAAGGATAATATTATGTTTAATTTTTTGGTATATTTTCTTTAATATATTTTAAATTAAGAGGTATTAAATGTAAATTATGTAATATATATATCTTCTTTTTGTTATTGTCTCGGGTCCCATAACAATACAATTACAGGCACTGAACTCCATACAAATTCACTACTTACCAAATCTCTTCCCAGATAGAGTTATCACAAATGGGTCATTGTGATATAAGCCATTATAATACAAATCATTGTACTCAGCTTGTGAATGATAGTCATATTTCTTAGTATAAGATTGTTGAGATCCATACATGTCATATTTGTGTCGTTTCTGTGGATCCTTTAAAGTTTCATACGCCTCAGTAATTTCTAGGAACCTTTTTTGTTCCCTTGTATTCTGAAAGTTGAAGGTTTTTAAATGAAAAATTATTTACTATGTTTAGGTATACAATCATTTTACTAGTTTTTTTGTGTTTTATTATCTGCAATCAGTTTAACTATGAGCAGATTGTGTGAGGGTACTTGTCTGTAGAGTGTGCTCTGATTATGTTCTTCCTTTTGAGCCTTTTGTTATAGCCTCGACGTGTAAGTTGTGAAGCTAGAGGAATGGGGTGATTTTGCAGTTGTTGGTGATAGGTTTGCGAAGTGTTTTTGATTTCGTCTTTCACAGTAGACATGTTGAGGTGATCATGGATTTCATTGTTGGTCACAACCCATTGCGACCACCATGGTGACAACCCCAGACCCATAAGCCTAACATCCTTTATCCTGAAAACCCTGGAAAGACTCTGCGAAAGACACATCAGAGAAACCACTCTGACAACTATACCTCTTAACGAAAACCAACATGCATACACGGTAGGCAAGTCCACAGAAACAGCGCTCCATCAGGTAGTAAACACTATCGAAGACAATTTAACAAACAAAATAAACACATTGGGAGCCTTCATAGATATTGAAGGAGCCTTTGACAAGACAACCTTCAAAGGCATAAACACAGCTTTAAACAAATACAATATCCCCGAGATCCTAATGTCTTGGATTAACGAAATGCTGAGTAAACGCATAATTCACACAGAAACAAACACACAATCTCACAGGACTAGTATCCAGAGGCTGCCCACAAACGGGTGTCCTCTCACCACTACTCTGGAACCGTGTGGTAAACAGCCTCCTCAATGAGTTAAATAACAATGACATACAAGTCATTGGCTATGCAGACGACATAACCATCCTAATAAGTGGTAAAATTGAAGCCACCCTAAGAGAACTAATGCAAAGCGCCCTCAATATAGCAGAAAACTGATGCATACAAAACGACTTATCAATTAATTCCGCAAAGACAGAACTACTGCTTTTCACAACGAAACGCAAGGTCAATCTAACAAAAATGCCAACACTATTCAACGAAAAACTGAAACTATCAAATGAAGTCAAGTATTTAGATGTAACACTTGACAGCAAACTCAGTTGGAACACACACGTAAACAACAAAATCACCTCAAGCCACAAGATACTGAACCAATGCAGGCGCATGGTAGGGAAACAATGGGGCATTACACCAAAAACAATGCTCTGGCTCTACACCACGGTGGTACGAGCATCCCTTACCTACGCCAGTGTAGTCTGGTGGCCCGGAACAGAACTACATACAATCCAGAACGAACTTCAAAAGTTCCAAAGAACAGCCACATAGCAGTAACAGGCTGCATGAAAACCGCTCCATCGGCTGCCCTAGAAATAATTCTGGGCATACCCCCTCTACACATTTTCATAAAACAAGAAGCTGCCTTGTCAGCTCTAAGACTAAAATCAGTCAACTCATGGAAACGCAATCTGGGTAAACACACAAAGATCCTCGACATTTATGAGGCAGAATTTCCACAGCTCAAATGGCCAAATGACAGAATAAGTAAAACCCACATCATAGAAAAACATTATACTATAAACCCAACAGATGACGGAAATGAAGACAACAGCCCAATAATGGCACCAATCCACACCATCTACACAGACGGATCCAAATCCAAGGAAGGAGTAGGTGCAGGTATATCCTGCCCCACTCTCAATATCAAAACCAAACATCATTTGGGTATGTAAAACACAGTGCTGCAAGCAGAATGCGTCGGCATCACAATTGGAGCACAAGAACTACTAAACAAATCGATAAAAAACTCAATAATACACATAAAAACCGACAGGAAAACGGTTTTACGAGCACTAACTAAAAACACAACAAAATCAAAATACATATTAGAATGTCACAAAACGTTAGAACACCTTTCCCATACTAACACAATAAAAGTCTCCTGGGTAAAAGGTCACACAATTAACAAAGGCAACTCAACTGCCGATAACCTAGCCAAACAGGCCTCTAGACTAAAAGTTCAAGGGCCTACACCTCTAACCCCAATTCCACACTGTGAATACAAGACATGGTTACGAGACTTCACTGATAATACAGTTAACACATTATGGAAGGCTAACACAGATTGCTGTCAATCGAAAGAAGCCTTCCCTAAACTAAATAAACAATTAACAATGAAACTAACACGCCTAGACAGACCCAAACTAAAAACAATGGTGGAACTGGTAACAGGACACTGCCAACTCAAAAAACATCTTTTTAACATAGGTCACACGGACAGCGCCCTCTGCAGAGCGTGCCTCCAAGAAGATGAAACACCAGCACACATTTTAACTGAATGTGGTGCACTGGAACAATTACGCGAAGAAAAACTCGGCCCCTATAGATCCGATCCGATCCCAGAAATTTTCCAGGACACCGGCAGCCTGTTAGACTACTGGGACGCTCTGCGATGGAAAGAATAACACACACAGCAGCACAAGCTCACGCACAACGGGCAAAGATGCCTAAGTGCGGAAAAAAGCCGTGTCTAGAGAAGAAGAAGAACCCATGGCGAGTTGCCAATAGTGCGGAGGATTCAGCAATCTTTGCAGGATGGTTATGTTCGAGTTACTGGCACTGCCCCACAGCTGTATGCCATACATCCAAATAGGCTTCAATACTGTCTTGTAAATAAGCAATTTGATGTCTACAGAGAGTTTCCTGTTACGTCCAAGCAACCAGTGGAAGTTACAGAATCGTATGTTTAGTTCCTCTCTTTTTTTAGCTTTGACATGTCGCTTCCATGTTAGTCTTCGATTTAGATGAAGCCCCAAATACCGAACACAGAGTGAGGGAATACTGTGTTTTCTAACTTTACCGGGGGATAGTTTCCCTTTCTCAAAGAGAAAGTTACTTGCACCGATTTTGTTGCGCTAGCTTTAATTCTCCACTTTTGGAGCCATTGTGTAATTTCATCTAGTCCATTTTGGAGGACTGTTGTAGCATGTGATGAATCAGTACTACTGGCCAGTATGGGTGTGTGGCAAATATAGCGGGGGTAACTCCATCCACTTGCGGAAGGTCTGCAGTGTATATTGTATAAAGCACAGGTCCCAACACAGATCCCTGAGGGACACCAGTCAGTATGTCATAAAACTCTGAAGTTGCTTCAGCTTCCTTCACTTGGAAAATTCTGTCTGATATGTAGGATTTTAGCAAGCAGTAATATGAATGTGGGAATTTTACTAGTAGGAGCATATTATTTTAACTAGTGACTCACCCTCACTTCACTCAGGTTTATCCCTACTCCCTAGGTATGTTATGACGCTAAGTATGGAATAATTTTTTTTTAAGATGAAGGGTGAAGACAAATCCAGCAAAACAAAGATCATAACAATCGGTTCAGCAGTTCTCGAGTTATAAGTGCTGGAACAAACCTGACTTTGTTTTATATATATATATATATGTATATATATAGATTAATAAAAGAAACATAATATATATTTTGATTATACACATATAAAATTTTGAAGATATAAAAAAATATGTGCTAAAAGTTTAAATTCTTATCTTTATGATAGGATTGTAATACTTTTGACCTTATTATTCACCCACTCTCTACCCACACATACATCTTGATTAGAAACATGTTTCATAATGTCTAATTTGTAGGAGCAAAATAATGAAGCAGTTTTAATAAAGATAAACTAGAGACCAAAAGTACTAGATACACATCACACAATCCTAAGTAAAAGTCTTAAAACTTTTACCAATTGTGATTAGGTAATTATTCTAGTTGAAATATGCATTGTATTCAGCCCTTTTTAACATCCCATCCTGGGCACGGGCCTCCCTTTAATACGAGGGGGATCAGGTCATAGTCCACCATGCTGGTCAAGTGGGGGTTGGCGGACTTCACATGTCTTTCGAAAACTTGCTAAGTTCTCTCAGACATGCAGGTTTCCTCACGATGTTTTCCTTCACCATAAGGCAAGTGGTAATCATGTTAGAAATGATTCACACATGAAAATATCAGAGGTGCGAGACCCCGGATTGAACACGCTTTACTCGGTTTCCCAAGCGAGCGCATTACCACTGTCTTTACAACAATGTAAATTGAACCTACTGAAATACTTACAGGATTTTTATCTGGATGTAATTTCACTGCTAGCTTTTTGTATGCTTGCTTTATCTCATGTGTTGATGCTTTTTTAGATACCCCCAATAATTCATAGTAAGACACATCACTTAACACATTTTCAAATAGTAACAATGAGATTAAGATGAATTTCAGCCTAAAATTGTGTAAAAATATTAATTTCTTAAATTGAACATTTTATTGATGACAAAGAAAAGACGATTTTTTTTGTACAATTTGGAATCACTTAATAGTATTTATTTAATAATAATAATATGTAAAAAACGAAGTGAACATTTATTCTTTATAAAGAAAATGAAAACATAACTTTATACTTACATTTTTTTTAATTATTGTTATGAATAAATGTATGTTAACCTTACTGTGTTACAGTAAAAAAAAATAGTTTTTACTATCTAAATAAATCACTACTATGTATTTTATGACATAATTATTATATTTACTCTTATTAAAGGTACATATTAAAAGTTGTATTTAAATTTCGATTTTCGTATTATGACTTTTGTCGGTTGACATAATATATTAAATATTTGTGATTTGACATTAGCGATCAATGACTTTGTAGGTATAGACAATAAAAAAAGTATAGACGGAGTGCAAACATTAATATTTAATTTTAACAGGTGTAGAAACAGTAGTAGATTAAAAAAATATTATTTAATACATATTTATCAACAAATCATCCGTGCTATGTGAATAATAAAATATTTATTTTCCGTTTTTCAATCAATAAAAATATTTTTTAGTACTTATCTCTCCTACCGTAATTATGTATTTGAAATATACCTAAATTGAATTTCTTAAAAAGTACCGATAACCTACATAAGTTTTACATCTTGCCCGTGTACACATTGATACAATTAATCCTCTTTCTGTTTTACCTTTATTCATCATATTATTATTTTGCTTTAAAAATAATTTATAATTTCTAGCTAATATTACTATTATAAATATTATTTTTATAGAAAAAAAAGTAAATTATCTTAATCTTAAAGTACTATTTTTTAAATTGTAGATAAATTAAGAAAATCTGTTCCAACCTAAAACATTTATTTGATTCTTAAGATGATCCTAGTCAACAGATAGAAAGACAAATGGAAAAAGTTTAGTACAATCAAGCTTTAGTAGAAAAAGCTTAACTACATTTGAGCGCCGTTGTAGTGTACGTGCACGCAAACCTGCAAAGCCACGGAGCTCTGTGGCAATAAGATTTCATGGTGGTTTCTAGGGAATAAGACTTAAAATCCCGTTTCGATTAACGGCCGCTGTATTTCCCTAGGGACAAAAAAACGATTCATGGATGTCTTCAGTCCTTTTTTACCGTGTCCTATTGCTGAAGCCACACTACTACTACTACTACCACGCTTGCCAAGCTGGCAAGTTGACGAACTTCACATTTGTTTCGAAAACTTGGTAGGCTCTCTCTGACATGTAGATGACGATGTTTTCCTTTACTGCAAGACAAGTAGTAAATCATGTTGAAAATAATTCACAAATGAGAATATTTAAGGTGCGAGACCCGCAATTTGAACCCGCCTCACTTGTTTTCCCAAGCGAGCGCGTTGCCACTGGGCTAAGTTTAACTGTATAGTTAATAAAGTTGTAATTGTCAATTAAAGCAAACGGAGACTAAAAAAAATTATATATACTATTTCACAATAGTTATTGAGTAATGAGATAATCAGTCAACGCAGGAAATACTTTTATGACTATTACACATAATAATGTCGTCCTGACTGATTTCGGCCACGGCGACCGACTGAGACTAACTATAGGTATCTACAGTGCACAAGTATAAGTAATACATGCAAACAAGAAGTTCACTCCTTGCTCTGCGTTTTTAATTCAACATTCGCAGTGAGAGAATAGTAGTGTTATGCCATAAGAACGTTTTGCAAACATGAGTATATATCCATGATTATATTTCATACTGTTGTATGAAGTATAATCATGGATTGAGCTGTCGTACTACATAAAAGTTCTTACAGAATACAGAAGATGAATACCGATGCGATAAATCGAAAAACCCAACAACTTCACTTAGACATACCAGAAATTTGAACCCGTTTCTGTAGTCGAAAGTCCTAGCCATTACACCAACAAGGCACCCTACATTATATATTTCATGTTATTAAATATTTTACATTTAGGCTAATTAGTATTAATATCCGTATAACGCTTTACACGTGAATAAGTAATAAACACATATACATCCAAATCTCTTCACAAACTTTCAGATTTAGAATTAATATTGCCAATTTTATGTTAAAAATAGGTATTCTATTGTCTTCTATACATATAATAAAATTCTGAGTCGAATCTGTACATTAAATATTTTTTAGAAAATCTTATTGAAATAGACATTATTATCGATACAGAGGCCGAATCTATAGTTTTTAGAATTTTTGTCTGTCTGTCTGTCTGTCTATGTGTCTGTCTGTTACCGCATCACGGAAAAACCATTGGAGGAATTTTGATGAAATTTGGTATGGTGATAGCTGGTTAATCGGGTCAACGTATAGGATACTTTTTACCACGGGAAAATATCTCATTTCTGAGAAAAAATACAAAAACTGCAATGTAAGAGTATACTAATAAGTATGTAAAGTCTAAGAATTGTGTTTTTGGTTATCTGAACGCGGGCGGAGCCGCGGGCAATGTATTCAGCCCTTCTTAACGTCCCACTGCTGAGCACGGGCCTCCCTTCAATATGAGGGGGATCAGGCCATAGTCCACCACGCTGGCCAAGTGCGGGTTGGCATACTTCACATGTCTTTCGAAAACTTGCTAGGTTTTCTCAGACATGCAGGTTGTTTTCTTGATGTTTTCTTTCACCGTAAGGCAAGTGGTAATCATGTTGGAAAATGATTCGCACATGAAAATATCAGAGGTGCGAGACCCGGGATTTGAACCCGCTTCACTCGGTTACCCATGCGAGCGCGTCACCACTAGGCTACCACTGCCCTTACCGCGGGCAATGCTAGTACATAAATAAAATGTCTTTTTTTAATGTTGGGAAATTCGTAAACGATTTGTCATTTGTCATTCGACAACACGTTTGGCTCAGTTTGTAGTAATCCTACTTGCTGTGACAGCGGTCGCGGGTTCGATTCCGGGCATTCATTTGTGTTATGAGCAAGAATGTTGTACTCCAGTTACGGGTGTTTATATTTATCATATGTATGTATTTCAAAATTATATATGTGTAGTGTGTATCATCTATCTAGTATCTTTAACACATACCTCGTAGCTTATCATGGAACTACATGGTGTTCTGTGTTAATGTCCCAACATATGTATTTATTATTATTATTAAAATATACGCACCCCACCTACATACATAATGGTGGTAGTGGTGTAGGATTTAACAACCTTTACATTATTTGATCGGTATTGACATGCTTTTAATATGTCATTAGCCAATACTTAAAACAAGGAATATTTTATATGTATAGATAATCATGTAACGAAATCATTCAACATTTCTATCATATTTTTCAAAATACTGAAACTAACATTTTGTATAAATATAAAGAATCATCCGCAATGTTATGTAAATACATTCAAATATATTCTCATATTTTTCTATTCTTGTCAAGAGCAATTGCAAAGCTAATGGTTCGAATACCGTTGTGATGTGAACTGACATGGAAATAATATCTTGACGACGTCTTCTCCGTCCCTTTATAAAAACAGCCTCGAGGGAAATGTGCTCAAACACAAGAAAGAACGTGCAAGAGAAAGTGTACATTTAAAGTCTTTATATCTATAAACAATAACAAGAGTTTCTTATAAAGCAAAATGTGGCGTCATAAATATGGTTGTAGTGTATTCTTGTTGACGTTAGTATTTTCGTGTTGGGCTATACATAATACTAGTGCCCAATCAAGTTCTCGCTGTAAGCTTAAACGCTACACACATAAAGCTGTGCAGACTGATTTAAACGGATTGCGATGCTGGGATGATGTCAAGATTAAATCGTGTTGGGGATATTGCTTATCATACGAGGTACTATTCCGCGCACAAGTGATATACAGAGGACTTATGTTATATGAAATCATGAGTATATTCTATAGATTTTTTGTATAATTAAAAAAATAACTAGAATGAGAAAAAGTAGCTTTATCAAATAGCTTTATCAAACGTGATCATGAAAATGACGGGTAGACATTACTACATTACTAAATATACTACAATTATTTAAATACATAATGTTATCACTATATTAATTATTATATAAGACATTTATTTGTTACAACTTAGTTTCATTTAGTAAATAATTTTTCCAGACTGCACATTGGCAGTTTCCGTACAAAGAGTCCTACCATCCGGTCTGCGTGCACGGTGAAAGAAAACATGCATCTGTTAAACTAAGGTTCTGTGATCCAGACGTAGAACCTGGCACTGAACTATACCATTATGTTGAAGCTGTTAACTGCAAATGCCAGGTTTGTGTTCATACATAATAATCTGTTGAAAATATGTGAAACTAATTAACCGACTTCCAAAAAGGTGGAGGTTATCAATTCGTCGGAATCTTTTTTTTTCTTTTTTTTATGTATGTTCACCGATTACTCGAAGACGCCTGAATAAATATATATTTTAAGTATCAAAGTATATTAGATTTCCTATCCGTCGGCTGGCACCGACTTTGAAAATATCTGATTAGGTATCTATTCTAAATGAAAACCCCGGTTTAGTTATTTTTACATTTTAGTGCCTGGAAATCGGTTTTATTTATTTTTTTAAAGTTTTTATTTCACTACATACAAATAGAAAAACACTATAGCATTATGAATAGTTCAATTGTCTTACATTGATATTAAATCTCGATATAATTTATTTTTTGGATAACTGTTAAATTGATGGTTGCAAAATCAGGTCTTAATAACATATTATCAAACATTTTTATTTTAGGTATGCTCTTCTGAAGATACAAGCTGTGAATGGTTGCCTCCAGATTACTCTTTGCTCGGTGACCGTTTAGTCAAAGAACAACTAGATGATATTGAATAATTTGGACAGATTCAGGACCTTTATCATAACCAACAGCATTACTTTAAAAAATAATTGCAAGTTACATTATATTTGTAAATAAAAACTTATGTGATTTTTTTATTTCTTCATTTTTGGTCTCTAATATTAAAATAGTTTCGACTCGTGAATTAGGTTTACAAAAAAACCATAAAATTTATTTTTCTTATTGTTATATACGTAAGTCTTATCTTTAAATTTTACATAAGCAACTATTGAGATATTTCTAAAATGTACTTACAAATTTAATAAGTAGTTTGACTGCACACTCCATTTAGATATTATGATGTTTCCATTTCCTGTTTAGACTGTTTTTTTAGACTTTTTGTTGTCTATTGCCTAGTAAATGAACTGCTTTTATTTATTTTTTACTTTTATTTGAATCTAATCTGTTGTATTGAGGTAAGTGTGTCTTATTCACTTTCTACATGTAAGTAATAATAATAATTTAAATAAAAATTAAACCGACTTTAAATGAAGATAGCTTCTCTATCTGCAACCTCTATATATAAACTTTAAATATGAACTAGTAATTTCGGTGTCACCATTTCTCCTTATTCTTTGAAGTAAATATGTTGATGTCAAATATTGCTAGTATTTTTATAGGTAACAATACTAAAATATTGTAACCTAATATTATTACGATCTAGCCAACAAGGCTAATGAGAAATTTAACTTTAACTTAGTTTTATAAAATAATATAGCTAAGAATGTGTCCAATGGCACTTTTCTTAAGGTCTCTAATAAATATAATAAGTTAAGGCGAAGACATTTTGTTCTTGTGTTCTATGTTGGTAGCACTATATTATTATTACTTTCACTACATTACACTATTTTTTTAACACTACACTAACTCAAAAGTTTTAGTTCACATGTTTATGAAGTCTTTGCTCGTGAGCTTCTGCGTATTTTTTTAACACTTTATCGACAATGTCTACATTGAGGTCCCGATGGAGATCGTCATTTCTTACGTACCAGGGTGCATTAACTATTCCCCTGAGAAATTTGTTTAGGAATCGTTGGATGATGAGAGCATTACTGTTTTTGGTACAGCCCCACAGCTGTATACCATTTTTTTTAACGTTGGGAAATGCATTTACGCACGAGGTGTGGGACTCACCGGCAAAGCCAGTACTACCCACTAAAACCCAACAAAGCCAACCCCGTCTTAATGGGGCGTCGCAGGATCGCTTACGCATTCAACTACGACGCCCCGACGGCAGGTCTGCTGAAGCAGACCACAACAACCACGGGGTTGCTCAAAGGTCCACTCTGCTATCAGAGAAGTACCAGGAGCAACCTGCATGGTATACCGCCCTCCGAAGAGGGCCACCTCCCACCGCCCACCGAAGTGGGCCACCTCCCTGTGCGATTCTTGGCTTCGCGCCCGGTTGGGTTGCCGGGCAACGCACGTTGGGGGGGACAGCTGTATACCATAGGTCAACACTGGCATCAGGACTTGTTTATATAATAATATTTTGTTGTGTACGGACAGAGAGGAATGTCTTCCTAACAGCCAATATATCTTAGGTGAATCGCTAGTAAAAATATAAATAATACCTAATAGTAGTTTTCATTCATTATGTTTTACCGACAGTGCCGAATTCAACCTTAGCGTCGCCCCTGGGCACTGTAAAAAATGCCGCCCTATTATCGAAATTGTGCATAAAATGCATAAAGTTTCAATAAATTTTATTTTTTTAATTTTTTTTTCATTAAAAAAGAAATATTCATAAGTGATTTCAGTTTTTCAAAAAATGTGCCTACTAGTTAATCTTTTTTAATAATTCATTTTTTGGAAAATAAAAAAAGGATTTTCGATAACGTGAAGAATTTTTTTCCCACGGTCTGAATTTTGCTACACCTAAAAAAAATTTGAAACTATTTTAAGTTATTATGTATTTTGTTCTGTGGCGTAAATAAGACAAAAACATTGGCAGCTGGCACAATGACAACTGATAAAATATACAGTGCTGATTACCCAACTTAGGCGCTTTCCCCGCAAATGTAGGGGTAAAATAATGCACCAGGGATGAAAAATTATATATCATTAAAAATCATTTGCATCATTTATCCTTTTTTATTATTTTCTAAGTAAAATACATATACTAATGGTTATATGTAATTATTATAATAAAAACCATAAATAAGTTTTTTACACTAATTGTAATCATTAAAAATACAAAAAAAAAATTTAAAACCTATATTTTTCAAATTAATGTCAGTTAAGGGGTTTTAGGGTTTTTGAAATTACCAAGGATTTTATATATTCCATAAACATATATAAAATCCTTGGAAATTACTCTTACGTGGATGTAATGTCAAGTGTTGGCAGCATTGTGATGATTTCTGACAAGTGACAATATTTGACAAATGTCAAAAAACTGCAAACTTGAAACATACCAACATAGAGTATATTGCTACAATACCAACTACCAAGACAAAAACAAACAGATCAAGAACAACAAGAAAAAGATCAGAGATTCCGACATCTGAATTCCGATTATTCTGAATTCATGCAGAATTCTTTTTAGAACTTAGATTATTTATTACCTCTTTACAGAAAAAAGTTATTAAGATTCAAAATATAAAGTGTCAAGTTTATTATTACATGATTCCAAATTATATTTTATGTCCTAGAAGATTAGTGAACTTTATAGTACCAATCGCAATTTACCGGAATAAATCTGTGAATTTTGCCAAAACAATGGAGAATGCTCATAAAATAAAATTATCTGAAAGACTATCTTCATTAGTTCGCCCTAGACATTATCAATTGAATTTAAATCCTAATTTAGAAACGGGGCTATTTCATGGAGAAGTTATAATAGACATAAATGATAAAGACTACAGTTTTTAGCCCTTCACACAAAATTTTTAAACATCAATTATGTAAAATTATGTAAAAATGATGTTGAAATATCTGTATCAAAATTAAACATCTTTAGAACAACTATTCATTCAATTTGATAAAATTACTTTAGGTAATTACCAATTAGAACTAAAATTTACTGGTAATCTAACTCGTTATATAATTGGGTTTTATTTATCGAACTTGAAAAATAAAGGGTACTTAATTATATTCTATTTTCTTTCGCTTTAAGGACAATTCAAGGTTTATTAAATAAATAATTTAATATTTTCCAGTGCAATGGTAACAAGTAAATTCCAGCCGACTTATGCTCGCCAAGCATTTCCATGTTTTGATGAACCTGAATTTAAAGCAACATATGATATCACCTCGGTCAAACCTTTGAATTATGTGGCACTATCTAATATGAATGTAAGATAAGTTTTTACAGGTAATGAAATTAATAATAACATGACTCTTAAATTGATAATAATGTAATCATTGCTTTACAATGATAAATATACTCTTTCTAAATTAACTTTATATTTCTTATACTGATAGTTTTAAATTTTGTTTTATTTTGTAAATTGGCTTCCTAAAGTGATCAAAGTATAATTTTAAGCAGTTTGGTTTTTAGCAATTTATTTTTATCTTATATATAGTGTCATTTTAACTTTGTTGTTAACACATTTTAATTTTCAATTAATATGGTCTGTATTTTTAGGAAGTCTCTAAAGTCATAGATACATCCGCCAATACTGAAGCAGTAACATTTGCTACAAGTGTGCAAATATTTAGCTTGTTTTGTTATTTGTAACTTTGATTATAAGGAGGCCAAAATTAATACAAATGGAAATGGACTGAATTTCAATTTAAGGTAATTAGCACAAAAAGATCAAACACATAAAATTGATTTCGCTCAAGACATTGGAAAAAGAGTCACAGAGTATTATATTCAATATTATAAAGTTCCCTTTCCACTACCAAAGCTAGGTAACATATACTTGGTCATAAAATACAAAATATATTTTTAAAATGAATATTTTTATGTTATTCAAATCAAAATGATAATATGTTTTATTTTTTGCAATTTATTATATAAAAATGCATAAAATAATAAATATATTTTTATATTAAATCAGTATGTAACCTTGATGAATAATGTTTTCTTATTTTTATTGGCTAAATTAATGTGTTTATTATTTTTCATTATATTAGATACCGTTGGTTCGTCCCAGTGACATATAAAACAAAGAAGGCCACAACAGAGTCCATTTTATGGTTCCCAGATAGCAGTGACAGTGATAAGCATGTTATCCATATACTTATATTATAAATGTGTAAGATTGTGAGGATAGATGTTCGTTATTTTTTCACACCAGAATGTCTAAATTATACTAAATAAAATTTGGTACAGAGATAGATTATAGTCTGGAATAGCACATAGGCTACTTTTTATCTCAGAAAAATGTATGGTTCCCGTGGGATAGATTTGTTTTTGTCTAGGGAACAAATCCAAAGGGAGAGTAGTAGTTAGTGTCTTAATAATTTCCAATTCAAGCTTAACCCTAAGGTGCTCTCTGCTGTCTAAATTTAAATAACTTTGTCAGCATATTTTAATGTCATAGAAATCATCTTTTTCATTGTTTGAAAAATTGGCCCGGATGTACCTAAATCCTATAAATTATCTATATATTAAGAATTATAAACATTGCTGCACGAAAGAAGGACAAACTAACAAACATTAATGCATAAATGTAATAATAATTAGTAAGAGTAAAATAAATATTATAAATGTGAAAGAGTTATAAATTTGAAGAAAGGTTGTTTTGACTTAATCACCTTTAAAAGTTTAAACCGATTTTGATAAAATTTGGCACACATATAGATCACTTTTCGGGGGAAAAAATTGTAAACTTTTTTTATCCCAGTGGTCCTGCCATGTAGTATGAACTTCATTTTATAATATTAATTTCTTTCTGAAATAATCACTAGATTATAATATCTGAGAACGTTGAAAGAAAAGAAAGCTTTAAAACACAACAAAAATCTGATACATGCTCTATGGTCTAATGCTTTTTTCAGTAACGTTGTCTCTGGAAGATGGAGAGAAATGGATAAAAATTAATAATAACCAAGTTGGTTACTACAGAGTGAACTACCCAGAAGAAATGTGGCAGGAACTAACAGAACAATTGAAAAATAATACTGCACAGGTAACTTTCCTTTTACCTTATTAAAAAAAGTCAAAGCTGAAGAAGTGTATAAAAGAGTCTAAAATTATATTATAAAAGCTTATATTATACTAGCGACTCATCCTCGCTTCGGGTTCCTCCCTAGGTACGTTTTAACAGTTAGTATGAATTACAAATATTTGAATTTCTCGGCTTTTCTGTACTATAATATACATGTAATATTCATATAACCTTTTCAATTTTAATGAATGATATTTTGATGTGCGAATCATTTCTAACATGATTAACACTTGTCTAATGACTAATACTAATGACTGGTGAAGTCCGCCAACCCGCAATTGGCCAGCGTGGTGGACTATTCGTGTTGAGAGACCTGTCTGTGCCCAGTTGAGAGACCCGCGCCCAACTGTGGGACGTTAAAAGGGTTGAATAATAGAAACAACTACTGATTGCAAAAGTTTACCTAAAATCGTATTTGAGCGATAACAATCAGTTTCTGCAAACCACCAAACATACTGTAATTTAAAATGTTTTCAGCTAACAAAATCAGATCGGTCTAATCTATTGGACGACGCCTTCGCTCTGGCCGAAGCAAAAGTGATTCCAATAGTGAAGTAAGGAGTAATATCTCTAGGATAAAAAATTGTCCTTTAAAACGCGTCCAATAAGGGTGGAACGTCCGTCTACAACAGCTCTAAATTCATCGTAGCTTTTCGTACACCAGTGCCATCTACTATTTTCAGCGTACAGGTGGTCACTTTTTCAACTTGTCTACCATATAAGTGACTCCTCCTTACTTCTATGCTCCATGCGCTATGACAAAAAAATAATAAAAAACCAAGATGGCGAAATTCAAAATGGCTGCTATGAAAATTACAAAAGTCGATTAGTACATAATGTTACATTTTGTATGATGGTACGAAACTATTGGTATGCGATTCCGACTCGCACTTGACCGGTTTTCATATATTGAACTAGTAGGTAATTAGATAAGCTAAAGTAATATACATAATATGTTGTAATGTATCTACTTATTTAGTCACTTTTGTTTTTTATGAAAGACTAATTTTATACCGTGGTTCCTTAACCTTTTTACTGGGATGTAGTGTAAAAAGTGTGAATAACATTATTTACCCGACTGCGGAAGAGGGTTATGGTTTTCGAGTGTACCTACATGTACTCGTATGTATGTATATTTCTTAATGACGTAACGACGTGATGGATTTTAGTTTGAAAGGCGTCGTTAGATTCATTTTAATTGTGACAAAAGTGACACTGGGTATATCAAAATTATAATAATTTAAATGGCCCATTATATTAGCGCCATATTATATCTTAATTTTTTTTCCTTTAAACCTATCGAGTTGGGCATCAAAATAAAAGGTTTTATAAATGGTTTAAAATATGTACAACTTATAAGTTATTTTTTATTATTGTTTTTGTAAACATTTATGTACTAACAAAAAAATTATGTAACAGTATTTAAGTTGTATGTTTATACGTAATTTAGTTTAGAATGAGAAATACGAAAAAACAAGAAATAAAAAAATATATTTACAAAAATATAAAACACGACTGCGTAAATAGCGAGCTAATATGAGAACAAGCTAACGAAGGAGCATAGTGTTATACAGTCAGAGACACACGCGCACGCAGCAATTATAAAAATATATACAAATCTGAAAAATGAAACATAAAATCTGAAAATTGAAACGTTTTAATTTTTGTTATCTCAATCTGCATCCATTTTACATATGACACCTTATTACTAATGTATTATACAAATAGAGTTCGTCCCTAGCTTGATTCCCCATACAAACTTTCATCCCCATTTTTAACCCTTTATGGGATGATTTCCGGGATAAAAAGTATCCTATGGCCTTCCCAGGGTCTCAAACTATCTTCTTACCAAATTTCATCTAAATCGGTTCAGTAGATCTAGAGATTACCCCCTACCACGTCACAAACTCAGAAACTTTACCTCTTTATAATATTAGTATAGATAAATAAATATATTATAATTTATAATGTATGCTTTTAATGATAACCTATCGTTATCGTTTTGTTTATACTATGTGCATAGAAAAATACATTTGTCGCAATGTTATCTCATGGCATTAGTTTGTATTGGATCAAGATCCGGCTGCAAGATTGCTACGTAATACGTTCATAGGGTATTTAATCAAAATCAATTTTTTATATACAATAATATAAGGGACAATATGTTTTGACCGGGGTGCCTATTCAATTGTGCCCGCTAGTATGTTTAATTAAATAATTAATAATTGACTTTTTGGAACAATATCGATGCACTTGCTATTGAAATGAATTATACTCCACTTCACAGAAATATACGTAGAGATCTTTAAAAGTGATAGCTGCCGTTGCGCACTTGGCCGCAACCGCAATCATTTTTCAAGTTCTCAACATATACATGACCCTGACTCGGTTTTTACCATTTTTTGCTATGTACAGACATTCGACCTCTACTGTTTTATTATAGTATAGATAGAAAACAAACACGTTAAATAGCAGTAAAAAACTCATATAACTACGAATCTGGTTCTTGCTCTAAGCGTCTCGTACCACATAAACTTAATTTGTTTTAAAGCAATAATAAGTTTATATTTCGTAGCATTTTCCAAAGACTGCCAAAGGAATCTAAGGATTTTTCCCTAAGAACTCATTATATACAATTATGAATATACATATATATTTATATATAAAGCAAGGCCTAAAATACAAGAAAAATATTTTTTTTTAAATTACACATGCTTTAGTCCTTAGCGAAAGATTATTTAAACTTTTTGTTTGTTTGTTTTCTTTTAGAAATATTCCACGTCTTAACACCGATGTTGATTTCGCTTGGAAATCGAATCTGCGATATTTAAGTATATTTTCATAGTACTGACTGGGACACTAAGCTGGGTGGACCAGGGAAGGCCATGTTCCTTGTAAGGCCGATAATTATGTTTCGTACACATTTAAAATTCATTAAATCATTTTAGGTATCTCCTGTTGGCGTGGGATGAAAACAACATTAGAAGCCAAGATTACTTAAATGTTTCAGTTCTAACCCGTCCGGTACTGCACTAGTATGGGACAATGTACGCGAGAACTGGCCAAAACTTGTGGAGCGATTCACTTTGAATAGTAGAGACTTGGGTAGTCTCAAACCGAATATAACAATTTCTTTTAATACAGAAAGCCTGTTAAAAGAGGTTTGTATATACATATATTTGTCGTTGATTACGATAATTTAACAATTTTAAATCACGTGTAAAATGTACATTTATTCTGTTTTCTAATATATTTAGCAGATAAATTTTAGTAGATTTCAGATCCTTATGGGACTTTTTAATTTTTAGATGTTCGACTGTATATATGTATTTATTGCAACGAATGTTAGATAATTAGTTGGGGTCTTTTTGGTGGTTTTTAGTGTTACAGTCCCCTGAAGTTAAAAGTTGATAGGGAACTGTGAAGAGTTTCCCCGGAGAAAATAATATGTAATATATATATATATATTCGATTAATCCTATTTATAGATGCAAGTATTCTTCGAGACATTCCCAGAAGCAGGAGGCGCCGGAGAATTGTCACGTGTTCGTGCCATTGAAAATGTACAAAATAATATTAAATGGGCCAACTCTTACCAAAGTGTTGTTTTGTCCTGGCTAGAACAGCAAATGAAAAGAAAATAAAATATTTAGTTTAAGTATTAAGTTTAAGGGGCCGTTCATAAAATACGACACACTAAAATCAGCTTTTTTTGACCACCTCACCCCCAACCCCCCCCACCCCACTATTGTCACGCTGTGTCACACTTTCTGTGACCGCCCCTAGAAATATTTCGTCACAAAAACTAAGAACTAATAAATAATATTTCTATTATTCAGACGTCCGAGGATTTTCTAAATGGGCCGAAATATCTACAATCGGTATTGCACCATCTTCTTCTTCATCTTCAAAACTACCGTCCACTTCATCGTCATCTAATATTAAATTGTGAAGATGAAAAAAGCGTCTGTATTAGTTCACTGCTAAATGGCGAATGAAGGAATAAAATAATAATAAATACATGAGAAACAGTATTTTCATTTGTTACTGAATCGAAAGCGCAGGGTACGTGGAAACGTTACTCTCTCAAGTATTGGAAAAACAAAGAAACCAGTTATGACGGATCGCAACGCCGCTAGAGTCGCGCCACAGAGCTAGCGCTCATGTCAAAAAATAATAAACGGCGAACGTCACGTTGCCGTATACCCCCCGTCCCCCCTTGTCACATCTTGTCACACTCAGCCAGACCCCTCCCCTCCCCTTGTATGCGAACGTATTTTATGAACGGCCCCTAACCAAAAATGTAGACATAGTAATACAAATGTTTTTGAAGTTATGAGCTTTATTTTGTGTCAATCAATCTTTAAGTCAATACAATAAAACATATAGAAAACACATTTTTTTATTATCAAAAAATATCGCCTGTTAGTGTTAAATCTACTCAACTACTTTACGCCTTACGTCAAAAAAGCCATTTATCGATAAGTGTAAATTAAAAATTTAAAAAACCCCCGACCGTCTTGGACTGATTTTCATTAAACATAACTAAGAACCAGGGCTGTCAGTAGAGCCAACTTATTTTATACCGCTGGGTCACTGAAATTATACCAAATTCTATCATATAAGTTAACAAAACCGTTGAGAAATTGTCTGTGACGAATAAGAAATGTCAATAAAAATACGTAATAACTTAAAATGATAGATGTCTGTCCAGGTGTTCTTTTTATACAGCTATATAGCCGTAACACCAGATTGAAAATACCTGAATTGGCCTGTATTTATATGTATACCTATAATCAAGTAAAAATCACGTGACTGGTTGCAACCGAATCATTTATTTTATTAGTAATCGTATTTGCTATCTTCTATCTATCTTCTATCTAGTATTAATTTTGTGTAAGGCACTTTTTATGATAATCTATACATATAATAAAATTGTAACTAAGCCGAAATAAACACGATTATTGATACAGAGGCCGAATCTATAGTTTTTAGATTTTTTGTCTGTCTGTCTGTCTGTTACCGCATCACAGAAAAACCACTGGAAGGATTTTGATGAAATTTGATATGGTGATAGCTGGTTATCCGGGTCAACATATATAGGATACTTTTTAACGCAGGAAAATATCTCATTTCTGAGAAAAAATACAAAAACTGCATTTTAAGAGTATACTGATATGTAAAACCAAAGAATTTGGTCATCTGAACGCGGGCAATGCTAGTACATTATAATCTCCTTACCATTTTTGTTTAGGAAGTCACTGTTTTTTTTTTAATATTTTGCATTACTAAGAGACTAAAATTCTTGGCCAACACATTTTTTGTTATTGTTTGTTTTTTATTACAACCACGTAATTAAAGTTAAAAATATATAAGAAGTCCGTGGGGCACGAAATTAAAATTGTGTTCACCAGAAAGTTAAAGAAAAATATAGCGCGTTTTATTACTGGCCGGCGACGGCTCATAGACTATAGGAAAACTAACTTTAAAGACAGTCACCGCCTGCGCTACATCATTAGAAAAAACCCTAAACCTTCCTTGGGAATGCTATGGTTTATCGCGGAAGTTTTGTAATATGTATTTTTCATATTGATTTCTTTTAAAACATTTATTATAATATTACTTGAAATTTTAATGTAATTTTCTGATAGGTACCTATACCTACTTATTTTGAAATAAATTTTGAACACACAATAAGTTTTGTTTTGACGTGAATTTTTTTCTAAACATAAATATTTAAAAATATTATATTAATGTAATTATCACTGGTGGATCTAAATAAATAAAAACACCAGCATGTATAAAAAACACCTCAATTAATGTTCCTCTCTTATAAAAATTCCATCCGTATTATAAACCACAGTAGCTTATTTTCAAGGTTTAATGGTTCCTTTTTTATGGAAAGTACTAATCTGTGTTATAGTTTCTTCTTTATTAAGTATCCACACGCTATAACTTGGATGATCGTTTTGAAAATTGTGCGATGAGCTGCACAAATATATGTATTAATCGATGTAGGTATGCATCGAACGAACCGCATGTGCTGTAAAGTTTTGAATTCGATTATAACTAACATCTAAAAAATAAATAAGTAAATACTTCAATAAAAAAAATGTTTTGTGCGATTACATGTTTATTCATAGAATAGTGGTTCAAATTTAGTGAAAATATATACTGTACCTATTAGAAATCATTATAAAACAACAACTAGTACCTACATTGCAGCAAACAATGATAAATGATTAGCTTATTTATAATTCATGAATAGTTTCAGGAATACTTCATATTAGTTGAGGTATCGGTAATGAGTGGTTTTATGCAACATCTGTATGTTGCATATCATAAAGCGCGGGGTGTTAGTGGTTAATATGTATATTAACCAATAACACCATCTAGACTATAGATTAAAAAAACCCCTCCCTCTATAGGCACATTTTTAGTAGAGCTATAATTATCAATATTACTACGAGGGATAACAAACGGACAGATGAACAGTGCGAGCTTAACAGTAGGGTTTCGTGCGGACTCTTAGGTTGCGAAACCCTAGAAATGTTGTACCTACTGATTTGTCCTCTACTATTTCATACAAGTTTGTCAACAGGTAGTCACATTTAAATTCTTTTTTATAACTTCAGCAAATATGTTTTGTAGCAAATAAAGATATGTTAATATTATGTAGGTACATTGTTGATATAAAACGACTATAATTTAAACAGTTTGCGTAAAGTATTGCATATATCAGATACCACTGTGCTATTTGTTTTATATTTCTTTTTGCTCGAGTGCCAAAGTATATAGAGTAAATATAATCATGTGCATAATAATAATGCCCGTTATTATACAGGTAACAAAATGAAGGATTAAAATTTTACAATTTACGAGTACCTATATCTAAATATCACTGTAATTGTAGTTAATAATGTATATAATTCATAATAATATTCATATACGAGTATGTTTATTACAAGTGAGTGACGAGAGTAATTCATTCTGATGTTTGTCGTAGTACTGCATAATAACTGTAGGCTGCCCGTACGATCTGTAATTATGAAACGTATGTTATTATCACCTCCGAATAAATTTCTAAGAAATTATTTAAATTTCTAAGAAATCTATTGTTAACAGTAAGGCCGGCGTGTCCGCGGTCGTGGAGGGATTAAAGTCGCAAAATTAAATCTTATTACGTGCACGACCAAGAGCGAATAAAATCAAAGTGTTTGTTTCTGTAGCGGTACATAGAAAGTGTATATTTCATCCCCCCATAAAGTAAGGGCAGAGCTGAGCATGCATTTTCGCATACTTACCACTTACACACGTACGTACTCTATACACATATACCTACAGGTGGTTATGTGAGAGAGAAGAGTGTAAAGCCCAACAGAACCTTCTCCGTCTTAATAGAGCATTGCAGGATCACTTACGCATTTAACCACGACAACCTGACTGTTGCTCTACCGTACCATGCTGAACAAACGCCCATCCTGAGCTAAACCGATACGTACAACAATCTTGTTTTCAATTAGCTTTTTTTTACGTATAAAATATACCTGAATAAAAGATGGCAGATCAAGCCAGTTAAAAAGCCCTGCCCTCATCCTGCAAGGTCGGGACATGCCTACGCAAAGCAATGCTATTTCACGCCTTATCTTTGAACTGACGCACCAACACGCTGCAGAAAATGGACCACTGCCCAAGGTAACGGAACTCTGTAAGAAATGCAATGTTTAAAAACGAATCGTTCAAAAAATTTATAAGCTTGCTCACTACCTACATAGTATTAAGTACTTACTACCTATGTACATAATAATAATGAGTTAAGGTCGTGTAGAGTCGGTGATTTCAATTTAAATTGTGATATCATTAATATTCATCATTATTTTTATTAGCACATGAAGTATGTAAATATAGTTTTTAAATTATATAAAAAAGTTACATAAAAAATATATTTACTTAGTGTGCTAATGATAAAAAAATGATGAATATTAATGATGTAACCTCACATACATAATATGTATGTTATATATATATATATATATATATATATATATATATATATATATATATATATATATATAACAGTTTTTTTTATAAATGCCTATGATATTATATATGGTACTTATAAGAAAAACACAATTATTAAAAAAAAATTGTCTGTCTGTTTGTTCCGGATAATTTCGGAAACGGCTGGACTAATTTTTACGGGACTTTCACTGGCAGATAGCTGATGTTATAAGGAGTAATTGAGGCTAGTTTTATTTTAGAAAAAGAATTAGGGTTCCACTCAAAAAAATTAAAACGTAGGTACCTAGGGACGCACCTTTTTTTTTACCGTCGGGAAATGCATTTACGCATACCACCTGATCCCCCAGGTGGTGATGTGGGGCTCACCGGATAGAAGAGCCGGTACTACCCACTAAAACCCGACATCTGAGCAAAGCGAGGGTAACTCGCTCGGAGGCCCGTATGCAGCAGTGGGATGTTAAAAATGGGCTGAATAAAAAACCTACCTACAGAAAAGTATTTATGCTATCGTACTAGTTTTGATTCTCATTCTCGAAAGCACTACATACTATAAATACATACACACTATATATACTATATATACATATACACTACATACACACCTACCTATACTGTAATCGAATTCAATGTTTAATAGAAAAGCTTTAAGTAAGGTATAGGACCTTAATTTATTATGAAATTATTTACTTAAGAATATTATGTAAGTAGGTACTACATACAGTATAATAAATACTTCATAATATATATAAGGCAGTGGTAGCCTAGTGGTAACGCGCTTGCTTGGGAAACCGAGTGAAGCGGGTTCAAATCCCGGGTCTCGCACTTCTGATATTTTCATGTGCGAATCATTTCTAACAAGGTTACCACTTGTCTTGCGGGGAAGGAAAACATCGTGAGGAAACCTGCGTGTCTGAGAGAACCTTGCAAATTTTCAAAAGACATGTGAAGTCCGCCAACCCGCACTTGGCCAGCGTGGTGGACTATGGCCTGATCCCCCTCATATTGAAGGGAGGCCCACCCGCAACAGTGGGACGTTAAAAAAAGGGGCTGAATAAAAAAATATATAGATAAACCCGGTAATGTCTATTCTATCAATGATCACACCTCATTAAATACCGCGTCTCCATAATGACAGAAAAGATATAGCTGCGTTAATGTTGCGCACATGTACTGCAAAAGGGATATCAACTGCGTAGCGCTCAGTTGCTGCTGAAATTAAAACCTTATAGTAATAAGTTTATATATGGAAGGTAAGTGTTCTTTACATCGTGATGTTAGTGAGTAAAGAAATTAATTCTAAGATTTCAATATTATAATAAAACTTTTTTAAAAAAAAAAACGACTTACAGGCACTAAAATGTAAAAAATAACTAAACGGAGGTTTTCATTTAGAATAGATACTTAATCAGATATTTTCGAAGTCGGGGCCAGCCGATACAAAGCAAATGTAATATATTTCGATACGTAAAATACATATTTATCTACTTATTAAATATTCATATCTTAAAATATTGTAGGCTGTCACCGACTTCGAAAATATCTGATTAGGTATCTATTCTAAGTGAAAACCTCCGTTTAGTTATTTTTTACATTTTAGTTCGTGGAAGTCGGTTTTTTTAAAGGTTTTATTTTTCCATTTTTAGTGTAGACGTAATAAGCAGGTAATTTGTAAGAAGAAAGTTTTTGAATAACAATTTCGATTAAAAGATTTATTTAAAAAAATATGTATTGTTGATTTTTTTTAAAACTGCTCGACCGATTTCGATAAAATTTATATGAGACCACCTGGGAAGTATACCCTTTGAAACAAAAAAAAATCCAAATCGGTTCAGGCGTCTACCAGTAATCGGTGAACATACCTACATAAAAAAAAGATTCCGACGAATTGAGAACCTCATCCTTTTTGGAAGTCGGTTAGAAAATGTTCAAAATTATATATTTCTTGCTGGTTAGCAATAAGATGTATATTGCCAAAACGATCATCCGATTTATCTTACTAATATGTATAATAATCTAATTATCATGTATGTAACTTTACCCATTTTAATTGCACCGCTACAGAACACAAAGTGAGAGTAGCTACGAAAAAATAAATTCCCAAAATATTTTCAATTAGCTTTCCCAATTCCTTTACTGATCTGAAAACATATAATCTATACATATAATAAAATTGTAACTAAGCCGAATCTGTACATTAAATATTTTTTGGAAAATTTATTGAAATAAACATTATCGATACAGAGGCCGATCTATAGTTCTTAAAAATCTATAGTTGGCCATCTATAGTTTTTAAAATTTTTGTCTGTCTGTCTGTCTGTCTGTCTAACAGACAGATTGATACCGCATCATAGAACAACCACTGAAGGGATTTTAATGAAATTTGGTATGGTGATAGTTGGTTATCCGGGTCAACATATATGATACTTTTTACCGCAAGAAAATATCTCATTTCTGAGAAAAAATGCAAAAACTGCAATGTAAGAGTATACTAATCCGTAAAACCGAAGAATTTGGTTATTGGTCATCTGAACGCGGGTGGAGCCGCGGGCAATGCTAGTTAAGAATATGAGACATAAACATACATAAGTGTTTATACCACTATATAATATTACCTTAACAATGACACATGTATTTGATGACATTTTATTATTCTAAAATGAGCGCGGTCATCCCTTTTCTTAGATAAATTACATTTTTGTCCTATACCTCCAATATTCTCACTATAAGCATAAAGCAATGAAAACTGGCCACGTATAAATATCATTAAACCCACTGCAGTTAAATCAAAAGCTACATGGACCATAACGCAGTACACGGCGGCAATACTTTCTGCTAAAATGGTAAGGCCATAACCAAAGGGATACATCTCCAAGGGTGCCCAACCAGGCAAAATATGTGGAGATTCAATAACGTCTTTTCCTTGCCATACATATATTCTATATTCAATAAATGGTGAAGCTATGAACACTACTGCTGTAAAACTGTAAATTCTACTTAAATATGTGGAGATAGTCAAAAAATTCTTGGTATAGCTTTGTATATGCTTAGAAAAATGATTTTCTTCCTCATCATCCGATTCGTAGTCCGGCATAACGTTTTGGTTATATTTTAACTGATCACTTTCCATAAACGACGCTTTCGCAATTAAGAACCGCCAACTTCCCTGGTTTCCTATTAACGACCAAAGTTTTAGGAATCCCATTAAACAGAAGGATAAAACGCTGAAGCAAGCGAAAAGTTTATTTGGATCTTCTTTGGCCATAAATAGTGCTATTACTTGGGTCACGTTAGTGACTAGAAAACAGAGGATGGATAATTGAGCTATACGCCGAATTTCAAAGGTACTGGTACCATAATGAATCCCTGCATTTCGAAGTCTCTGCAGAACAATGGATTCAAAGTTAGGTGCTTGTGGATATATCATAGCGTTAATATAATTAAGTGATTGTTGTAGTCTTGTCTGTAGAAACATATTTGCTTATAAAAGGTATAGGCACAATATTTTATTAGAAAAACACTTTACCATTCAATAAAAATACCTATCTTTATGAAATGAAATCTTCTACAAAAATGAGTAGGAATTATTAGGAACGGTTTCTTATAAAGTTTCTAGTAGTTATGTAATTTTAATTTCATAATTAACTTAAGTATCACATATGTCACAGTAAAACTTTAAAATCAACTCCGGCTGAATTTTTGTACCTATTTTTAAATAAAACTATCTTTTCGGATTTTGTCGCGGATTTATTTGCATTTTTGTTTCCCGACGTTTCGAATGCTTTGCAGCATCCATGGTCACGGGAGAGACTGAGGTGTTACATGTCTTGAAGGTATAGTTCCAGTATATAAGTGTATAATCTATGGTATAGTTGTTACAGACAGCCTACCCACAATTAACAAAATGAAAATTGCACCAATTACATTACAATATTTTTTAACTTTAAACATTTTTATAATTTTAATTGTAATTGAATATGGAATATTATTAATTTAATTTTTGCTATTATTTTTATAATTATTACAATTTTAAAAATATTAATTTGTAATCTATAGTGTTGCCATTATTATATTTATAACCATAAAGAAAAATATAAAATATAGTATTAATTATTTAAGCCATATAATTGTTCTATGTGTAATTTAAAAAGTTAAGGTTAATTAAGGATAATCATTTTAATTTAGTTTGCTATTAAATCCGCGACAAAATCCGAAAAGATAGTTTTATTTAAAATGTCAAATATTCGCGTAAATCTAAGAAAGTATTATTTTGTACCTATGTTTATAGCTGGTAAAATACTCGAAGCCTAGATACAGAATACGTATGTATTTATTATAGAAAAGGTGAAGACATCTACGATTATTATTTCGAATAGTAAAGAGTTTTATGAAGATAGCAATTTTAATTTTTTTTAGCTTCAAATTTCCACTACCTATAGGTACATTTGCGTTGTTTCCATGATGCCAACTATAGGAGCGCGTAAAAAAGGAAATCCAGCTGCGTCTTTGAATCAATTCAACTAAATAATATGTATGTACATCGTACATAGTAGATATACTAAAATAGTTTTATTCAGAAAGATAATATTACATTTTTAGTATTTTAGTCTCGATTCGTACAAACAAGGATTTATAACTACTACTAGACTTTAAAAAGAAAATTAGGACAAAAGTTTTGTAATTACGAATTCAATTAAAGTTACCTAATTACAATCACCGTAGCGTAAAATTTTTATGTTGAAGAATTTAATTACTGATGCGAATAGATATAAAAAAATATAGTTATTTAATCTCTCAACGACCGCGGACACGCCTGCGTTACAGTTAACAATAGATTTCTTAGAAATTTAATTAATTTCTTAGAAATTTACCTGGAGTTATAAGAAAATTATAGTTATTTAGGTATCTATGGGATCAGCTGTCAAGTAATCGATACTCGCTTCTAATTAATATTTATTTTATAAACAAAATATCTCTTTTTAGACAGATTAAAGATAACGCGAAAAGTTATAGACTTTTCTAACACCCACTGACAAAAAAAAGTGGAAATAGATACCGCTGTAATAAACCTACGCGTCCCGGCGTCGTCATTCTAGTTCTTTAAAAAAGTAAGTAGGTAAATATTTATAGTAGGTAGGTACTATCGTACCCTAATTTTACTCTAATATAAGAGACAACAGCTACATGTGTTTATATTATACAATTTAAACGTTTGTTACTTTAAGAATTAAGACTACTATTATAAAAGACGGATGGAATTGGATGATATTTAATACAGTAGGAACCTAAGAAGTAGGAATGCTGCGCACGCGAGTAAAGTGAGATGAACTCACTTTTTCTATAGGTATATAACTACCATAGAATATACTTGTCTATACATATAATAAAATTGTAATTAAGCCGAATTTGTACATTAAATATTTTTTTGAAAATCTTATTGAAATAGACATTATTATCGATACAGAGACCGAATCTATAGTTTTTAGATTTTTTGTCTGTCTGTCTGTCTATCTGTTTGTTACCACATCACGAAAAAACCACTGGAGGGATTTTGATGAAATTTGGTATGATCATAGCTGTTTTTTTTTTAACGTTGGGAAATGCATTTACGCACGAGGTGTGGGACTCACCGGCGTAATACTGCCAGTACTACCCACTAAAACCCAACAAAACCTTCCCCCGTCTTAATGGGGCGTCGCAGGATCGCTTACGCATTCAACTACGACGCCCCGACGGCAGGTCTGCCGAAGCAGACCACCACAACCATGGGGTCGCTCCAAGGTCCACTCTGCTATCAGAGAAGTACCAGGAGCAACCCGCATGGTACACCGCCCACCAAAGAGGGCCACCTCCCACCGCCCACCGAAGTGGGCCACCTCCCTGTGCGTTTCTTGGCTTCGCGCCCGGTTGGATTGCCGGGCACTACTGAGCCCCCCCACCACGACAAGGTGAACGCACGTTGGGGGGGATAGCTGATTATCCGGGTCAACATATAGGATACCTTTTATTGCGGGAAAATATCTCATCTCTGAGAAATCGATACAAAACCTTAAAACTTAAGTAGGGACGAACCCGAGCGTCCGAGCGAGAGTGAGTCGCTAGTGATTTATAAAAATCATAGTAATATTTTATAACAACTTAATTCTCATTCAAGCAGTAACATGTTTACTTGCATAAGGGCGTTAATTAACTGGTACACATGACACCTCAACCTGCATATATATACATATGTATTTATCGAAACAGTATTAGTTTGAACCAACCCTTTTCATGTTACAATAGGAAACAAATCATTTTCCAATTTACATTTTAAAATATAAGCCAATTGAAAGCTTGAAGCTATAAATTATTTAATATCAAATTAACAGCTGCATGGATAATACTTTCTTAGATTAACGCGAATATTTGACATTTTAAATAAAACTATCTTTTCGGATTAATTCGCGGATTTATTTTGATTTTTGGTTTCCGACGTTTCGAATGCTTTATGGCAATCATGGTCACGGGAGAGACTAAAGTTATAGATAAGGTTCGCCCGAGTGACTACATTCGCTTTGATGCTTCAGGATGATCCGCGAAGCTATACCTAGAAATTAAAAAAATATCCAAACTTCAATACGGAAGATGGCTGGGTACTACCATCATATTAGGATCCTGTAATAAACATAACAAAATCTAACAACAGAAACAAATATAACAGACCAGTAGATGTAGTTAGTTCATACTGTGTGGATCGCAATAATAACAGTAATTCTGATTAATATTTTAACTTGAAATAATAGGAATCTAAATTAATATTTTTGATTTTTTAATATTCTTTATGGTAATACATAATATAATAATAGCAACAATTATTTAAATAATATTGGTAAATAATAAAGTTTAAAAAAAAATGTAATATTTATAATTATAACAGCTAAAATTAAATAAATAATATTGCTATATTTAATTATAATACTTTTTTTTAAATGTTTAGAAATAAAAATCAACAAATATTGTAAGGTACTTATTGTCATTTTTGAATTTTTTGAAATCAATTTTGTAAAATAGTGGGTAGGCACTGCCTGCAACAAGTATATGTGTTTGAGACGTCTATAACCTTAGTCTCTCCCTTGACCATGATTGCTGTAAAGCATTCTAAGCGTCGTTGGGAACCAAAAAATGAAATAAATCCGCAAAATAATCTAAAACGATAGTTTTATTTAAAAAGCTGCATGTATGTCACGAAATCATTAACATTTTTAGTTTATATCGTTGATATCTAGTGGCTATAAATTGTGAAACATAATATTAAAAGTTTTTTTCCAAATTCATGACATTTTATTATGTATATGTACAGAAATCGGTTTAGCCGTGAGAGTATAAAAAGTTCTATTTTTAGTAGAGTTCGTCAATAGAGGCGTCACCAACTCGATCGAACATTTAGTCGTCTGCGTATCGGGAGTTATCCGGGGCGTAATGTGATCTTCCAGAGAAGCTCTTTGAATTTCCATTAGAGCTATTACTGCTAGTGCTAGGAGCATTTGATCCGTACCCGCTGCTACTTCCCCGCCCCTGGTTTGCGCGACCGAGTGTCCCGCCAGAGAAACGAACAGCGGCCATTGAAGGCGATACGGTACTTTGCCAATCGCCGCCGCCTGTAATTCAAAAAGTCATTTTAATTCATAAATTTTTATTTAAGCTAGAATTCAATTTCGGTCCATTAAGATAAATTGAAGTTCAAGATTTGACTTGGCTAGTTTTTGCATACAAATTATCTTATATTCGACTAATCACTTGTATCTTCTTTATGCTATACGCAAGTCACTGTTTTTATATTGTAAGGTCAATATGTCTCACTCTTCTAAAAACTTGCTTTACTAGTAAAAACTAGCCAAGTCAAATCTTGAACTTCAATTTATCCTAAGTTATCTACTCTGTGTAAATAATTCGACTGTTCAAAGTAGAAAACCAATCCCCATAGAATCTGGGGCCCGGTGCTTACGGAGTTGAAATTTTGGTATAAATTAATACATTTAGAAATTATTCTAGAGTGCAATTTTCACGGGCCTTACCAATGGCCAAGTTAGTTAAATCGAGTGTTAAATATGCAATGTTTTGGTTATATTTTACACTAGCGGCTCACCCTCGCTTCGCTCGGGTTCGCCTCTAGAAAAACACTAATAGAGATCTATTAGTTCCCACGGGAACCATTCATTTTTCCGGAATGAAAAGTAACCTGTTGTTTGGCCGGCAATATTAGGGATCAAAATGTTAAATTTTACTAAATTAGGTGCATAAGTTTTTGTGTACTAAGCTGTATAAGATACTATAGTTTTTTTAACTGTCCCACGGGAACTCTTTAATTTTCTGAGATGAAAAGTATCTAAGATGTTGACCGGGGATATAAGGTACCACCGTGCAAAATTTCATTTAAATCGGTCCAATAGATTCGGAGATTAGCCCGTACAAACAGACAAACAGATGAGAAACAAAACAATTGAAAAAATTCTGGATTTGTTCTATTTGTCTTCTTACATCCCCCTGGCTCCGTTTTTAGCATTTTTTTGCTATGTACAGACATTCAACCTCTCCTGTTTTATTATAGTATAGATTATATTTTAACAAATGACACTTGATTACATGACAAATTATTTACATTACGTACATAATGAATAAACGGGTGCACGTCTTGTATGTCTGACGACTATAATAAGTATTTTTATTCTTGTAAGTTATAAGAACACACGTATCTCAGTCTCGTTACGGCACTCTTGCGAAGTAGTAGTGTGCATATTGCGTTATCGTTGACGCGTAGCTCGCCGGCCGCAATATACCCGCGGCCGGCCGAATAATATAAATAAATTGTGTTGTACAATGGAGAAAAACAGTAATGAGATTGTTATAAAGGATTTTCGTATTCCGAGTACCGATGTAGAAGATTTAGGAGTTGATGAGTTCCAATACCAAGAGGAGAATATTAATACGATGTCTGTCGGCATTATGGAAGAGAACTTGAGGGCAGAAAAGAGGACGAGACTAGAAGATGAAGGTGAATGGACTGTAGTAGGTAAAGAAAAAAAAGCAAAGCCGGTGTACAATAAAATAGAAATTTATATTACAAGTACGGAAATATTACCTAAGCAGTTTGCTATGGCAAAGTTACTTAAAATAACGACATTATGGATATTGACAGACTCAAATATATTAACCCCTACAAAATGCGATTGGATATGAATAATGAAATGTGTGCGGATAAATTGGAGAATTGTGAGGAGTTTCTTAGAAAATGATGGAGAATTTACAGAGCGATGGAGAAAGATATTTCTTATGGTTTAATAAGAGACGTAGACCTAGAACTGTCGAATGATGAAATTCTTTTGCGGATCACATGCCCTAATCGTGTGGAAATAATTTCTGTGTCCCGGGTTAAACGTCGTTGTACTACTGATGGAAGTGGTTGGACGCCTAGTGGAAGTGTTCGCATTAGTTTTAGAGGGGCTTACTTGCCGTCTCATGTATCAGTAGATGGCCTAAAAATTAATGTAGACCGGTACGTTTTCCCCGTGTCCCAGTGCTCCAGATGTTGGAGATTAGGCCATCACGTCAATCGATAAATAAAGAACATAATTTTGGAAAATGAAATAACTTTGCATGAATTACATAATTCCTTGAAAAATAAAGACAGTTGCCCTGGTAGTGATAATATTTCATATTCTATGCTAAAGAACCTTCCGTATAACGGGAAATGTATTTTGTTAAAAATTTATAATTTAGTATTTGTAACTGGAAAAGTACCAAAACAGTGGAAAGATATAATGGTAATCCCTATCCCAAAACCCGGGACAAATCCTGATTGTTCTTCGTCACTTAGACCCATTTCTATGATTTCGTGTATCTGTAAAACTTTTCATGCTATTCTAATTAAGAGATTAGAATGGTACATGGAAAGGAATAATATCTTTCTACCTATAACTACCGGTTTTCGGAAGTGTCGTTCTACTTTGGACAACTTAGCTACGTTAGTATCTAGAATTCAAATAAGTTTATCTAAAAAACTATTTACAATAGGATGCTTTATAGATTTAGAAGATGCTTAGGTATTATTACTTACTTACTTACTTACTTATTATATTGATATATCAGTTCTTTTACAAGTATTAGATAATTTAAATGTTGGAGGTAAGCTGTGTGTGTATTTATGGAATTTTTTAAGTCATAGAAATTTAAAAATTAACTCTGGTTGTACATGGATATGTAGGTCAACTAGCAGAGGTTTAGCTCAGGGAGATCCATTTTCACCGTTACTGTTCAATATTGCAACCATAAGCTTGTGTAAAAATATTAATATGAATAATGTGATGTTATCTCAATACGCCGACGACTTCGTGTTATATAATACATGTAAAAATATAGAGCATGGCGCACAAATTTTACAAGCAGAGATTAACAAATTTGTGGAATCTGCTCCAGCATTAGGATTACAAGTATCTTCATCAAAGAGCAAAGTATGCGTATTTAGAAAAAGGAATAGAAATGCAATAGTCAACTTAACAATTAATAATGGTACACTGCAGGAAGTAGATGAAGTAAGATATTTGGGTGTATGGTTGGATCATGCTTTACGCTGGGGTGAACACATCGATGAAGTAAAAATAAAATGTCTTAAGATTTATAATATTTTTAAAGTATTGGTTGGCTCGGGATGGGGTATCCATCCGATACATTTAAGGAGACTATATATTTCTATAGTGCGTAGCCGATTAGATTATGCTAGCTTTCTATTTGCCAATAGCTATAAGACAAATTTATATAAGCTTGACAAAGTACAAAATTTATTTATGCGAATTATTGTCGGCTTCATTAGAAGCACCCCAATTCATGTAATGGAATCAGAACTTCACCTCCAGCCTCTGTGTGTGCGACGGTTTTATCTAGCAGGCAAATTTTGGTTTAAATCCATGAGCTACTCTCAAAACGTTTTAGCCAATATATTGGATAATCTAAGTGACCTCTGTAGAACTAATTTTTGGAGATGCAAGAACAAGCCACTTCTAGTCATTATTCATAATCAATTTAAAACGATTTCTTTTCATAAAAGTAATAATTTGGGATGTTTCTCTTTGGACACTTGGACAAGCAATGTGGATTTATCTAATATTATTAGCAGTCATATACAGGACATTAACAAATCAAAAAAGTATTATAATCCTATTTTGCTTAATAATATTTGTACGAAATATTTTAGAGAAAAATATGATAATTTTTAAAGTATATATACGGATGGATGTAAAGACGGAGATGGAGCTGGTGTGGCTTTTTTAGATACGCAAAATGGTACAACAATAAAGTTACAGATTAATACAAATATGTCTATTATGCACATTGAATTGATTGCTATATCAGAAGCGGTCGCATATATTGAATCCTTAAATACAGGAAACTACGTAATCTTTTCCGATTCTAAGAGTGCTCTTCAACATCTAAATAAATGTAGTAGTACTTTTCGTGGGGTACCAATAGCATACGATATTATAAAATCGATACAAAAACTTGCGGATAAGGGATTTGTCTTAAAGCTTCAATGGATCCCTTCACATGTAGGATTACGTGGTAATGAAGAAGTTGATCGCCTTGCAAAATTAGCAGTGAATTCTGACTTAGTATGCAATGATTTACCTTATTTTAGTGATTTAATTCATTTAGTAAAAGAAAAATGTTACGAAATGTGGAAGGAACATTTTGACGTAAGATCAGTAACAAAAGGAATTTGGTACAAAACCATACAGCCATCTCTGTCTCGGTCTCCGTGGTTTGCTGGTGCTAATTTATGTAGATATGATCTTGTAACAGCTCTCAGACTTCGTTCCGGACACATCCCATTGAATAACTTTGCTTACCTGGTACGTAAAATCCCATCTCCTAATTGTTCAGAATGTGACGTTATCGAAGATGTTTACCATGTCCTAGTGGAATGTGTCCGAAATGAGGTCGAAAGATTAGAATTATTGCGCAATATAAATTTATTTGAATTAGGTGCATGCAATTGTATTTTAGGTCGTCCTGAATCAAAGGAAGCTAGAGTATTATATAAGATTTATAAAATAGCTGTAAAGCGTCGGTGAGTTTTTTGTAGTTGCTCCAATGAGGGTGGCATGTTCAACTCATGAACAAACCCTCTTTAAAAATAAAATAAAGATTATAAAAAAAAAAGAACACACGTATCTAATTGATTATGGTCTGTATTTTAATCTATAGTTTGAGCGTAAAAGACCCGTTCACCCTAAATATATACATAAATGTTGTCTACCATACATGCTTTTCAGGCTTCTTGGATCAATTCATGGAGAAATAAAAAAGATGCATTGATGTTATAATTTATTTTGTTACTCATCATTATCATTTACTATACTAAAATAACAGCACAAAATAAAACAAAGCTGACAGTATGAGGCGCAATCCATTACCTTACGATTGGAAAGTATTTATTCATCTTCCAAAAAGTATATCCTTATTATATTAGAGCAGTTCGTTGATATTCCTTAATTATTATGTAGGTTTCTGATGTCGATATTCAGTTATCATTAAGGCAAGATACAGAACAAGGTTAGTAGTAGATACAGTGTCCAATGTTCAAGAATGTTTTTATTTACTATGGTAAATAAGTGGTAGACAATTTTTTTTAAATAAATTTTAGTGGAATATTTTAGCGTTATATGTGCTTATTGCCTGCCTATACGTTTCTTATCTATATTTATGCTAAATTGTATTTATAACTTTTCATTAGATAAATAAAATAAAATAATTTTATCAAATTATTATAATTTATATTTAATAATTAAAATAATTACATATCTTACTAACTTTCCAAATGCAAATACCGACATTAAGTAGTTTGAACGATTCGTTGGATCATGTTGTCCAGTAATGACATGTTTTTGTCATAAATAGTTTAATTAGTCAACTGTATACCTAATGTTAAATATTTATATTTATTTAGAACTATTTGTCTAGTTTATTCTCGCGGACACTTGTCCGGACACTGTCACTTGTTACCTACTTAGGTAATTGACCTAGATAAAATATGATAATAATTAATTTGTATTAGTGGCTATATCCTTATGTATAGTGACACTAATTTTTATACCCTTACAGAATAAAAATTATTTGATGATTTATAAATTATTATAACTGTCACGGGTGACTAGTTGAGATTTTAAGTGCTACAATAATTAATATTTTGGCTACTGAAATACGGATAAAAAGAATTTGCATATTAATTTATTGGAACTAATAGTTGCTTTGGTTGCATTAAAATATTTTACTTTACCTAAATAAAAAAAATAAGCATGACGTGACAGGAATGAGTATTGTATATACACACAGAAAATAGGAATTAAACTACTAATCATTTTCTAAAATGCTTTCGGTATTCCTAATAGGTACTGATCTGTACAAATTTTTGACATATTACAAATGATACTTGGAAAAATAAGACAGATGAATATGCATGACAAAATAGATTCACTATTTTTGGTAATTGATATTATATTTATTCTCTTTATTGTAAAAAATATATTTTTTTACAATAAACAGAATAAATTCATTAATATTTTCTTCTGTTTATTGTTAAAAAAAAACTCATCGAATAATAAAACTCTACAGTTACCGTCCTATATTGACCAAAGCAACCATGGTTATCGTTATATAAGAAATTCCTTATAAGTGAGCCTTTGTATTTCCATGTACCTATATATTAATTTACCTTCTTGGGACATTTCACGGCTTATTAAAGACGCCTAGCACTAGTTGCCGCAAAGCTTTCTCACAAATTATAACTAAAAAAAACATGTTTATCACATAGTCAATATAATATGTACGTTATATTCAATGGATGCATAAAATCATGAATTCATTATTGTAACCAAAATAATTTCAATGTTTTGTTAATTTTAGTTTTTACGAATCTGCTAAAATTGAATTGAATATTCTAAAGGACGGTAATACAACCTATTTATGAAAGGCGTAGGGTATATAAACTAAGGCCTACGAGACTGACGAACTTCACTTGGTATTTTAATATTGTACTTAACTATTTATTGATTTATGTAAAAGGAAGTCAACATAGCATACAGTGTTATCACTCACGTTTAGTAATTTAGTAAATATATTAAATTATTACACTGTATACCATACTTACAGGTGAACTTATTAAAAGGTACTTTTAATATAGTTAATTTCGCTAATAAATCTATATATAGGTACATAAAATGCTTTGTCCTGACTATCTGACTGATCGATCAACGCACAGCCTAAAGTTGGTCGTAGAAACGTTAAATTTGAAGGAGGCATTCCTTATATGACGTAGGGATCCGATAAGAAAGGATTTTTCGAAGTTCTTCCCATAAGTGGGTAAAATAGGGGATAAAAGATTGTATGAAACTCTGTCATTTTTTAATGTGAAATACACAGAAAGTGGTATTTAGCTTTAAGATAAAAAAATATATATTTATTTGATTTTTATTCGAAATTCATCACCTAAAGGGGCAAAAGGGTCTAATTAATTTTATATGCGCAAAGAATTACTTATGATCAGAATTACTTGAATCTTGGT